GAGTTTTCACTATGGCAATCTAAGAATTGGGGTAGGCAAATGGGTGCTCTAAAAGTTATTATATACGGAGTACTTCAAAACTTCATCAAAGATTCATAAAAACTAACTCTAATCAAGTAACTTTGATCAGGTATCATTTTTCAATTCATCAAAAGATCCCCAAAGTAAAAAAACGAGAAAAACTCTAGAGAACACCAATACCATGATTTGTCTAAACAAGAAAATGCACCAAACCATGCACCCTAGTTACCATGTACAACTAGTCTCTAAGATAATGATTTTATACTCTAAAATCAAAACCCTTTACACAAATCTACTCCATAACAAGTTCTCCTCCAGTCATTGCTCATCTTAATTGCAAGTTAGATTGTGCGAATAAGCTTCAATCAGCCAAGTTATATTCCCTACCTCTATACACTTCAATGCTACTACAAAGATATCATACTATCCAGTATCCATTGCTTTCAAATTCTTTATCGGTGCTCTTATCAACTACAATAAGGATAAAAATTAGCTAACATTATTAAATTTGTAATTTCTAAAGTCCACTAGATAATAGATAGTTACTTGCAGAATCATCTTACTTTTCTATTGCTAGGTTTAAAAGAAGTCCTAAAAAGAACAGAACAATAATTGAGATATGTAACTATTCAATACCAAAAATACTACCACCCCTTAATTAGACCTTGCAACTGCTTGCAAGATTCTTACCAAAACTAAAGAACCAGTAATACTACCATCAGAGTCATGATACATAACCCCTTTGCACATTCTAGCTTCTACACATATATCCCAATTCCCAAATAGGGCAAATAGTCCCTTGGTCCGAAATCAATAGTCACGTCGATAATGTAATTTGACTCGTAATGTCACAACTAAATCTTGAAGAGACGGAGGGAGTAAATAAAATCACAAAAACAAAGATAAAAACATTTTTCAATTTTCAATTCAGTAAATATATCCGCTTAACTATTTACGCATACAGGTGGCATTAACAAACAACAATACCCTGAATTCAACAAATTAAACCTAAAATTACAGGCAGAATTACAAAAACCTCAATTTTTCTTCTCTTTTAACGATGGAAAATTCGAATAAAGGATTAATCTTTCTATGTGTTAAACCTAGAAATGATAAATTAAAGATAATCATGGAGATTAAGAAGAAAGAACAATTAAATGGCATCTGATTAAATTTAATTTGTAATTCAATTAAAAAAAAAGAACATACTTTGATAGAATTAGCAGAAGTAGGAAGAAAGGAATAGTTGAAAAAATTCTTGAATTCAGGAGACCGATAAGAAGCAGTTGATGGTATGGCTACTAAAACGTCGCTAATTGCACCTGAAACCAGCATCTTTCTTGCAGAAGAGAGAGAAAAGCGTCAGATTTTTTTGGGGTGTCCAAAATTCTACGAGTACAATTTTTGGTTTTATTGTTCTACGCAGTATCTTTTGTGCAAGATTTTTCCTCTACAAGCGCAAATATTTGCATATAGCCCCAAAAGAAACCGGAGTATAATTGTTAATCATATTTCATATTAATTGTAACAATTAGATATTTTTCCTCTCTAATTTATATCAAATCGTTGCAAATAATATGAAACGGGCGGAGGTAATACTAACTGAATAGGCGAGTAACTCCGACTAACTAAATTACCCTTAATCGACTGAGCAGTGGCTGTTTTGGGTGTTTTTGTCCCTCGGGAGAATTACAACACGAAGACTGATCTGGGGTGAGCTGTACCTGCAAAACAAACGGAGACACCAGATGGGTGGTGCTCTGCCTCCGACGCACAAGTTAGAAACTTGAAGGGAGAAAAAGGTGCGGAAATTTAGGTAGGGATCTGCTCGGATTCCAAGCTCAGGATGTCTCTATCAAAGAGTAAATGTGTAATAAATGATCAAAACGTGCCCCCAAAAAGAGGGTCATCTCCCTATTTATAGGGTCTTTGGGATTTGTGCCCCTGATTAGGTCACTGTACCCTAATCAGTGGTGGGTTGCGCCGCTTTGCGGCTTTCTCGGGATTTGGGCCTGAAGGCCGCCCTTTTTTCCCTTATTTTCTGGAGCGACACGTGTCAAGCAGAGATTGGTCCACTTTGGGCCATCCTGAGGTTGACACGTGTCGTCCTCTGATTGGACCACGTGGCGGGGTAAAATTACCCTAAACATTTGCCCCTCACAGATGTGACGTGGCATGCCACGTGGCATCTATGACATGTGTCACGCTCCAATTGGCGGTAATTTTACCATTAAAGAGTAACCGTTCACCTTCTGGGTAAATTACGGAAATGCCCCCGTTTTTACCCTCTATATATAGCCGTTTACCCTCATAATTTTGGTACGTTTACAAAAAAAATTCTAGAGAGAACTTTGAGAGAGCAGAAGTCATCCGTTTGAGTCAGGCGCAAGCAAGAAAGCTCGTCTTCCAGAGACCCAGCCGGACCCACCTAGTTTCAGATATCTCTTCAAAAGGTACCGTCTCTGCCTCTCTCAGCTCTTTTTCTTTTTTCACCGCTTGTACATATTTCTTGCAATAAATGGATGCATCACCAACACACACGGCATAGCCTAGGTTAGAGTCCAGCCGGTCACCAGGGACGGCTGAGTCTAGGACTGGGAGTGCCGTCTCGGGGTGTTGGGACCACCCTTTGCCTCAAATTCCGACCAGTTACGTGTCTGTGCAGGACACAATGGCTCGGATAAAGCAGACAGCGACTGATCCAAATTACAAGAGCGAAGGCTCAGGCGGCCAAACGCCTGAGGGAGAAACGTCCGGTCAGGGTGACCAGACAGCTCTGGAGAGATCCCCTCCGCGCGCCCCTTCAACCCCTGCTGACTCTTTCTTGGAAGAGTGCGACCAAGGCGGCGACGAGGCCGTCTCTGCCCCCTTAGGTCAAAGTGAGGAGGAGACGGAGAGCGACAGCTCCGCCTCTACCTCTGAGAGTAGTGACGATTTACCCCCGCTTCCGGATAGCGAGGAGGAAGAAAGGAAAAAGTGGAACGAGAAGGATGATCCCTTCAGCATCCACGTCTCCTCCAAATACCGGATCGAAATGGAGGAGAACTTAAAGAATTTTACCCAAATACACCCGCTAGGAGACGGGTATAGAATCCGGGTGCCGCCTGAGAATGGCACCATCGCCTGGGGGGACGATCAACAGAACGCCAACAGCTATTTCGGCTGTTATGAGGCGGCGTTCAAGGCTGGCCTTCGCTTCCCCCTTCACCAGGCGGTGAAGGCAATTTTAAGAGGCTACGGCCTTGGAGTCTGGCAACTTACCCCCAACTCTTGGACAAACATTCTGGGGTATGTTTCCGCCTGTGAGTTTCAGGGGCTTAACCCCGGCTGGGTGGCTTTTGCTAGTATGCACTATCTTAGCAGAAGCTCAGGCGGCTGGAGGGCGTGGTACACTCTAACCACGCAGCCTCAATATATGATGACCTTGGACAAGGTCTCAAAGTTCGATGGCTGGAAGCACAGGTTCTACCTGATGTCAGCCCCAACCAGACGAGAAAATTATGAATTCCGTTTGTACAATAAGAAGCCCGACTTGTTGGGCAGGAAGTGCGCTCTTCCCTGGATCCCAAAGGAAGATTTTGACAAGATAATTGAGGCAGGATTTTTCGGCCTCACAGACGCAACTCTGTCAACCGGGGAAACAATAAAAGTCCCCAAGAACTGGATTCCCAAGAGCGCCTGGCTCAGGGACGAGTGTTTCCTAGCCGCCTGCGGGCTAGGGCACATGTTTACCAAACGTATGCGCCTGAGTTTATATCCGTCTGTAGTATTTTTCTATCGAAATTGATTTATGATATTGACCAATTTCTTTCTTTTTGCAGAAGAAGCATTAAACATGTTGCACTCGGAGAAAAATCCCAAGCGGTCTTCTGCAACCATCCACAAAGATCTTGCGGAGAAAGCTGCGGCTGAGGTCAAAGCCTAGGTAACAAACGCCTGACCCTTTCATAAGTTGATCTTTTAAAATCATTTTTCCCGGATGCTAACCGTAACTTTGGTTATTTTTGCAGGGAGGGGATGTTGGAAAGTCGTTTGAGAAGCAACTCAAACAGGCTAGGGAGGAGAACCCTGCCGTTCTAAAAAAAATCAAAAAATCCACCTCTGCATCAACTCCTGGCGCCTCAGTCGGGCATCAGCAGATGCGGATAGCGGGGCGACTCGAGAAGATAGGCGGCAGCGTGTGCCTTGATCTTGTCAACCCCTTATCAGCAGCCGCGGGGTTTACCACGTCTGCAAGCGGTTCCCTCTTGGCTGGCTCTGAAGGTAAGAACCCTTTTGAATCCCCGCTTGAGCTAGGGTGGCCTTTGCGGGTGAAATCCCACTCTCAACAGACGTCATCTTCAGATGGCCGGCAACAAATAGGTGCTGCCTTAGTTTCGCACTCATCACGTATTGATTCTGGTGCAGATCAATCTCCCCGCTGGCCAGACGTTCAGAAGCATGTCAAGGCCATGCTGGAAGCCGTCTGGAAGAGGGATAAGGACAATATCCCTGGGATAGAGACGTTCAATCTTGAACGCATTCTATCCCTTCTGGCTGAGGTAAGAAACTTGTCAATTCAATTTTATTTTTTCCAAGTGTTTTATCCCGCCTGCAATACTTATACCGCCTGACATTTTGCAGGCCATGCTGCGGGTGGACGGGCTCAAACGTCCTTATTCCCGCAAACGGGAAGAGGTAAAAAGGGCCTAGAAGTCCGCCACAGACGCTGATAATATTGCTTTACACTCGACTATCGTAAATGAACTTGAAACTAAAGCAATAATTATGACACAGCCGTCTAGAATCCAACAGCTGGAGTCAGATCTGAAGACGGCCATCAGCGGGCGACGGATGCTGAGACGGCTAAGAAGGAGGCGGAGGAGGCCCAGAAGAAGGCAGACGAGAGCGCCAAAAAGGTTGATGAGGCGCTCAAGAAGGCCTAGACGGACCTTGGCACACTTAAAGGTGTTTCCGAAGAGAACACCAAACTGAAGACCATGGTTCAGAGGCTAGAGAAGGAGGCTGCTCAGGCTCAGATAAACTTTGCAGCAACCCTGGAAGCGGAGCAAAACCGCCTTGTTGCTAAGAGTGACGCTGACAATGACGCCCGTATGAAGATTGCCTGGGCTGCCTTGTACCCAGACGCGGATTACAGCATCTGGGCACTGGCGCACAGCTATGCCGAGTACGTGGTGTACTTGAGAGAACAAGGTGAGCCAGAGCCTGCCTCTTTCGAAGCCTGGGTCAACTCCAACAACGAGCCGTCCGTGCCTGAGCTTCCTAGTCCTGGTGAAGCACAGGAGATACCCTCAGATGATGAGGAGGAGGACCAGGAGGCACCGTCTGCAGGTCAGAAGTGACCATTCAGCGGCAGTATGCCAATCTCTGCTTTTTTGTTTTTTCTTTTATTCAGCGGTTGTATGCCAAAACTTGTTTTTTTCCGACCTGCGTGCCGAGTATCCTTGTATTTACCGGCTAAAGAGCCGAGTTAATTAACAATTTCTTTCTCCCGGACGGGGTCCGATTAACATTTGATCCACTACAGCCGTTTGGTTGGGTGAACTTTTATGAAATGCACCGACTGAGTCGGTTTTGATCATTTTGCATTTGAATTTTTAATTTTTCATTTTTCATTTTTGCCCAACTTATCAAAAGCATGCGTCGATTTTTCATTTTTGCCTAACTAATCAATAGTCCGGCTGTCCTTGCCCTTGGACGGCTGTGTGGTTGGTTTCAAGTGGAGTTGGTTGATTGACTTGAAAACGTCTGATGTTGTAAAGAGCATGATATGTTTGCAAGTAAATCAATCACAATAGTGATTTCCCTAAACCAAGTGCACAGCCGTACACCTACAGGCGTTCCAGTTACTACCCAGACGGTGCTTATCCGTCTTGGTAGAGATTTCATAGCCATTGTACGACTCCTTTGCCCCAATTGAGGTAGGAATTGAAATTTTGGAATAAATAACCAAGTGAGATCTTCAGCCGGTGACCGACTGATGCCCCAGGGCATTCGGTATTCGGCAACTTGATCATTCTTCACCGGTCATTTTGGTCAGACGGCTATGAGTTGACCAATTTGATCGTTCAATTTTTGTCGTCTACATGGGTACGTAGAACTGACAAATAGTCTGTTCTGTGCGACGATTGCACCCGGAGGGGTGTCGCCGGACGCCTTTGTCCATGTTGGGGCAGACGATTTTATAAAATGAGCAACCATCCGGCCATTTTAGCCTCTGGTCTTGTTTAAGACCGGTTGTATAGCCACTAAACGTTTTTGTGCTTAGTTTTTAGTCAAAGTATTGAATTTACACTAAGTATCGAACTCAGTTTTTTAAACAAACGAGTCTGTCTGGGTATTACCCAGACGGACAGACAAATATTTGATCATACTAAGTATCAAACTTAGTTAGATAAATGGAGAATCCGTCTGAGTATTACCCAGGCGGATAGTCAAGAAGTTGAATAAACAAAGTATCAAACTTAAATAAACAAGGGATCTGAGTATTACTCAGGCGGTCCATCAAATGTAACCTTTACTAAGTGTCAAACTTAGTTAGTAAAAGAAGAATCCGCCTGGGTATGACCCGGATGGATAATCAAACAATAACTCAATTTTGCAAACAAAGTCTGAATCTTCATTAATTGACTCACTGTTTACAAAAAGTTTACAATCTCAGAAGTAGTACTTTTTTAGATTGTCTACATTCCAAGTTCTAGGCAGACGCCTGCCATCTGGAGTTTCCAGGCGGTAGGTTTCATCCCTTACTTCTTCATAGATCCGGTAGGGGCCTTCCCAATTTGGGGTTAGCTTTCCCAGCTCATTGGCCCTACCGGTTGCCTCCATTTTTCGTAACACTAAGTCGTCAACTTTCAAAGGACGCTTGTGTACTTTTTTGTTGTAGGCTCTCGTCATTCTCAGACGGTAAATCTCATGACGCAAGGCGGCATTGCCCCTGCGTTCTGGGAGTGAATCCAATGCCAGGCACATTGCTTCCCAGTTTGCCTCTTCATCATATAGCATGACTCTAAGAGTCGTCTCGTAATGTTCGATGGACAAGACGACTTCAGCACCGTAAACCATGAGAAATGGGGTTTCACCGGTTGCCCCCTTTGTTGTTGTCCGAATGGCCCATAGGACATGGATTAACTCTTCTGCCCATAAGCCACCGGCTCTTTCTATTTTCTTCTTAATTCCATCTAAGATGAGTTTATTGAAGGCTTCAACTTGGCCGTTTGCTAAGGGTCGGCCAACGGATGCAAAATTTCTTGAAATCCCCTGATCTCCCAGCCAAGTTTTTAGCTGAGGCGTCTCAAACTGAGGACCATTATCAAACACCATAGACATTGGTACCCCATACCGGGTGATAATGTTTTTCCAGATGAAGGAAATTACGTCTGAGGTTTTGATGTTTTTAACCGCCTCAGCTTCTACCCACTTGGTGAAATAATCCACAGCCACCAAGATGTAGCGCTTTCCGCCTGGAGTAGGCGCGTAAGGACCTAGAATGTCCATGCCCCATTTTGCAAACGGGATTGGGCTGTGGATGGCCGTCAGATCAGTAGCCGGACGGTGAATGAGTTTGCCAAATTTTTGGCACTTGTCACATTTCTTCACCAACTCCTTGGCGTCTTCCTCAAGAGTGGGCCAAAAATAGTGTCGCCTGGCTCTGACGGCTAGGGACTTGCCGCCTATGTGAGAGGCGCAGAATCCCGAGTGCAAGTCTTCGAGAACTTCTTTCTCCTTTTCTGGGGTGACACACTTCAACAAAGGCTTCAGAAACCCCGCCTTGAAGAGTTCTCCATTTTTCAACTCGAATCTTGCAGCTCGCTTTTTCAGGACGGCTGCTTCATGTGGCGAATCAGGAAGTGTGCCGTCTGAGAGATAGGCCCGGATGCCATCCATCCCGGTAGAGCTTCGGTCTAGAATTCCAACGGGATCCTCATAGATGCTTCTCTTTTCAAGAACTTCCCAAAAGACTGACCGAGGCGTATCATGGCAGGCGGAAGACGCCAGTTTTGACAATGCATCCGCCTGATTGTTTTCCGACCTAGGCACCTGATTCAGCCAAAATTCCTCAAGTGCCTTGGTCTCTTCTTTGACTGCCTGAAGATATTTAATCATAGCCGGATGAGTAGCCTCGTAGCTTCCCTTATACTGGCTAACAACCAATTGAGAATCAGAGTAGGCGTCAATTTTCATGGCCCCTGCCGCCTTACACATGCGAATGCCGGCTAGCAGGGCTTCATATTCCGCCTCATTGTTAGAGGCTTGAAGCGTAGTGCATACTTAAATCTGTCCCCTTCAGGAGACTCGTAGATTACGCCTGCACCACAGCCGTTCCTTGTAGAGCTCCCGTCTACATACACTTTCCAAACCTGATCAAGATTATCCGGAGCCATCGGACGGGTCATTTCAACAATGAAGTCGGCAAACGCCTGACCTTTCACTGCCTTTCTTGGTTCGTAAGTGATTTCAAGACTTTGCATTTCAATAGCCCATTTCAACATTCTCCCGGATGAGTCCAAGGTAGACATTGGCCGCTTGAGTGGCTGGTCGGTGTAAATCACTACCGGATGTGCCAGAAAGTAGGGCTTCAATTTTTTGAAAGCCATATACAGAGCAAGGCCAAATTTTTCAACCATGGGATACCAGAGTTCAGCATTTTTAAGAACATGGCTAATGAAGTAAACCGGGAGCTGCACGCCGTCTCGCTCAGCAAGGAGAACGGCACTGAGGGCATGATCTGAGACGGCTAAGTACATGTACAACGTCTCCCTAGGTAAAGGACTGACCAACCTAGGTAGAGAATGTAAGTGCTCTTTCAACCTCTGGAATGCCGTCTCAGAATCATCCCCCCATTCAAATCTGGTCTTCTTCCTGATTGCTTGGAAGAAGTAGAGGCACTTGTCGCCTGACCGGCTGAGGAACCTCCCCAGGGCGGCCAGACAGCCGGTGAGTCTCTGCACTTCCTTGACAGAACGGGGTGACTTCATGTCTATCACCGCTTGTATCTTTTCAGGGTTAGCCTCTATCCCCCTTTGATCAATCAGGAATTCGAGAAACTTCCTAGACTCAACACCAAAGATGCATTTCTTAGGATTTAACATAACCTTATGCCGCCTGAGGGTGGTAAATGTTTCTCGGAGATCAGCAAGGTGATCCGTCTGGATCTTGGATTTGACTATCATATCATCAATGTACGCCTCCACATTCCTCCCAATCTGATTAATGAAGACCGTATTAATCATCCGTTGGAAAGTGGCAGGCGCATTTTTCAAGCCAAACGGCATCACAGTATAACAGAATAACCCCTGATCAGTGACGAAGGCCATCTTCTCTTGATCTTTCTTCCACAGGGGTATCTGATGGAAGCCGGAGTAGGCATCCATGAAGCTCATCAAGGCGTGACCGGCTGTAGAATCGACCAGACTGTCGGTCTTTGGAAGCGGGTAACTGTCCTTTGGACACGCCTTGTTGAGGTCTGTGTAATCAACACACATGCGCCAGGTCCCATTCGGTTTCTTAACAAGGACCACATTGGCCACCCAGTCGGGAAAATTACAAGGCCGGATGAACCTGGCGTCTAGAAGCTTTTTGACTTCGGCAGCTGCCGCCTGACTTCTTTCCTCACCGCGGTTTCTTTTCTTTTGCCGGATGGGCTTCTTTTTAGGATCCACGGCGAGCTTGTGGACAGCAAGATCTGGGCTGACGCCTGGCATCTCTTCCACTTCAAAGGCAAAAATGTCTTTGAATTCCTTCAGCAGAAGGTGCAAGTCTGCACCCAAAGTAGCATGAGCGACCGTCCCAACCTTTACAGTACGTTCCGGATGGCTGTCATCCAGAACGAGATCAATGCTTTCACCAGCCGGTTGGGGACGGAGCTCATTTGACCGTTCACCGGTCAGTGATTGCTATTTTTTCTCCTTCTTCACCTCCACCAGCAGAGGTGCCTTTCTTTTCTTTCCGGCTGCTGGTGGGGCAGGTGCTGGATCGGCATCCTTGACATTGTCAAGGTCAATTGGTTCCTGACCGCCTGGGGCCACAGTGTCCCTAACGGCTGAGAGATAGCACTCCCGGGCCGTCTTCTGATCCCCATTCAAGGAACCAACAGAGCCGTCATCCCTCTCATATTTGATGAGCATCAGAGACGGGATGATTACTGCCTTGGCTACGTTGAGGGTTGGCCAGCCAAGGATAATGTTGTAGGCGGTCAACTCCTCAACGACCAAGAATCTGACGACAATATGTCGTCCTTGGCCTTTCTCCCCCAGCCGGATGGGTAAGTCAATTCTTCCGGCTGGGTAGACCATCCCACCCCCAAAACCAACCAAGGGGTGGGTGACCGGATGCATGCTGCTGACATTGTATTTCAGCTTTTGCAGGCACCGGAGGCTGATGATGTCAGATGAGCTGCCGGTGTCAATAAGGATCCGTCCAACCAGCTGGTTGGACACCTTACATTCAATGACAACCGGGTCATCATGCGGATGGCGGACGCTGCCCCTATCCTTCTCAGTAATCAAGACGTCTGGGAAGGAGGTGCTTGCAGACGCCTGCTCATCCTCATCCTTGTCCATCTTTCGAAGATGGCTTTTGGTGCCCCGGATGGTAGGGCCACCACAGGAGAACCCGCCTGCTATTGTGTAGACCGACTCTTTGTCGGTATCCGAGCTGCTAGCAGGCTGGGGGGTAGTCTTGGAGGACTGAACCTTGCTTTTCTTTTTTGCCCCGGCTGGGGACTTAGAAATGTAGGACTTCAACAGCCCTTTGTCAGCCAGACGGTCCAACGCCCGCTGAAGACTGAAGCAGTCGTTGGTATCATGGCCGACCTCCTCATGGAACTGACAGAATTTATTTTTGTTCCATGACTGGACAAAACTCTTCATAGGATTCGGCTTCTCAATGGACAGCCGGTCCTTTACCTCCATGAGGATGGAGTTGCAGTCTTTGTTAAACTCGTACTTGGGGACGTACGGTTTAAACTCTTTCTTTTTCTTCTAAGACGACTGGTCAGAATCATTAACCGCCCAGATTTCTTTTCTTTTCTTCCTCTCTTCTTTATTTTTGGCCGGCTGAGCAGACCGACTGTCTTTCGGTTTGTCGGACTTCTTGGAGTCCGACTGATTACCAGGCGAGCAGAGGTCGGTAGCTTGAATGTAACTTTCCGCCTCCCTCAGGGCCGCCTGTAAGGTGAAAGCCCCTTTTCTGACTAGGTCAAACTTAAAAGTCGACCCGTCTCTCAGACCCTTGAAGAAGTCTGTAAAAGCTACCTCGTCAGACAGTCCTTGGATCTGAATTCTGATCAGACTGAACCGCCTGACATAGGAGCGCAGCCCTTCTCTCTCTCCCTGCTTAATAGTGCTCAAATCAAGGCTTGTTTTCTTAGCAGGGATGTTCATTGAGAAGTTGGAAGCAAACAAGTTGCCAAACCATTGTTGGGCAATGCCCTTCAATGTAGCCGGGAAGCACCGACACCAAGTGGCATCATCCAACCCCTGCAGATACATGAGGTTGGTGTAAGCCATGAGGTGGTCTTCCGGATTGGTGGTACCGTCATAAGTACCAACCAACACATTCTTAACCTTGGACGGCTGAGCCGCCTCGGTTATCTCCCGGGTGAACGCAGAAGGCTGTTCACCCAGGCGTAGCAGACGAAGCTGCCAGTCCAATGGCTGGACATTTGGATATGCCGCCTGACCTCCAAAGAGGGTCGGCTGCATGAAATGAGGGGGATACTGGCCGTAGACCTGAGTAGGCACATACGGTACAACTCCAATCATATGAGGGCCAAAATGGACGGTATTACCACCTGTCTGACTCTCGTGCAAGGAAGATGCATTCCCGGCAGAGGTATTGTTGAAGCTGTCTAGAAAGTTCGACGTTGAAGCCGACTCAGACAGCGACTGGTTTCTCTTCCGGTTAATGATCTCCCGGGCATCAAGAGTTGATTTTTTACTTCTCACCGGCTGTTGAGTCCGGCGGGAGTTATTGTTATTCCCCTTGGGGAGAAGAATTTTGGACCAATCAATGGTCCCAGCTGCCTTCTCCTTTGGATGAGGAGTGGGCTGCCGATCTTTGACTGACTTCCCCTTTTCTAGAGGAGTCTTCTTGGCCGAATGACCTCTACTTGGGCCAGCCCGGCTCTGGGTGATCAGCTCTTTAATTTCACCCTTGAAACTTGTCATGAATCTCATGAGCTCATCTCGGGTGACAGGCGCTGATCCAGCTGCCGTTTGGGTTTCCCCTTCCAGCTGCCCAGGGGGTCTACTTGCACTCGCCTGGGAGGCACCCCGCTCCAGAGTCTCTCTGGGCCGGATGCGCTTGATTCTGAGAGAGCCGTCTTCGGCTGTAAAGGTTTCGACCTGAGGATCTTTATCCTCATAGTCTGTAAAGACTTCTTGGTCTTCACCCAGACGGTTAGGGGGTGGTACAGACTCTTGAACCATCTTCGAGGTACTCTCCCCACAGACGACGCCAAATCTTTTGGGTGTTTTTGTCCCTCGGGAGAGTTATAACACGAAGACTGATCCGGGGTGAGCTGTACCTGCAAAACAAACGGAGACACCAGATGGGTGGTGCTCCGCCTCCGACGCACAAGTTAGAAACTTGAAGGGAGAAAAAGGTGCGGAAATTTAGGTAGGGATCTGCTCAGATTCCAAGCTCAGGATGTCTCTATCAAAGAGTAAATGTGTAATAAATGATCAAAACGTGTCCCCAAAAAGAGGGTCATCTCCCTATTTATAGGGTCTTTGGGATTTGTGCCCCTGATTAGGTCACTGTACCCTAATCAGTGGTGGGTTGCGCCGCTTTGCGGCTTTCTCGGGATTTGGGCCTGAAGGCCGCCCTTTTTTCCCTTATTTTCTGGAGCGACACGTGTCAAGCAGAGATTGGTCCACTTTGGGCCATCCTGAGGTTGACACGTGTCGTCCTCTGATTGGACCACGTGGCAGGGTAAAATTACCCTAAACATTTGCCCCTCATAGATGTGACGTGGCACGCCACGTGGCATCTGTGACATGTGTCACGCTCCGATTGGCGGTAATTTTACCATTAGATCCCGCGTCAACTAGTGAGAGTTCTTCACAAGAGTTCTTGACCGCTGAACCACAGACAATACATAGTACCATTTAGTAGTTGCATATTTATTTATCTTATATTTACTTTATCTCTAAATTACGAATTTTCCCCAAATCCAGTATGGGTTCAGCTGAACCCACTGAACCCATACTGGAATCGCCACTGCGACTGAGTAACCTTTGACTAAGTAACTCCTGACCGAATAACCCTAATTGATCGAGTAAGGGTCTGTTCTGATTGACTGAACTGAGCTGAACTTATTGGAGCTCAACTGAACTGAAATGTATTAAAAATTAAGATAAGAACTTAACTTAACTTAATTTATTGGAGTTGAACTGAACTGAAAATAAGCTGAAAAGAACAGACCCTAAATGAGTAATCCCTGCCACAATTTGTGATTCTCAATTGAAAAATATTTTGACACTTTTGCAAGAAAGATGTTGGTTTCATGTGCAATAACAATAATAATTCACACTCCGGGTTTAAAATTTCTTAATTTTGTGATCTTAATTCTATCGACGGACCTAGCAACAAGTGATACGAGTTATGATTTATTGGATTTTAAAAAGCAAATCGAAATCTCAACAAAACGTTAGAATGGTACTACACCAATCCCGTACTGTTAAAAAAAACTTCAACCAAACATCTCTAAATGGTACAATGCCCTGTAATCCTGTAATAAGTTTTTAGCTGATCACTAAATTAAAAATAAAATAATGCATAAAAATGTGTACAAACAAGCTAATAACAAGTGCTTGCTATATACCAATATGGCGCTCTGTAGTTTTAAATAAAATTTATAAAGTGGTTTCTACTTTTACTCCAAGTTTCAAACTACATATGAACAGTTAATCCATTCCTATATAGAAGATTTATCACTCAACTTTCAGACATTCTGCTTGAGATTGAATCCTCATTCCTTCGTGCCCAGGTGCTGCAACTCCTCAAACTTCAATGTACAAGAAATCAAAGAATATGTGTTAGTTTTGTGCAGTTTTATATGATGAAGCATACACATTTCTGAACTATCAACTCTATAGCATTTCGAGTTGACATAGTGTTATGCATCCCACAAAAATGAACCAAATGTGAGTGCTTCCAAAATCAGCAATTTCAATCCAAGGGGAGTAACCGAAACAACTTCATCATTTTTTGTCAACAACTTTTTTTTACCCACGTTAGGAAGCCTGATATCTGGTATATCAAACAAGGCTTGCATCTGACTTTCGACCAATGGCATAACTTCTTTTGACATTGACTCTGCATAGCTAGTAAGAGTTACTTGATTAACGGGAAATACATGTTCATCTTTTTTATTAACGAACAATGTTAATCTAGACCCATTATAGGTATTTCGCCCAGCAATAGTAAGGACTGTCAGGTCATTTCACGCGGATGACATGGACTACTGCACACTCTTTGTGCTGACGCCACATGCCAACTCACGCTAGCCGTTTACACGGTCGATAACTCATTGTTGACGTGGTTTAACTCAGGTTAGGGGTTACAATGTTCAAATTCCTATTTTACTCTATCATTCATTCTCTTCATCTCCTCAACATCGAAATTTTTGGGTAAGTCTTCCTTCAGATCTTGTATGTCAAATTTTCTATATTTCATTCTGTAAATCCTACTCCAATGTCCAGATTAGTATGGGCCAACATGTTTTGGGAAAACGGGGTCGATGTCCGGATACTCAACAAATTGCGGAAATTTCAAGGACATGCTCCGATTCAGTAAGTCATTTTTTTGAGATTCATACAATGGTTGCTTCGTTTTTAATTGTATGTATTCACTTTAATTGCGTCTACAAACAATCATATACTCATTATGTGTGAAGTATTTCAATACCGTATCGCTCTTAATTTTCAATTTTAATAGCATAGCTTACACTATTGATTCTTTAATTTTGCTATGAAATTGGAGAAGATGATACTTTTCATGTAACTGCAGAGGCTAATTGGTACCGGAATGGTTCCAAAAACAATAGAGTTACATCCCGGACTCTTCATGGTAATCAAAAAATGTTGTAAGAATCCTAAACTACAATTGCTACAGTATACATTCAATTACCTGACTTAGGATATGTATTGTAGGATGACAGTTTGACTTTGGGAGGTGTTGTGAAAGCAAAAGGGCAAGTGATTAACCAATACTCATCTGCAATGCGTAGAGTGAGTTTCATTCTCATACTTGTAAACATTATCTAGATGATGGTATTGCTTAATTAAAGGCTAATTTAGGCTAATGCATACATATTGACCTGTCATACATGTATTGCAGCCCCCAAATATGACTTGTCGGGTTGAGTCTTTTGGAAGAATATGCCAGAAATTTGATGAACAAAGGAAACGATGGGTTTGTGATATGGGGTTTGGGGGGCTGCTACATTTTGCTTCACATATGCACTTACCCCGACAGTTAGCTTACTGGGTAATGACCCGTATTGATCCTATTAATCGGTGTTTCATTGGAACTAATGGTTGTTCGGTTTCCTTTTCGAAGAATCAAGTGCATTGGATCTTAGGAATTCCTACATCCAAGGATATGTCAGGTGTAGTTAGGATGAAGGTCCAAAAAAATTTATTAAAGTACGGGAGGTCGTGGGAGACAAAAGCTAATAAACATTGTTCAAGGACATATACTTCTGTTGGCATTCCTGTTACAGGGATCATGATGGATAGATTGGAGGGACACTTTGATGCACACCAGGAAGAAGAATTCAAAACCTTGTTCCTAATTATATCCTTGAAAATGATATTGTGTCCAACACAATCTCCCAGATTGTCAACTGATTTGTTACCCGCTCTGAGTTGTTGTATGGACAGCCAAGACTATGATTGGTGTGACTTGGTGCTAAGCAAATTTTTGGAAAGTGTCTCCAATTTTGCACGACGGTTTTATGTCAATGGATTTGCAGGTGGAAGCGGTGGCTGTTCAATTTTTGCAGTTGTGAGTACCTCACATATGGATTTTTGTGGTTTGTTGTTGAGTTAAATATTGTTGGTTACACTGTAGATTAAATAGTTGATGTGATTATATCTGTTAATTGACCTCATTTTAGATATTCTATCTTGATCGATTAAACTTGGATCCCAATGCTTGGGATACCTATCCACGAGTGAAGGCTTGGACCATGCAAAGAATTGGGTATGCTGGCAAGCTTGACCGAACCTATAGTGGTGACTATGGAAAACTCGGTGTACGTTCAATATCTCCGTGTCCTTACTGTGGTTGTGGTGCATTTCTTTTAACTAACAGATTGATATCGTTGTTTAATGTAGGTTATTGATGTAGCTTACGGTGAAAGACATCCTAAGCTAGCACGGACCACCTCATTGTCCAACTTATGATGTGGGTATTGTATTTGGAAACCATTACACTTCACGTCTTACAATTGCACCTTTTCCTTTTAATGAAATGTCTGTCATGGTTGTTTAGGATGTTTCGGCACTCGTACCGAGTAGTGGTAGAGGTAGGCGTAGACGGTCGGATTTAAATGGGTTACGTTGGTGTTCGAGGTACTTGTACGATGGTACCTCCCCCTCCCAACCAGGTGACGTTTCAACAAATGCGGAAGGTGACGAGTATTGAATGTTATACATCGTTTCTTCGTGTTTTAATTGGCTCATTGAGTTGGTAGCAAAACTTTTTAATTTGTGTTTTAGATTCATGTATAATTGTACTCACTTCCAAAATACATGTCTTGCAACTACATGTCTTGATATTTAGTTGTATTCTTATATTGTTATAATTTGTTATAACTTGGGTTTATATTCTTTATTAGTAGGGGCCCAAGTATTGAGTAGTTGGTCAAAGTGATGTGGCCCATCGAAATTGGATTCATTAAAATTCTGAATTTGTATTTTTAATGTTTTGATTTTTTCATAAATGGCCCATATGCATAAATGGCCCAATTGCATAAATGGCCATTTTGAATAAATGGTCCATTTGCATAAGACCTTCAAATAAGCCCAAACCGTATAAAATAGAAGAATTGGTTTGAAGGGCTTCTTTGAAGAGGAAATGTAAAGAACCGATTTGGTTATCCACCATTCTTTCACCAATTACTTTTTCGTATAAAGCATCCTCACATTACCAACATCTTACGTTAGGACACAAAACAAAAACAATGTCACATTGTTAGGGGAGCCAAATTTAAATACTGAGATACATAACTGTTCTTCAACTACTATCTAAAACATACATCATTACACGGACGTATAAAGCATCCTCACATTACCAACATCTTAAGTTAGGACACAAAACAAAAACAATGTCACATTGTTAGGGGAGCCAAATTTAAATACTGAGATACATAACTGTTCTTCAACTACTATCTAAAACATACATCATTACACGGACGTATAAAGCATCCTCACATTACCAACATCTTACGTTAGGACACAAAACAAAAACAATGTCACATTGTTAGGGGAGCCAAATTTAAATACTGAGATACATAACTGTTCTTCAACTACTATCTAAAACATACATCATTACACGGACACTTGCAAGGTTCAACCTTCCATCGTTAAAAATCAAAATATTAGGTCATCTTTACGCCCTATTTTGCAACTTTGATGCACTCTGATTATTGTTCACTCATACCTACAAGCTCAAGACCCTTCCAACTCATATGAATGATACTCTTAGAGTTGGCGGACCCATACCAGTCAGCTCCACAAGCACCTTCGCATCCTGTTCAACACCTTCACCCCTGATGAACTCCGGCACTCCTTTCTTGATGTTGCATGACGTTATCTTTCCACGACTATCTTTCCTAATATGCATTGTGGTCGTCCATCTCCGACTTTTATGTAGTTGTACCTCACAGGGGTCTTTCAGTCCTCCAAAATGTGCCCGGGCAAAGTGAACAGGGACGTTCTGCATAATAAGAAAATAAAATCCATGTGAAGACCCATTTTAATGAAAATAACCAAGTTCAACACTTTTTTTTTATCCCTGTTGCCCACATGTAAGCGTCAACAATTTTATTAATCCCTGTTGCCCACATCCCAGCATACATGTAATTATAGATTACCTTCCACATGAGTGTTTAAAATTGAACTTAAGGGCTAACGGCTCCGATAAAGGGTGACTCATCCAGATTGTGACTAATATGTGTGACTATATTGGACTACTAACTCTACATAACACTAATAAGTTTTTTTAAGTTTTTGAGTACTATTTTTATTCTGTGTATTTGTATGCATTGACAGTAACCAACTAAGTCGCCAACATATTTCTTTCATTATAAGCTAGAGTATGAAAAAATTAAGTGGCACTTTTTAATTGTGAACTTACAATAGTTGGTTTGAATATGTAGCTGTATAGGAAGGTGAATGTGAAGGAGTTGACCAGGTTTGGTGGTGGGCTTTGTACCACCCTATCATCAGTAGCATCATCACCTTCGCCTTCGTCGTCGCTTGAGTCAGATGATACCAGTATAACCTCACCGGTTATATCAGACCCACCCCTTCAGATAACAACCTTGAATAGATCATCATCTTCTACCGTAACGATTAATATATCATCCACAAAAATCCCATTTTCCGCAATGAAAACCTCCCAACCATCTCCCAAATAAAAGTTATGTCCAGTTTTAGTGTTGACCCTTATGATTTTCACATCAAAAGTCCTTGAATTATCATCGTGTCTCTGAACATGACCCGTGTTTCCCCCCGGCGCGTAACCATGTCGCTTATATACTTTGGGAGACACTGTAAAGAATGTTATTTAAGAATATGAATTAGTTACTCTTAAAAAATGTATTCAATCCATTGCAACATTTGTGCAACAATAGGCTCACCGCAAAGCTTAAATTTCTCTGATTAACTCTGAATGTAAACCACGCCATTAGCCTGTTGTACATAAAAAAACGTACACATTACTCAATATATCAAAATTACAATTTATTTTTCATATAGCTAGGGAATTTGTAATGTTAGTTCAATATTCATTGTTTTATAAGAATTTCTTACCAAAAATCAATGTTAAAAATTCACAATTGTATGGAAACCTAGGTTCCCACTAAAGATTAAAGAATCCATTTATTTAACCAATTACCCGTATATCTGGAATATAAAGACTACCCTCCATACAAATTGGACTATTCTGTTTCAAATCCCAACATTTTAAGAATAAAATATTTAACCAACGACGTGGTGTCCCAACTGTATCACCAATTACCATTGATAAGGGGGAATCATTGGATTCAATTGTAGAATCGAAAGAGGTCCAATTAAGGGTGAAGAAGGGCGGTTACCCAAGTACATCTGCTGAACACTCTCCAATTATTTAACTTGCATTATTTTGTTACAACCTAATTTTAGTTTTTCTGTAGTTTGTTTTGTTGGTGGTGGTCTTCTCCTGTTTAGAAATTGCAATTTTCAGTGTAATCGTTACAAGTTGTATTTGGTATAACGTCGCAGTTGTTCTGTTGTGTTAAAAGTAGCATTTCAACTTTACATTTTACTTGAAAATCTTCAATATCAAACAGAACAAAAACAAAAATCAAAGCAATCGTACAGCTAAGGCTGCTTAAAAATAAGGTGTGCAATCAAAATATGGTCAATGTATACAAAGTCCAATGACCACTTTAAAAGTGAATTGTGAAATTATGGCCCAATAACAATGCTCGACGAAGTCATTGTATGTATTGGGCTATTGGGCCGTAGTTTGGCTGGCCCTCATTTACAGTTAATAGTTTTAAGTTGTTTCATGGTTGGCCCAATTGTGGAGTTGTGGAAATGTCATTGTTTGTAAGAAAAGTTGTCTAAATAACACCAAATAGTACTGGCGTATATAGTAGTACATGTACAAATGTACAATGTACCATTGTAGAATATAGTTTAAATATTTAAAGTAGAAAAACAATATACTTTAAAATGGAACGATAATAGTGATTGCGAAGTAATGGGAATAAGGCATTTCCAGTGAAATGATAATGATAATAACACTTACATTTTCAAACAAAAAGCAGCAAACACTTATATTACATGTTGAGAACCATAATAAAAAAAAGTCATTGGCGAAGTACATAAATTGTATTTAAAACATAATTGAGAATGCGACAGCAATAACACAGACACATATTGTTGGATGACAAACAAATTCGACATCCGGGCATAAGGTATCAGCCATAAGACAATCAAACTCTAGCATCGGGACCTTGTCTTTCCACAGGCTGCCTTAGTTGGACGAGTTCTTGAAATTTCTGCTGTAGCCTTACGCTTACACTGGTAAAAAAAACGAAAAAAATTAATAGATGATGTGAGAATATACTAAATTGGTGTTCTAATATTTGCATCCGGAAATTACCTTACTACTAACTATTTTGGTCGATGAAAGCAATGACACCAAATCTTCCAACAATTTAACCTTCTTGCCTTACATCAAAACAATGGGAAAATAAACAACTGATGTGATTTACAAGGGTCAGAATTATATGTAATACAAAAGATGTGGAAACCTTGTTTGGTGTGACTACTCCTTTCTTTGTTGTTGGGGCTGTGATGCTAACATTGGCCCTTTGATCACAAACCATTTTCCCCTTACCACGACAACAAGCTTTTGTAACCTGTCATGCTGACTTTTTCGGGAGCGATTTGCTTTTCTTTTTTGTTTTGTCTAAGGTAGCCAAACTTGTTGCATTTGTATCCAGATTGGTGGTGAGTTTTTTCTTTCCAGGTTTTTTGAAACCCATCTCTTCCAATGTCTTTGGCCGAGATCCCTTAGGCCGGCCACGAGGTTTTTTCTTCAAAATTGGATCCTTTATGACATTGTTAACACAGTGCGGTTCATTATCGAGGGAATCAAATTGGGCATCCATGGCATCTAAGTAGTCGAATTCGGCCTGCTGATAAACAGGCGACACAGTGTAGCTACTTGTTTATGTTTCCATATTCTGATCAGTACCGTCATCGGGTAAAGATAAGGTTATGCTCTCAGCTGCCTTCTTTTGCCTGCACTGGAGGACTTGACTCCTAATATTCAGTAATGCATTTCTAACCAACGAAACCGCTTCTTCATCCACCATAGCGGCAACATCGCATATCTCTTCAAACTCGGTCATCAACTTGTTGTACCTTTTGACAGCGGCATATTTGTTTGGGTTGTGATAAGAGACCGCAACACGTTTGTGTTTCCTTAGTATATCCTTTCGCCATCTCCTTAAAACATACTGTTCTGGAACTTCAACAACTTGATTTTTATCAAGTATTTGTATCATGTGTTTGCACATTATACCATGTGTGACGAATTTCCGGCATTGACATTCAACCTCCAAATTATCCTTGTTGAATGTGGCTTTGAAAACCCTACGACGATCTGTTATTACTTCCTCACTCTTACCTTCCGGCACAATCCACACCCGATCTTCTACATCATACTCAATTATATTTCCATCTATGATTTTGCTTTCTTTGCAATAGCAATACATCATTCTAGTACATTCGTTCTGAACCTCCTGAAACTTGGTGTCCGTATACATCCTTTGGAAAAACTTTTCCACCTTGAATCCAGTCACTAGCCTCCTCACATACTTAGCACAGTTCGCATCTGCAGTTGTCTCATCACATACACGCTTATGCATTGCCTTTGCATATTTAATAGGAAACTCAAACAGTTTGGTCTTAAGATTCACATAACCGTCAAAAAAACTGTTGATACTTTCCACCCGTTGTGTTGTCTTCATACCCGCCCAGAAGTAGTCTCTCAGGTATGCGGGAACCCACATATGCCTTTCACTATAAAGGGTGGACAACCACTCATTGTCATTTAGATTGTTGTCGGTTATAAACTTTGTCCAATCATTCTCAAACTATTCAACAGTCAAACTTTCATAAACAATAGCTTTCATCACAGGTTTGAAAACTTTGTACCTACAACTTGTCCACATAATTTTGAAAAACATTAGTTGTAATAGACATGTTCGTAAAATAATCACAAACCAAAAGAACGCACAAATTACTACTACTAACCCTTTGCATTTGCCTAATTTTTCGGGAACTTTCCGCATAATGTGCCATATGCACCATCGATGTCGTGTCTCAGGCATTACCTCTTCTAAGGGCTTCCTCATGGCTGCTGCCTGATCAGTCAGAATTGCTGCTGGGGCTTTGTTATTCATAGCTAATAACCACTCCTGAAAAATCCACCTAAAGGTATCACAATCTTCGTGTGACACCAATGCACAACCCAGCAATATGGTTTGGCCATGATGGTTTACACCAACAAAATTAACGAATGGTAATTCTTACTTATTTGTTAGATAAGTAGCATCAAAGCAAACAACATCACCAAACTCTTCATACGCTGCCCGACTTCGACCATCAACCCAAATTACATCTTTCAACCTACCCTCAGGATCGAGTCGGATGGAATGAAAGAAATTGTCGTTCCCTTCTTGCATTTTCTTCATATATGTCATCAATGTTCGTGAATCACCCCCAAGCATTTTCAGTCTCCTAGCCTTGTACACCTCATGAGCTAAGTCCTTCACGGTGAAGCGAAGGTTGTCAAACCCATCAACTTCAGCAGAAAAACAACCGTGAATTTGTGAAATGGGCACGCCTTCTTCAAAAAAGTCCAACAACCTCTTCCTAGCCCTCGATGTTAATCCCTTCATTCTATACTCTTTCACTAAGCTTTCCTTGCGTGGGGTAGCAGCATGAGTGTGTTCCAACTCCACTTTCTTGATCTCCCACTCCCCCCCGCGGTTTATGCTAGCGTATACCTTCGCCAAACACTCACATTTTTTTTATTTTCACTTACGTTGGCTCAGCTCATCCGCACATACTACACCACCAACAACTCCACCCGAACCTGATACATCCATCGCCTTAGCCCTCCTCTTTGCTTCCCTCATGGCTCTCATATCAGGTCGACCCCAACATTCACACCTCCATGTTGTTGCAATACGGTCTCTCACTTCCCCTTTCGAATAGACACCTTGAGCAATAGTAACACCCAAACCCTGTTGCTCAGCATAGGATTTGTAATATGCCTCGACATCTCACCAACTATTAAAAATCATTCCGGTTTTTGGGGGTTCAACTAAATTCACGACACTGACAGTATTACTACCAACAACAGTGCCTCCTGTGCCGTTCGTTGTATTAGGAGATAAATACATATCTCTATTCTGCTCCTCACACACAGCTTCACTCACAATGTCATGAACTTCAACGTATTCACAATCAGATTCCTGTCTATCACCCATACTTTCACCCACACTGTCAGCCATATTATATATCAGGCCTTTTTTATCAAAATCAATAGAACCTGCATGAAATCCAGATCGTGACAATAAGCATTACATTCATAGTCTACCAAGTTTAATCACTCCGACACAACCAACTTCAAGGGTTTAATCAAGATACATAACATAACACACTATCATTTTCTTACTATTACAACCAAATTACATCATAATACCACTACCAAAACAAACAGATCCAAATAACAAAACCATTTTCAAACGATACAGTTTTACAAAATTATTTATATTGTCAACTTGAATAAGATTCTTACTAATATATTGTAGGCAATGTCATTTACATAAAGTAACAAAATCTTAACTTGATTAAGTAAAAATGTCCAAACTAACCTGGAGAAAAATTTAGTAAAAGCACAATTACATCGGATATTGTAGATCTTCGGTGTTTAAGCCATTACACAATCAGGAATGGAACTGATCTATATGGATCGATCGCTCTGATCCGTTGTTAGTTGGACCACGATTTTTTCTACTAATTTGAAACAGTTAGATTCTTGTGGGTGAAGAAATTTTAGTCAAAAAGATAAATTTGACTAAACACTGTTTACCAACTACCGACTTTTTTTTCCCCTTTTATACCGACTTTTAACCATGGTTCGCTGGCTAACTCAATCACTGTCGGAAGAAGGCTTCATACGTTAGAATCAGTTTTCCAACGTGTATGCTACATAATGCTGATTCATATTCCAGTCATCTCAAACGCTGATGTGGCATAATTGATTGACAAAGTTTGTTAATCAACAAGATTAACTGGGCAACCCTCCTTGATTAATGTGTTTGACATATGACCTTAGATCTTTATAACATGGCTCTTCACCTAAGTATTCAATGAGTGTATCTTTATTCCATGTAGAGCTATCAGGAAGTTTTAGCGATGATCTCTCAAGTCGGAATTTGTGTTCAACAGTTCGAAAAACATACCCATTGACAATGGAATCAGCCCCATTATGTCCACTACAGTTCTTCTCAGTTCTTACAATTATTCTCCTGAAATCATCATAATACAAAATTCAGTTTAATCATGTGTAAGAAAATATTGTCACAAGGGCTTAAAAAATTGTTTAAATTAAACCAGCGGAAGACTTAAGTGTGAATGTTGCCACATGTACATGTTCGTGTACTAAAATCGGTTTAATGTATTAAAAAATCTAACCCTCATGGTACATTCTACATATCAATCAAATAATGCAAGCTTCCTTATATACCCACGACACAAATTCAATACCAAGAAGGAAAGACCAGTAATACTACCAGTTTCCTGTACCCACCATAATTGTTAGGGTTGGTGAGTGCACAACGAAAGTGAAGATCTGTATTGTTTGAGAAATATGAATGTAAATGGTAATTGGCAAGATAATTAATATAAACGAACACACGATTTATATAACGACGAGCACTTTTATTCCACTATATAATAAAATAGGAGAGTACAATTTTTCCCTTTTGGGTTTGTATTGCAATATGACTCTCTCTATATTTACTCACAAAGGAATATTACAATTAGAGTATAGTGGATTTGGTAGAATTGTAAATTTGGCGGAGGTTTACAATAAGGGTATTTTTATACAGCCTCCAGTCCAAATTACTCGGAACAATTTGGACCGAAAGTAGTATTTGTGTGTGGCTCTTTCTGTATGTGTTGCTTCTTGTCTTGTTTTTGTGTTGCTTTCTTGACAATATGTGCCTAAGTCACACATATATATACTTGTATGTGGCGGTTGAATATGGCGGTGATGTAATGATATTTTGTGTCAAGAATCCTCTTTTGTGTTCCGATGAAATTAGCTGGAAAGCTTCTCTGTAATATAAAGCTGCTCTTTCTACAACAGAAGCTGAGTATGTAGCAGCAACCGAAGGTATAAAGGAAGCAACATGGTTGCGAAGTCTTGTCACGGATCTTGGTGTACCACAAGGAGTCACTGTTGTGTGTTGTGTATTCTGATAGTTAGAGTGTTATCTTTCTCATCAAGAATGATGCTTATCATCATAAGACCAAGCATATTTCAGTCAAATTCACTACGTCAAAAACACAAGTGCTGAAGGAGAAATTGCTGTCAAGAAGATTCACACTTCAGAGAATCCTGCAGACATGCTCACAAAACCACTTCCTACCACTAAGTTTGATCATTGTTTGAACTTAATGGGAGTTCATTCTTTCTAAGCCCTTCGGGGCTCATATGACGAGTTACCATGGAATTTGGTCCAAGGTAGAGATTGTTAAATGTGGCCCAAATTTCATTAGGCGTAAGTCTTTGACCCAATTAAAAGACTTCTCTAGAGTTACTTAGTAAAATCTAGAGATTGAAGGATCATGCATAAGTCGGTGAATATATAGGTTTAGAAAGTTTGATGGGTTAATCTTCACATTTCTAGAAGCTTATCAAGATTTCATTAACCAACATAATGCTAGTATATATAGACGATGATGGGCATAAATTTGGGCATCTACAAAAAGTCAACCACATTTTTGCATACATTACTAATCTCCTAAAATTAATCTCCTCTTTGTAATCATTCCACTATTTCCTTTACTCTTTTAAGATTATTTCTTTTGAGAGTGTATTGTATTCGAATCACCCTATATAAATTGGGGTTACTTTGTAATCTCATATTATAGTGAAATTATTTTGGTGCTCGTCAATAGAGGTTTTTCACGTTAAATATCGTGTTCCTTTTATTGCTTATCTTGCGTTTTATCTTTATAATTTCTCGATTTGTTTTACGTTTTCGTTACGTGCTCATACCCTTACAATAATCATGATACAAACATTTGCACAATCTAGCTATGCAAATATATTCCAACATTCCCTCGATACGAAATCAATTGTCACATCAAGTGTAATTTAAGCTCGTATAATATCACATAAAATTCGGGCGAAGGGTGTAACAAATATATACTGTGTTATACTCCCTCCGTTTTTAAATACTTGTTCCATTTCTCTTGGACACGCATGCCGATGCTAATCTTTGATCACTAATATTTTTAATTATCAATAAGTATAACTTCTAACAATTGAAAATTAATAATCTATTCATTGAAATGATTCCAACAAGTACCCACACGACTATATTTTTTTCTTATGTATAAATCACAAACATTAGTCAAAGTAGGATAAATGAATAGTGTTGTTTCGGGGTTTTTTGATGTGTCCTGCGGGAGAGTTACAATTCCAAGAATGCCCTTCGACGCCTGTGCCTGCAAAATCACGAAGACTCCTGGGGGTAGGAGCTCCGCCTCCGGCGATCAAGTTAGTAAAGATACGGGAGGTAGAATGCACGTAATGTAGAAGTTACTTCTCGCGTAATGGGAGAATTCTGCAATTAATTTTGCTCGGGGTAAGTGTTTTTCTTTTTGAGGAGTATTCAATGTGAACAACAAATGTTCCAGCCCCTCATTAATGAGGGTCCTTCCACTATTTATAGTGGGGAAGGGATGGTTTCCCTTTTAGGGTTTAGAGGACACGTGTCAGCAGAGGATTGGAGCCCTGCTGACCAACGGCTGGATTCCACGTGTCACTAGGCCATTGGGCCACGTGTTTAGGGTATTTTTACCCCAAACAAGTGTAAAAAATAGAAATGGAACAAGTATTTAAAAACGGAGGGAGTATAAAACAATATTCTAACATTTACAATCAAATTATAGAAATAATTCTTTTGAACTACATAACACCCGATCCCATTCCGACCTCGATATGTGGAATCGTCTTGCCCAAAAATGTCAAATAAAGACAATTTTAACAAACATCAACTTAATATATAACAGGAAGAAATTATTACAAAAAATTATCACAAGGTTTTAATAATTTCATATAATAGAAAGAAAACCTAGAAAAGATTATGTTAAACATGCATAAATATTAACATTAACAACTAAATGCCATCAAATTACATTAAAATGGGTAGTTGATTAAGTACAAAAATTCTATAAAAACTTACTTCGTTAGAATTTGCAGAAATAGGAAGAAATGAATGCTTGTATTCTGACATTTTCTTAACTTCAAATGAATAATGAGAAGCAGGGTATGCTAAATCTATCAAAATGTTGTCAATTGCAACGGAAACCGCCATTTTTCTTGACAGAGAGAAAGCGTCGGAATTTGTGAAGATTTTGTCGGAGTGTCGAAAATTCTTAAGTGATGGATTTTTAGGTGAGAATCTCTTTTTTGTTTTTGTTTTCCTTTTTAAGGGGAAAAGAAAATGTCTTTTATATGCAATGATATTTGCGAATTTGCTTATTACACACATACTTAGATAACACATTGCGCATTTGCACGTAACTTTATCACAATTTCATAAAGAGTAAGCAAAACATATGTTATACTTACCTTCATTTTTTTTAGTAACTTTTTTTAGTTGACACATTTCCTTTTTAGGTTAATTTTATACTTCCTCTGTTCTGTTAATATTGCAACAAGGAGGAAATTACGCATCCCAAAACACATTTTATATACTAAATATCTATAATTGTGTAAGAGTAAAAATTATAAAAAGTGGATATTGTGAAAGTATTATATGAGACGAATCCAACAAGATCCCACTTGACTATATTTTGCTTAACGTATAACTCATATTATATGGTCAAACAATAGTGATGAATAGTGCAAAAAGTCCATTGTTGCAATATTAATAGAACGGAGGAAGTACTTGCTTTTTAAGTGTACCCCACTTGCTTTATCATTCTCTCTCCTCTCCATAATATGTGTGCCTAAATGGAACGTGACAACTAAATAGAAACGGAGGTAATTATAACATTTAAGTATTATCTAAAGATTTATGATTATTATTAATAGAAAAAATGAAAATAATTTATTTGACATTGATTTCTTAGTTGATCTGAAAAATATTTGAAGTAAATATGTAATAACAAACCGTGTTAAGTGAATAAAGATCACGTGACCTCACATGTTTCAATTCACTTTATTTTTGTAGAATTGGAATCATTTTATTGACTTTTTAGTTTTTATCATAATTTTTTTTCGAGGTTATTAAATTTTAATGAAATTAAATTAAATTTACTAAGTTAAAATTGTGTCGAGATAGTAGAGAGGAAGGTTTCCCTAATGTTATTCAATATTATAATGGAAATATGAAGCATATAAAAAAATATACACTTTATATGATAGCGGATCTAGGAATTTAAAAAATAGTGTAAAGTATTTTCACTTAGAAAGTATTGCAATTTTTTTAAAAATAAAATAAACACCTTAGGTAAAGAGATGGTATTGACTTTTAAGAGTGAGTATTTTATTTATTATTTTTTTTTATAGGTATAGAGAAGGACTTAAACAAGTTGAAATCTCTCACATAGAAATGAGAGGAAGGACATGGGAATCCCCACCTCCAAAGTTAGAGGTTGGGGGTTCATGTTCAGATATAATATTGGTAACTGGTAAGCTGTCCAGGTTAACCCATCTCAATTGCTAAACATCGCCCGCGAATCTCCACATAAAGCCCACAAAATTAGAGTGAATTGTCACTTTTGCCCTCAAAGTAAAAAACACAATTTCTTCTCTCAATTCTCTACTTCCACTTTCTCTCTCTAAAAAACTTTCCGAGCGATGTCGAGGCGGCCCGGCAAGGAAGTGGCGGCACAGGCGGCGGGTGGACAGCGGTTTTCCGGCGAGAAGGTATTTTTTATTAATTTTGTGTTTAAAAATTAAAAAAAAAAGGTCGGAGGCGGTGGTGGCGCCTAGGCCAGACGCCACCACCACGGCGGCGGCGTCTAGCCCAGACGCCACTACCACGGCGGCGGCGCCTAGGCCAGACGCCGTGACGGTGGCGGTGGCGTCTGGCCCAGGCGCCAGAACCACGGCACCGGCGTCTGGCCTAGGCGCCGCCGCCGTGGTAGTGGCGTCTGGGCTAGACGCCGCCGCCACCGTCACGGCGTCTGGCCTAGGCGCCGCCGCCTTTTTATTTTTTTTTTTAATTTTTTTTTGGTTTTAAATTTGAAATTTAATTTTCGAAAATAATTATTTTTTTTTTGATTTTTTTTTAAATTTGTTTTTCTTTTTTTTAATTTTAAATTTTATGTTTCTGATTTTTTTTTTATTTTGTTTTAAATTTTGTTGGTTTTTTTTAAAAAAATTTTATGTTCCTCTTTTTTTTTTTTTAATTTTTAATTTTATGTTCTTGTTTATTGTTCTTGTTTTTTTTTTTTTTTGAATTAGTTTTTTTACTTAAAAAAAATTTTATGTTCCCTTTTTTTTGTTATAAATTTTTTTTAAAATTTTGATGTTCTTCTTTTTTTAAGTTTTTATAATTTTATATTTTTCACTTTGTTTTTTCCAATTTGTTTTTTTTGGGTAATTTTTTTTTTTTGCTTTGTTTTTTCCAATTTTTTATTTATTTATTTATTAGGTTATTAATTTTTTTATTTTTAGGTTGTTAATATTTTGTAATGTTTTTAATTTATTTTCCATCATATGTATATTGTTTTATTTATTTATTTTAATTACTTTTTTTTATGTTTATATTACATGTTTATATTGCATATTACATGTTTTGTTATTTTGTGTTAGGCATCGTATTTTCGTTCTGGGGCTGGGAAGAGTATGGACATTATGAGAAGTACGATGAACTCAATGGAGAGCTCGGGGCCCAGACACGTTAGATCCCGTGGTATTTCGGCCTCGGCTCGTAGAGAACGGGTGCACTATTCTGAGGATGATGAAGATGATGATGGTGATGAGGAGGAGGAGGAGGAGGATGCAGATGAGGATGTGGACGATCAGAGTGGACCATATGATGATTACGGTCCATTCAGTCAGAGGCTTGATGATGTGTATGAGACGCGTAGGGTAGACGTGCGTAAGGGTAGAGATGGTAGATTTGTTAGTAGATCTGGCACATCATCTGCGTCCACTGTGTCTGCGGTTAGCAGAAAACGGTCGAGGGCCGTTAATGATTCTTGGGTGGTGAGGGGCGAGGTGGCTGGGGGACCTATAGACGGGAGTGTGATTCCTAGCTTTCTAGGACACATCGCTACCCGTATTTGGGAGGACCAAGAGCGGGCTTTGGATAGCGGCATTTTGAAATGCCAAACCCGGGAGAGGACTTGTAACTTCTTGTGTAGTTGGGCTGAGGCTTGGCCGGAGGAGAGCGAGATGGTCGGCCGATTGAGGGCCACTAGAGTGAGCCACCTTCCTGCCACCATGCATGAGAGGATTGACTCGACGCTGATCACGGCTTTCGTTGAGCGATGGCAGCCGGACACGAACTCTTTCCACCTTCCGTTCGGTGAGATGACGATCATGTTGCATGACGTCGAGGCCATCCTTGGGATTCCCGTAGAGGGAAACCGAGCATCTGTTGTCACAGATGCGGATCAGGCAGATTTATTGGCGGAGCTGTTGGCGGTGGATAGGGCTGCGCTGTACACAGCGGCACTTGGTGTGTGGGATCACGGCGGTGTTAAGATCGCAGCAGTTTTGCAGCGATGTTTGCACCCCACTTCACGTAGGACGCAGGACACACAGCTGGCTGCATATGTTTTTCTTCTTCTCGGGTGTACCTTGTTTCCGGATAAGAGCGGAAACAAGCTCAGGCCACGCGACGTAGTTGACGCGTGTGAGCCCGACAGAGTAGGCCAGTTTTCTTGGGGGTCGGCTACATTAGCGTACATGTATCGCCAGTTAGGATTCTCGAGCCGGGCTGATGCGGCAGGTATCACTGGATGTATGACGTTGTTACAGACGTGGATATACGAGTATTTCCCGGCGTTTCGACCACACCGCGACCCGGTTCCTATTGGGGATGGCCAGCCACGTGCCTGTGCGTGGAGTCCGCGTGTCGAGAAGAAGTCCATTGACCGCCTGCGATCGATACGGTTATTGCTTGACAGGATGTCCCCATTAGAGGTAAAGTGTTTAAATTATTTCTACTTTTATAGTTTGATGTGTTTATTGTATGAATCTTACTAATTTTAAAAAATGTGCAGGTGAACTGGATGCCTTTCGGCCAGAACCCTAGTAATAGGGTACCCAGGACCCTCTACACGGGACTGATTCAGTATCGTGAGATCGTAGAGGCGTACATGCCGCAGCGCTGTCTTCGCCAGCTTGGATATGTCCAAGTTGTTCCTCCTCCACCAGCATGGCCCAGTAAGGCCGTCCGATCTGCGTCGTTGAAGGAGTACGTCGTCCAATGGCCGGCAAGCATGATTGGCACGTGGGAGCAGTTTCCGATGGTTGCCCGCATATGGATTGAGCAGTTGCAGCGGCCGCCAACTGGGGTGGCTGCCATGTGTGACCAGCACTACATGGAGTGGTACAACCGGCACTCGCACCCGAGGTTGATCAGAGACATCCACCACGGCGACGACGCCGATGATGATGATGTGCCACCGCCCACTGCCGTGGATGCGGTACGTCTCATAAAACATTTGTAGTTGTGTTTTTTTTCATATAATACGTCTCATAATACGTCGTTATTGAATTTTATGTGTTTTGTTATGTGTAGTGGATGGGAAAGATGACGCAGTTGGGACACAGACTTTTTGAGGAGAGGGACAACATGACGACTGCAACAGGCAGAGCTGTTATTGATGAACTGGAACGGGCCCTTGAGCAGTGGCAGTGGGCGTCACAGAGAGATTATTGATATGTCGGCAGTGCATTTATAAAACATTTTCCTAGTTGTTTGTAAAAGTTAACATTATCTGTTCTTATAATTATTATTTTAAGTTCTTAGAATTTGACATTATATTTTTAGTTTTTATAACTTTTATTTTAAGTTGTAATTAGTGGGCATACGAAAACTAAATACAGGTTCACATTTAAATGGGAAAACTAAATACGAAAATTAGAATCCGAAAATTAAATAAATGGGAAAAACATAGCAATAGCAATATTAGGTCACATAGAAAAGGCAACTAGATTGTTCCACTGCTGCACCCGGTCATGATATAACGCATCCCAGCCCTCTACGCTTGCTGTACGAATGGTGTACCACGTTGGTATAATCGGTGGGACCGGAAAATCGGGTGACAGGTCCAGTCGGATGAAATGTCTGTATGACGGCCCCAGAAATCCAATAGCAACCTCTCTTACCGGTCTGGTGACGGTCTCACGCGAACACCAAGGCAGAACCGTGGTACACGGATAGTAAGCTCGACCATGCAAACCAAGGCCGAAATGCATCACTGCACACTTGTAGATGTTTGCAACGGCGAAGAGATCAAGGGGCGCGTCGAACCAATGATTTTGACCGCAACGTCCTCCTCCCCACCGGATACGCTGCAGAGACCTATCCAAGTCCTGTCCGTACACGTGGCGATAAACAGCTCGGTTTGAGGCGATTTCACTGTACATCAACTGACGCACTAAACCGTAGTTGTCTTCACCCATCTGAAACACATCAGCCACAACCCGAAATCCACAGTTACCATCTGCAACCACATCATTCCACCCGTCCAGGAACGGCATCATGATGTTAGGGATCCTGTCTTTATATGGAAAATGTTCAATGTCCATTCTGCCTGTTGCACACATCAAAAAACACAATTAACAAGTTAGCAGAAAACTAAACAAACACTCTAAAAAGTAAATTAAACTAAAGTACCGTACCGGTGCCGGGCATATTCACCGACGAAGATGTTTGACTACCACTTGATGACGATGTACGACCACGGCCACGACCACGACCACGACCACGAATGTACTCAAACGCACTCCTTTCCCGCCGTGGTTGTCGGCCCCGTGGTCGCTCGACCCCCTCAGGTTCCTCATGATCCAAGCACGACGAGTTGAACATGTCATGAAGTACGTGGGTAGCACTACGAATGACTGAAGGGTGGCTGGAGGACACTTGGTCAAACATCGAACGAAACTGCTCCAACTCCTCCTGTTCACGGTTGACTGTCTGTGGAACAGCATGCTCTCCGATAACGAGCGTCCGCCAGAATGTATGAACCTGATCAACATGTAACGACGCCCTATCTTGCGTAATTACGCGGTGAATGGTGCATGCACAAGGTAGTCCATGAGTCACCGATATAGCACATCCGCACCGAATAGCCACTTCATCACCCAACTCCCTCATCCTGGTGTGCTCGCTCAGAATCAACCCCAAGCAGTAGTGTGACACACGACCATGGAGAATCTTAAATATGAAATGGCTATACATCGTGCCATGTCGCCGTCTGGAGTCCTCGAGAGAGTTCTTGATGCCGTTCCTCTGAGTATCAATAGCCTTGTTTATTCTCTCGAACAGTGTATCCAGAGCAGAGGTGGAAGAATCAATCCAGTCCTTCAGAGCTCTATGAGCGCTCTCAACTCTACATGTAGTAGTGTTTCCAAAATGAAGAACTTGGTTTGTCCAATATTTGACAAACTTTTCCCTCTGAGGCACCCACTGCTGCATCACATAGTCTACGATTGCCGGGCACCATTGGTATGCATCCTTGAAGTTATCCAAGGCTCGGTCGTACTCTGCCTCCGTGGTAGCTTGCAGGATCTTCCGCCACTTACCATTTACCAATCTCTCTGCTGAATCTAAGTTCTTGTTGAAAAGGTTGTAGGCTTTGACTTTCACGCATTTGTTGATGTGCCATGTGCACAGTAAATGGCTCGACTCCGGAAACAGCTCCGCTATAGGGGCAAAGAGACCTCCCTCACAATCGCTGACGATGGCCGATGGCTGAACACTTGGGCCGATGTAATTTCTCAACTTCTCCAACACCCAACGGTAACTCGCAACCGTCTCATCCTTCATAACTGCATAACCAATCAAAAAGTTCTGGTTCGTTGGAGTCATCCCAACCATCTCAACCAGTGGAAACTTATACTTGTTTGTCTTGTACGTTGAATCGATCAGAATCACAGATGGCCAAGACGAAATCATATCAGCACAATCAGGATGCACAAGGAACAAATGAGTCACCTCCGATGTGTCTTCATCAGATTCAAACCAGTACAGGTAACCACGTGCTTGTGCCTGGTGTAGAAGCTGCTGTATAGGGTTCCTTCCCTCTGACCGTTCAAACCTCAATTTATGTCTGACGTTGTAGATGTGTCTTCGGTTTGGCTGGTCTTCAGGAAATTTCTCCAACACAGATGCTAATATTTTAGCAGGCTTCACTTGAGCATCACTCATTTCTTTTACAATTAGTTTCGCAGCAGGACTTAGGCCACTTAACTGTCGATGACCCACTTCATATGCGATCATCTCATGGTTGTGATACCCCCATTTACCGTAACTCTTCACTTCCCAACCGTCACCCCTTTGCTGTTGTCGAACCTTTACTCTGAACTGACACCCACAACCTTTCCGCTTTGTATCAAACCGAATCGCTTGACTGAAATCTCGTTCCTCCCTTTTGCGATAACGGTCGCATCTCAAAATGCGATCCATTCTACCATCCCGTTGAGATTTATGAGTTGCTACTACTAAACAAAAACCTGATCTAATTGCAACCTGTTTCGCCCAATCAACCGCTTGTTGAGCATCTTCGAACAGACCATCGTGTACAAAAATCCCACTATAATCATTTCCGTCTCCACCATAATCCTGCAACAATAACATATAAATATAATCACATAAGAGTAGATTAAATTAATACATTTGACACAACATTAGCACAAAAGCAAAAACAATAATAAATTATAAACAACAAACAAAGAAATAAACAAAAAGTATTCAAAAAAAAAAAAAAAACAAAACACAAAAATAAAAAACATAAACAAAACTTTAGATTAAATAAATAAAAATAAACCAAAAAAATAAAAACAAAAAAAAAACATAAAACGAAAAAAATTGTAAAAAAAAATAAAAAATAAATAAATTAAAAACAAAAACAAATTAAAACAATTAAAAACAAAACAAAAAAAAAACCAAAAAAAAAAGAAAAAAATTGTAACACAAAAAAAAAAAAAAAACAAATTTTAAATTAAATTAAAAAAAAAAAAAAAAAAAAAAATAGTGGTGGCGCCTAGCCAGGACGCCGCCACCGTGGCGGTGGCGTCTAGCCAGGACGCCGCCACCGTGGCGGTGGCGCCTGGCCAGGACGCCGCCACCGTGGCGGCGGCGTCTTGGCCAGACGCCACGGCCACCGTGGCGGCGTCCTGGCCAGGCGCCAGAGCCACGGTGGCGGCGTCCTGGCCAGGCGCCACCACTACGGTCACGGCGTCCCGGCAGGACGCCAGCCGCCAATTCGTGGTTTTAGATGGCTTCGTACCTCCTTTTCCGGCGTCAACGGCGTCTCTCCGGTGCATCTACCCGACGTTGAGGGCTCTTCGGTTTCACTCGGCGATCCAGTCCTGCTCCACATTTTTTATGAGTGAAAAATTTTATTTTCGGTAAAAATTAAAACAAGGGCAATAATGTCAACATTTTTAAAAAATGTGGGCTTTATGTAGAAAAACGCGGGCGATGTTTAACAAATCCCTAACCCATACCACCCCCCCCCCCCCCCAAAAAAAAAAAAAAAAAAATCAGTAAACAAGACATAATGTCAAAAACCATTCATATACTGCCATAAATTGCCACAAATAATAGCAGCAAAGGTGAAAAGTTGAAGCTATAACTATTTAATCCTAGAGAAGAAGAATCATGCCCTTTAGACTAATAAGGGCATGGCAAACAAGACAGAAAAAAATCTTCCATATACAGCTACATTAATGGTACATTATCTTCCTCAGAATTATATTCTCTGTAAGCCGCATTTAGGGCAATCAACTCTTGCAGTATCGCTATTACTACGTCTTCTACCACGATACAAATGGGAACCTCGGCATGCCACAATATCAACAACTGCATTATGATCCCAAAAATTTGAGATTTGCCAAATAGGATGTTATAAATGATCTGTAACAAAAAGGACAGATTTTGGCATGACTGTATGCAGACTGCAGAGGTATGCTAATGACTTCAAGTAACTACTATGTTAGCTTATGCTTCATAAAACTTTGCTGAAGCAGAAGGGCAATGACTCAGATCTTAACGACCACTCTAAACTTGATCTGTTTTGCTGCTCTCCTTAGTTTCACTAATCATATGATGTTCAGCTCGATTAGATCCTAAATCTTCTGGATTTTCACCAAGTCTCTCCTGCAGAAGGGAAAAGATTATTATTTCCTTTAAAAGCATATACTAAAGATAGGCAGGGGGAAGTAAACAGGCTTACATGGTTCCAAGTTATCATATTTTTTATGATGATTTCCAAAAGTCAACTTCTAAAAATCATGGCATAGACAATGAAAGAGAGCATGCACAAAGCCACATGACTGTCAAAGTGTCAAAACAGCATTTCAAACCAAAAAACATAGATTGACCAACCCGGCCATCAAAAAACCACAAATAGCACATAAACAAAGAAATCAATCCAATCCCAGCGAAATATAAGTGGAAATATTGGTACATGAGCTTTCTCAAAAAAAAAAAAAAAGGTACATGAGATCATTTTTTTTTTTTTAAAAATGACCTATCCCATTAACCTTTTCCTAGTGTCTTAACCACAACTGATACAACATCTTTGGTACTTTAGCTTGGGTACCTGTTACACGGGCAAGTGTTAAAAGTGTGCAACTCGGCTAATTTATAAATATCCCATTAAATTGGCCCAAAATGAAGTGTCTAAATAACCAGACCCATATTGCAGTGTCGAGGATCTGATCAGTTATTTGAGGTGAGATGAAAAGTCAAAATAACATATTAATATTAAAGAGCATAACATGTCAGCTTTGCTTCAACAGATAATTGGCATCTGTAAAATGATCATTTCATTCTACAAAAAAAAGGGAGAAAATCTCTAGAAATTGAAGTCCAAAGTGGTCTTCTTATTCAAGTGGATAGTCTCCTTACTAGCCAAATTACTAATTACTAAATACAACCATCTATTTGGCACTAGGATTATACTTGGTGCAAGTAAACCTCACACTCAAAAATGATCAGGCTACAAATTTCTGGAAGATGAACTATGTCAATTAATTCAGCTCAAGTACAATTTCTTCCAGTCACTAGATATAACATAATGAACCATGTCGTATAAAGGAGCTTCAAGAAGATGAACTAATATGCCTCAACAATGGCAGCAGCAAAAGAAAAAAAAGAAAAAAAAAAAGAAAAAAAGAACAAAAAAACATGGAAAGTGATCTAAAAGTGTTCCCCGCTTTTTAAGAAAGTTCCTTGAAGTTGAAACAAGAGAAGACAAATACACGTTATATAATTGATCACCTTGACAATACACATGCAAGAATGATGACAAAAAGACACGATCTCCATACTGAAATCACAGTGACACACAGTCACACCCCATTCATGACTTAATAATTGATATACTAAAAAATATTATCAACTAATCACTAGGAAACATATGAGAATGACATATCACCTTAAGTGCAGTATTTTCAGCCAGGAGCTGCTCATAATCACTCCTGATGCGATTAAGTTCTGATCTAAGATTAGCATTTTCTTCTTTCAATCCTTCAGCACGCTGGGCCAACTCATCACATTCAGCCTGAATTCCAATTTCAAGAAAAAGAAAAAAAGGAACAATATTGTAAGATTTGAAACCGTTATAACCATCATGAAAGAAACTGGGCCATTTGCCCATTTCACTATAAAAAATGATGAGCAATGCCCTTGCCTGCTTACGCAGCCTGGATCTACGAGCAGATTCCCTATTAGACTGCTTACGTCTCTGCCTCTTTAGTTCCCTCTCATCCTACAAGAAAAAAAAACAACAATTTAGGTAAGAGCTCATGAGCTCAACAGTTAAACAACAGAGTCGATTAAATAAAAAAAAAGAGACGACAAAAATACTAGTAACAGCCATTACAGCAGCAGAATGGACAGTGATAAAAGAGATGTAAATTTGGGCATCGTTAGATAAATAGCAGAACTCCAGGATACTTCAAACACCCATAGACAAGCAGGTATAAAGTAGTTCAGCTTAAGTCATGGCATCCCACAAGGAAACAAAGATACCCTTATGCAAAACAACCCCCTTTCCCTAAAGGCAATACCAATACAATGTTAACATACCATCACAATCTAGTGAAGGCCAAACATGAAGGAAAAAAAATAGTCTAAATCACTGTAAGTTATTAAGACCCAGTGTCAGAAAAGTCAACCATCCATTTTATTATGCTCCATTGTCCATCCAACAATTCAATTATGTTACTGTCATCAAAATCACTAGGTCTCTTAGGTTTAAGCACAAAAGCCAAATAAAGTCATAGAGAAAAGCAGAAACTAAAATACCATACACCAGCTCTACGAAATAATATCCCTGAAAACAAATCCTAATATATGTAAATGAGATAATAGCTCTATTCCCAAACAAAAACCTTACTACACAAGCAGGCTGAATTTTCCTTCCTCTAGAAAAAAGATCCAAAGTTCTCTCTCACAGTCAAGAATATATTAAAAACCTAAATGCGGAAACAACAATTCGATTTTATTACCTATTAATATGAGATTCTTTAGCAATTAGATTATACCTTTACAAATAAGGAAGTATAACTTCTTTTTTCCTATATATAGCTCCAACAGGGGCAGGAAACAGGAAAACAAACTTTCAAGAAACTTGTACAGCATGGATTTGGCAAAGATGATTAAAATATATTAACTCTAAATACAGTGTTATAATCCAAACAAGTAGTTACAAATAACAGCCAGGCATGTCAACAAAATCCCAGAAAAACACTATTCAATAAAACAAGATCTGATTTTTCTAGATTTATTAAGCAATTGTTGTATTAGTTGTCTCTTGGACTCTGGGCGACCACATTGAGCAGCTGTTAGAGATTAAAAAAAATAAAAAAAATAAAAAAAAAGTTGCTCTTTTAATTCCCAAGCCCTTGCTCTAAATTTGGATTTTATTTCAATTTTTCTGGGATGAAATTTCAAAATAAAATTGGAGGACGCCAATTTACCATACTTCATGATTCAAAAATGTCACCAGGTAGAGTTTGAACGGTATGACTGACAGTAGCCACTAATTTCAAGATGTCTTGGGGACAATCCCCAAGCATATCCAACACAAAAGACCAAAACAAAAGGTGCCCGCACTTCAAATACTTTACTTGAAGAGATTACAGAAAATACTTGGCCATTATGAGACTTCACACTTCAAGTTTGAAAAGGCCTTTTGAATGGATCCAAAGAAAATAAAGACTTTGGAAACACAGAAGACGTATTTCTAGTAAATGGAAAAGAGGCAGCTTACCGTTTGGCAAGGCATATTAAGCTAGTGAAATGAAATACTATCAATTAACTTTAGAACAATCTATCTATAAACAACAAGTAAAAGAAAAAACATACAAGCAACTAGGCAAGTTACAAAGTAGCAGAAAATCAGATCACAATCTACAATATCAGAGAAAATACAATCCCTGCAAATACAAAATGATATCATCTCTAATTGTATGACATAACTGTGCACTGAGCAGGTTGTTTAAAAAAAGATATTAAGGGCAAATTCCCATTGCTTCCTTGGTATTATTAATTCAAATTCAATATAGGAGAACCTGCGATCTTATACTTTTCAAGATATAATCTGTTGGGATTTTCTTTGCGCAAGTCAACAAGCCTTGGGGTTTTCCTGTGGCTATAGCAAAATAATGCCAAGCCTCACTATAAATAACCAAAGCAAAATGCAAGGGTAGCTAGTACAATTGTTGTTAGCCTTTAAAGATAGTATTCAAGCTCTTGAACAAGCTGACAGAGCAAGGAGGCTAAGAGACAAAAAACACACTGCTTTTTGATGGTCCAACTCTCTTAACTGCATAAATATACATATTTTAAGATAAACAAGTCAAAGTAGGAACCCTTGAACATCCAAACATTGCCTACAATTCTTTATTTAACAGTGCTGTGATAGTAAGTTAGTAGCAATTATCAGAACATGTATTGGCAGGTAAGGGCTCGTTCGTCAAAGTCGTTGGTTAGGATTTTTTGTTATTGGTTTTCAAAATAATGATGATTCTAATAATTCAACTAATTTGTTAACCTTTTTTTATGAAATATATATCATGACTTAAAAAAAAAAAAAAAAAAAAAAAAAAAATATGAACCACAGTGATGCCGAACGGACCCTAAAATACAAAATATAACAGTAATACTAGCAAGCAATAACAATAACCTAAACCTGCAACCAAAGCTGTGACTGTAAGTTATCCCGTGATCCAGCTGGAACAATTCCTGTAGCAACTGGAGCTGAAGGAACCTTTCCTCGCATAGCTGGAACTGGAGAAGAAGCAGCACCCCAATAATCCATTCCAATATTTAAATTCGTAGCAGGTCCTGGAACAGGCGCTGGAGCACCAGGTGCTGTCATAGGCACCATAGCCAATGCGTGATTCACCATTGTATGAGGCGCATTTAATACACCATTCTGAGCAGCAACAGAAGAAATTCCACTTTGAGGTGCATCAGCTGCAGAAAAAAGGCAAGAAAATAGAACATTTTTTTTAATAACAAAGAACTAGCATGCATCAAACTAAACAATCAAACTGTGGCTACGTTTTACACTTTTACCTTCTTGAGCTTCTTGTCTTTCTCCAGAGTCCTGTAAAAAGTAAAATAGCCTGGTCAGGAATAGTGATTGGAAAGACGCTAATGACAAAGAAAGAATTAAATACAAAGTTGTGGACTAATATTCTCATTTTTTTTTTCAGCTCGCCTAAAAGAATACTGGGTTTTTTTTTTTTTTTTTTTATTCTTGTATGTGATTGGTGTACAAATTGAAAAATACGGCAGCTAAAAGTTAAAATACGGGCCCAAAAACCATATCGTAATAGGAATAATTAAGTTACACAGTAAATAAATCCTCGAATAAAGAAGCATCAAAGATCCCCACAAAAAACTTGCAATACATTGATGAATTAAGAAAAAACCTCATATGAGGAAACATAAATGACAATAACCAAGGTCAATTATTTATTACCATGTTTTATAAATATTTTGCATCTTTGAATAATTCACTAGGCTTAAAATGAATAAAGAAAGGCACACATATAGTCTCAGGTCATAGAAAAGGAAACAGAAAGCCTAAAATAAGTTTCCTAATATATGATACTTAATATACCTATACAGGCAATAAATGAGTACCATCAAGAAGAGGCACAGATGTATGACCAGACATGAACAAAAAAAAAGATATCAAAGAGGCCAATACAAAAACAGGCCACAGTTGACCCCCCTATTACTGCATTAAAGCAAAATACACCAACATTCATGAAGATACCAATTTTCATTTGAAAAATACAACCATGTTTACTCACTGACTTTGATGATCTTCATGAAGAGTGAAGAGATAAACACTGGATTATATGCTACCTGACATTCAATAGTGTCAGACATGGAGACAGTATCAAAGTGTCTGGCCAGGATAAATCTAGGAGCACACCCATGTACGACACAGATACACCAAAATATGTTAAGCATCCAAGTAACATAGCAGGTATCAACAAAGATAAAACAGTCTATTGGAAAAAATAAGACCATACAGTTTATTGGAAAAATAAGACCATATTCTACCATGATTTATAGGACAAATACAAGAAAATAAGTATGTCCATCAAAATCAGAAACTATAATACAAGCCCCAAAAAAAAAAGGTATATAAGACCATAAATCTTTGCAGCCCCACAAGACATAGCTATATGCCTATTTTTATCTTGTTTTCAGGAAAAAGTTCAGAATCAAAAGTTAGTGTGAAGATGGAAGTTCACATAACACTTGTCAGGACTCCGGACTAAGTAAAATTTTCAAGACAAGTAAGAAGATACTCATTATATCTCAACAAAAAGGCTGAAGTAAGCAAACCATACATCAAGTAAAACAAATTCCATTTTCTAATCATATTTCACAAATACTAAAATCAAAAGTAACAGCCCCACAGCAATTATGTGGATTTAGACAGTAAAAAGTCAGGCCATAATGATTCCATTGGATATGCATCAAGTAACTGTGCATTAAATAACAGCCACACCTTAATTTGACAAAGATGTATATTAAAAGTTACTACATAGTATTTATATGTGAAGGTAACGCAGCACATTCAAAAGTATATACTCTGTTGCAAAAAATCAGTTTTCTAATATCTCTAAATCTGCTCCATGCAAGATAGCTATCTATTTTAATTGTCAATAAAAGAGCTTAAAGTGTGCATCTTGCATGGTAAGAAATACAAAGGATCTATTACATTTTGCGAATTTGCGTCACTTCCTTCACTTGAACCATCACTTGCACTCTCTGCACTGCAATTCCATACACATTTATAGTTAGCTGAAGTCACTATTCAGGCAGTGCTGTCATGCACAAAGTGATCAATACATGAATTAAAACAATGAAACAAATAGAAAGTCACCAGGAAATCTTGTTAGTTAATGGCTATGGTTTATATTTTTCTCAAACACTAAAAACCTCTGCAGCAGGAAAAAATGGAAGAAGAAAAAGAAGAATAAGGCAGACAAGCTAAATGAGTGTAGCCTCTGATCTTTCAAGGAATTAAAGACAAACAATAAGAGCTGATAAAGGTTACTTCCAAGATACCATCACAAAAATAGGTAAAGAAGAAGGCAAGAGAGGAAAAGGCAAAATGATCAGAAGACGAAATTTTTGAAGAAAGTTAAAGGTGCTAAGGCTAGATGATCCATACCTTTTTGAACAGGCACCATTACCAGCAGGGCCTGTTGATTTACCTTCTTCGTTATTTTTGCCTGTGATCATATTTAGACTGCCCAGGCTACCTTTTGATCTTTTGATTGGCAACTTCTCTTTACCCTCGGTGTGTTTACCATCCACTTCAACACTTGCAGGAGTATTTCCCTACAAAAGAAACATCCTTTTAATTCTTACCCAATCAAGAGCACCGTGCATTAAGATAACATACTTGCAGCATATAATCAAAAAGGCTAAAAACTCACAGGAGCCTCAGCCACACCATTGGGGGACGGCATTGCAAATGGGCTAAAAGGATAAGAACCCTGAGGTACAAAACTAAGTTACATCCAAATACTTAAATGTCAAAGCCATAAATGTAGATGTGGAGAGAATAAACATAAACCATAGTTACCGGAGGCATAGATGGGTGAGCATATAAGCCACCGTGAGGATACATGGCCATATAGGGATGCGGTGGAGTACCATATGGAGGCATCATGTGCTACAAAAAGTGAATTGTACAAACAATATTAGAATCTCGGCTATAACAAATTAACAAGCATATAAGAAAATTTTAAAACAATAAGATTCTCAGCCAGTCAATATGATCTTTTACATATTTCAATACAGCTCAGACCCCTGACCCAGAACTTAAAAGAAAGGAAAAAAAAATATTCAGATCAAAGTAGAACTCCAACAAACAACAGCAATTGCAAAAGCAACATAAAAGAGAAAAAAAGGTTTAGGCATGACAGCAAATAACATATAACTGATATAAGACCCAACAATTAAAAATTGGAATTGATCAGAATACCTGTACACCCCACATGTAGGGGTGAGCTTGGGGACTAGATGCCAAGAAGCCAGGTGGTGGTGGGATAGGTGAGTACGCCTGTATAACAACAATAATAAAACAACGGCTTCTTCAGCTAACAAGCGATCAAGATCAAAAACTAGTGTTACTCAAAATCAACATTCCACACCAAACCCATGTCACTCAAACTCAACTACAAGTGTTGGACAAGATTATGCGTTCAGGTGTCAAATTTAGCAATATTTCATGGATATTCCACACATTTAATAATCCAAACAAAACATGAAGTAACCATTTCCATGCCATAATTTCCAAGATCCAACACAGGAAAATTAGTTGAAATAGTATCCAACAAGACAAGGAATGTAGCAACATCATATCAGTACAAACAGATAACAAGATGAGCTACAAGATAAATTCAGAACTCAAGTTTCAGCATCTCTCGATTAATCAAATTCCAAAATAATCAATTGAATACAAAACGGGGAAATAACCCGAAAAAGGGAGGCACATTCTATGATTCTATAACACACCTGAAACCCGGACCACTCGGGATTCACAGCCGCGGTACTCGTAGCCGAAGTCTGCTCCTATATCAACAATCAAATAGGACAATCAATTGGGAAATTAAGTAAGGTCTGAAACAGCATTGTAAGCTTCACAACAACATCCCACATTACACACAAACAAAAACCACCACCAAGATCCAAAAATTAACAGGAAAATCTTACTTGCGAGCTAACCGCAACCGGCGTTTTCGGCTCCTTGGCTGGTTTATCCGTTTCACTTTCACCCATGATTCACAATTATAATACCAAACTCCACAATTTCATTCTATAAACGCAAAATTAATCAAATTAACACCACAAAAACAAAATTAAACTCAATTCTCAGAAAAATTGACAGCAACAAATTAAGAAACTTACCCCAAATCAGCTGAGCTCGTCGGAAGAATCAAACCAAACAAATCAACTCAGCTAGACAAAAAAAAATAACAAATTTTAATTTAAAATCAAAAACCAAATTAGGTATAATTATGAATTGGGCAATTAATTCAATGTGAATTCTGTGTAGGAATATCGAATTGAGAGAATCAATAAGATCAAATAAAAAAAGGGGGAAAATTGATTGAATTAATTGAAATTAGGGCTCGGTTTCTGACAGAAATTGGGGGAGACGCAGACGGGGGTCAATCAAGTTTTTGTCGTTGTGGCAAGTCGTTGTCGCGTAAGTTTTTTTAGAGAGAGAAAAATTAACTCCTCCTTCGGCCCATTTCTATCATCCAAAAGCCAATTTAGCCCAATTACGCCATGGTCCTAGCCCAATTTGTTTTGACGATAGTTACGATAAGTTTCCAAAAATACTTCTTTCATTATATATTACTTGTATCCTTTGAATTTTTTATATTTCACAAATAATATCCCATCAGGTGTAATGGAAGAAGTAAGTAACTTTGTTAGTCTTCAAATTCACCTTAATTTTATTTATTTGATTCAAATTTGACCTTTTATGTATGCTAATCTATCAGGAAAAAATATATCAAATTTGTTGTAATAATGTATTTTATGATCTATAACAACTGCACATAAAATAATAAATCAGGTTCAAAACTTTCAAATTTGAACTTATTTTTGGGATTTTTTTTTTAAACACATTTAGCATCAATATGGAGTTACACTCGTCTTTACAACATTTCTTGCAATCATACCATGTTATCTCACGAATCAATTACCGATAAAGTGTTGACTCACTTGTTAAGGTTCTTATCTCATATCCTAGAGGTTTGGGTTCGAATCGTGATCCTTGAAGTGAGGGCAAAAAAAAGGGGGGAAAATAAAAGTAAATAAAGGAGGGCGGGAATTGAGAGCATTGCAGCCCCCAATCTAAACTGCAAATGGAGAGCAACTATGGCGGAGGAAGTGCGGCACTAATTGGAAGTTCTGGAACTATCATTCTCTCTCCTCCTCAACAACAACTACCAACAGTAGATGTTCATCAACTTCCATGTTGCATCAAATCCAATGGTCCTTCCGACGTCTCTGATTATTTCAAACCCAAATCTTCCGGTAATTTCTACTTTTCCCCAATTTTTTTTTTATTATATTTTTTTTATTTGGACTATCCTTATTGTTTTTCGGTTAATTTAATTTCAATTTTTAATGGGTTTTTCTTGGATTTTTCAGGGGTTGAAGTTGATTGTGGTTTAGAATTGAAAGAAGCATTTTATAGGGGCAGAAATTTGCAAGGGGTTACTATTCCTCTTCCTGAGGGTTATTCTGGTATTTTCTCGCTCTTCCTAGCTTGAATCTTTACATTTTAATTTCATTTATTTGATGATAATGTTAAAAGTATAGTCTTTTTGATAAACTGCCAAATTGGTGGTATTAAAATCTGCATATAATTGAGTTGATATAGCTCAATTTGGACCCTTTTTTTATGTAAAATTTTAGTTGTGGGATTATTTATACTATGTAACATTATACTTGTATATTGATATGACTCGTGTTTAGGGAGTTCTCATGCTTCGTTGTGGAAGTCTTTGGCTATTTTATACCACACCATTTTTTGGTTGGGAAAGTTGTTATTCTAGTTAAGTGCATAGCTTAAAATGGTTCAATTTTGAATAATTTTTCGTGGCATAAAATTCAAGTAACCAACAATGATAATCTTACATGTATTGCTCTCTGTAATTACCATGGTGGAAGTAAGACTATTACTATACGGGATCGGTCTTGTCTTGCTTGCATTCACCGAAGGACAACTTCAATTGACTGATTCGTGTACCACTGACCACACAAAATCGATTTTTAAGATTAGACCACAATAACTGAGAATCATCATACTCTCCAATAGTAGCCCTCATGAAGGATCGAGAGTGTTTTAAATCCAAGCAACCAACATCAAATCTTTTAGAGTGCTTGATTAGAAATGTTATCCATCACCTTATTTGGTATGTTTAAGTGAGGATAATTTATTATGGGTTTTGCTTGTAGAAGAGTTACTATTGTAGAGATTTTTTTTTTTTTTTTTTAATTTGATAATGTATGTTATATGATTGATCTTCAGGCTTTATAATAGGAAAGAAGAACTCTAATAAAGATAAGACTAAGAAAACAGCGGGAACAGGGAAAGCTCCTGAAATTTCTTCCAACAGCAGTGAAAACCATTGGGAGACGCTAGCTAAATGTGGAAATATGACATTTTGGAATCATGATGGTCTTCCTTCCCAAGATGATGCCTCTATGCGTGTGTTTCATTGTTTTGCTGTTGCTAAGGCGGTAAGTTCATTGTTTGCAAATGTCTTTCTAGATTAAGCTTCTCACATTGTAAGATGATTGTATTTGCCTTCTTTGTTTAAGTTATTTTGCATACAAGTATTTCTTTATTGAAATTTTCAGCTCTACTTAAGGTAGGAACAACATTAAGTGTGTGGCTTGTAAGCAATTTGCCGTTCTGAGGTTATATGGTGATAGCTGTGCGGCTGTGCCCAGACTAGACGTGAGACATAAGATTTCCGTGTGCTAAGAAGAATGCTGTAATATTAACTGCTGATAGAACCTATCGATTGAAACTTTTTGAGTGACATGACAGTATCTTTTATTTGCGAGGATGTTGCTTTTGTGTTGCAAAGGAATGTTGTGTCAAATGCTAGAACCAGTTATTAACCTTACTACCACTATCACTCGTCTGATTTACATGTTTAAAACTGTGTTTGCTTCAACTGTTCTATTGGTTGGTCTTTGCCGCTATGGATCGTGGTTTCAAACATGACGGCTTCTCAATTTATGATTTAGTAAATATATATTCACTAATTACTTAAACTCCTTGATCTTCATACATGGTTCCAATTGAACACGTCTTTTTGCACTTGCAGCTGCATGAACCAGTGAGCGCTGAAGAACTGACTTGATCTGCCATCTGTTACTGAAGCTCTGAAACCATGATACAGTAGAAGAGGAGTGAAGTAATGTGCAATTTGGTCTGCAACTTTCATTACAAAGATCAAGTTGCTGAATCTCTGAAGAATCTTCTGATACATAGAAAATATTTTCCATGTATCATCTTGGCAAATCGTTATATTTGGGAGGCTTTACAATTTTGCATTGTACTCATATGTATCTTTGCTCTTGCTAACTCTTACATTAGGCTGATGTCGTCTTGTAAAATCTTGCCGAATGCTATGTAAGCAGACTTCTTCACTTGTTTATCTTGTGGTGGAATGTAATGTGAAATATAAGCGAGAGAATTGTACAAGATATGCCCAAGACAGGTGTATTTGCCCCCTCCCCCCTTCCTTTTTTCAAGCTAGTAATACGATACGCCCATGTTTCTAGCTTAGAGGTTAAGCTTACTTCGCTTGATTCTGAGCAGGACTTCTGATATTAACCATACTGCTATTGTACTATATACATAACTGCTGACAGTGATCATCTTCTTTGGTGGGTTAAGAACTCTGCGCATCTTCCTCTTTATTTTTGTTAATGGTCTCCCAATTTTCCTGTTTATTTCTCAAAATTAAGTGCCAATCCCATTTTTGTAATGCATCACACTCCTCAGTATGCCTTCATGTTTTGGTCAAAACCAAACCACTACTTTGCTGATTTCACACTTATCATACATTACATGTGATTGAACTCTCTAATTAGTTATTGAGATCAAAACAAAAATTGTAAGCTTGGTGTAGTGTCAAGGGCTTTCAAAATATATTCTCAAGATATAAAATTGAATCTCGTTTACATCATTGCATTTAGATATGAGATTGAATGAATCTCATTTACAAAATGCAAAAGTTGTAAGCGTGGAATATTAATTTATTAGTGGATGTCAAATTGTTAACTATAGATAGTTTATTTGTTAAAATTTTAAAATGATACTCAAGATATGAGATTGAATCTCGTTTACATCATTGCATTCGTAACTCTCCTTACGTCAATACATTACAAATTTCTTACAAATTCATACATAACTATTTTTCTATACAATATTTATTTTTAAATTATTACTCTGTGTCAATTGTCAAGGAGAAAATTAAAAATTGATTGAGATTGTCTTTTTTCCTTCTTTCCAAAAAAAAAAAAATTGCCGGTTCTTCTTTGAGTTCTTTCACCTAAAATAAACAAAATTTTCCACCTCTAAGAAAAACAAGAAACCCCTTCATAAACCACTTTAATTTCTAAAAAAAAAAAACCCTTAATTTCCTCAAAAATTCATCATCCTTCTTCAATCAGCAGCAGCAGCAGCAGCAACAAGGTGAAGTTGAAATCCCCCACTACTCTCTCTTTAGATTAACAAGAAATAATTTTGAGCGTCCATTTTTCAATCATATAATAATTATATTTATGTCTATATTCTAAAGTTATATATAATTGAATTGAATTGAATTGAATTGTGGGCAGGTAAGAATTTCAGCAAATTAAGCAAGATGGTAAGTGGGTTGATTAATGCAAATCCTACGGTTTACGAGAAGTCAGAACGTCGGGTCCGCAACCAACCATCTGATGCCGGAGATGAATATGCGGTTGAACCTATTGATGAGCTTGAGATTTTTGATATCCTTTTATTTATTTTTGTTGGGAAATTTAAAGTTTGGAACTTGGAATAAAATTTGCCCATTATGCTAGATTAGGTTAAAATCATGGGGTTTTAGTTGATTTTTATGATTTTTATGATTTTTTTAGGTTTTAAATTGAGGTGGGTATTGCCATTTATTGGTCTTGAGCTTGTTGATTTTGCTGTTGAGATTGCTAGTTTAATTGTATACTTGGTTTTTTGTTCATGATGCTATATTGGTGTCAAAATTGTGGGTTTCGTTGAATCAACAGTATTGAGTTATATAATTAAGCTGTTACATATTGCTACATTTGTATTATTGTATACTAGTAATTTAGTAAGTGTTCTTTGTAAATCTACGCAAATTTGTGCACCCGGGTCCATAGTCTAGGCGTTGATCTAATACGCAAATCTTAAGGATTGACAAGTTGGCAACGATTGATATCATATTAGTTAAACTTAACTGTAATTTTACATCATATTAGAGACATAAAAGATCCAGAGCATCCATATTCGCTGGAAGAGCTGAAAGTGCTAACAGAAGAATCGGTTGAAATAGATGATAAACGTAGTCATGTACGGTAAGGATGAATACATGTTATTTGTTTAACTACTGCTTGAGTTGTCTTATTTTTTCAATTAATTGATTTGGTTCTATATTCATCTTCTTATTGCAGAGTAACATTCACACCAACAGTTGAACATTGTAGTATGGCAACAGTTATTGGTCTCTGCTTGAGGGTGAAACTTATGCGCAGTTTGCCTTCACGTTACAAGGTATGAGCATTTGCGCAAGTCGATTATTATTTCTGGCATTTGTGGTCATTTTTCTTAGGTGCTTCTTGATCAAGCCTGTCAAATCAGAGAAACTTTTATTTTATGTGATTTTGTATAAGATGGATAGTGAACTAAAATAGTAAAATATGAATGGTATGTTAGTTATTTTTTAACACACTAGTAAGAAAATCATGAATTTGAATATGTTAAAAAGGGTTTCTTAGTGGGGAACAAATTACATGGAATGAGGTTGGGGTGCAAATATACAGATTGAGAATAGGAAATCCAGGATCTGTGCTGGTAAGGACTGAAACAGGAATAAGTCAATTTAATAAATCTCATCATGCAATGGCGCAATATACACAAAATGTGATCCCATTTGAGGCATGGCATATGCTCCAACTCTCCAAGGCATATGGAGAAATACTTGAAACATAATATAAAAGCACACCGAATCAAGATCCCTGACTGAAGTGTAACTATTAAATTACATATCACTCTTTGTACTTTTTTCTCCTAATGTTTGTTTATCTCATTATTATCTAAGCAATTGTGGCTTCTTGGATGGAGTGTTTTATTTCTTCGGCCCTAATCCTCAAATCACACACCCTGATCGTAGATTTGTAGTTCTCAGTATAGTTTGATATATTTGAAACTTTAATGAATGTTTGATTGTCAGTTGTATAGGATACAATTGGTTTTCACATGTTCTGTGCAGAATCATTTATTATAAACTTAATCGACCAAGGAAGTACTAGTAGAGACGTAGGTTGTGACAGAGCTCTCTTCCAATATTTAGAGCTCTCAGCTAGTGGGACCTGAGTAGACCGTCAGAATTTATCCAATATACGGAAGGATTTGGTTTCATTGGGATGGATGCAAGGAGATCTAAACCACTTTGGATTGTGTGCTTACTTTCTTCAGGATTTAGTGCTGTCAGCTTACTTTGATTAAAAATGCATGAATAAAATAGCATGTTCGGTTGGCAAAGGGGACATATTGATTAGTGGCTTTATATTTCTAGTTGGCATCATATATGTTTATGATTTACCCCTTCCCTTTTCCAGGGATACCCATGGACTGTAATATCAATATATCATAGATAGCCTACTCTAGGTCCTTTTGCTGAAATTTGATGGCATGCATAGGAAATATAGATACTCTGTGTTTGGTGGTCTTCTGAATGTATCAATCCTATGTACAGATGTATACCTACATACTTATAGATTTATAATTAGGTGGTCATTTCAAACTGGTGAAGAAAATCGATAAAGCCCTACTATTAAAGGGTTGTTTAGGCCATTCGATCTTTGATTGTATCAAGTTCAAACTCCAAACTCTAATGTAGGCTTAGATTTTCCTGTGTTCGTTTCAAAATATTCATGATCATGTATTAGTATCACTTCCCAATTTTTTCTTTCCTCCTTAGTTTTTTAAGGAGATATAATATCCTTTTGTCGATGCATTCTTTTCGTTCCCGTCGTTTGCAAGGGTGATGAGGTCATATGTTCCTGATTTGTCTGTATTTGTCTTTATTTGAAATTGCATCTCCTGTTAGTCATTTATACGTTTGACTTATGTCAATTGCCAGGTGGACATTAGAGTTGCTCCAGGAACCCATGCCACTGAAGCTGCAGGTATGTACTGTATTAGAGATAGGTGATTTTGTTACCAACTTAAATCATTTGGGGAATTGGGGGTACGTTTGAAACTTTGAATGCCCTTTCATGACATCCGGATGATAGATTGAAATTTGCATAGCCACCACACTTCCTCACAGATTTTTGTTCCTTGGGTTGGTTGCATACTCTGTAACACTATTGCTTCTTTTTGTGCAGTTAATAAACAGCTAAATGACAAGGAGCGTGTAGCAGCTGCTTTGGAAAATCCAAACCTTGTAGATATGGTTGATGAGTGTCTAGCTCCATCATACGCCTGAAGCCATATTGTGTAGTACTGTGGAATGTTTTGCCTTGTACTAGTTGTAAATTTCTCCAAAATTTTGATTTTTTGGTAGTTTCCTTCTAGAGTTGCCTTCAGTTGATGCATTTGTTTTACTGAGAATGCTTCAGTGCTCATTATTCCTTTTGAGCCTTCTACTTGTGCTACAATCAAATCTATTTTATTATTTGAAATAACTATTCTCTGAAGAGACATGTACCATACTGATATTCTTTTAGAATTCACAAAAATGTAGAGAGACATGTATAATACAGTCATACTGATATGCTTTAAACAAATGCCTTTGCTCTTTAACAAAATTGGCCTGTGCAGCATCATTTATAGAGGTAAGTTTTTCTAATACGAAGTCACTATTTTTAATGTAAACTTATGTTAGTAATATTAGGCCAAGCAAAAGTAAAACTGCTATCCTTGTCACCTTGTGTTAGTGTTTGAAAAGGCGTGCCTAAGGCGCTGAGCAGCTGAGGGCATTAGAGGTCATGCACTTTTTATGGTGTAGGCAATGCGACTTTGTTGGGGCGCAGCTAAGGCGCACAAACAAAAGGGCGCACCAAGGCACAGCTTAAGGCGCACAGTTTTTTCAGAATTTTTTTATTGCTTATTATATGCGCCTTCAATGAGGCGCACCTTAGGCTCAAGGTACTCCAAAACGCCTTGGTGCGCCTTGAGTCTTTTTATACATAGCCTTGTGTTGTTTCTGGATTTAGCGCTTTAATAACTGAATACAAGCAACATATTTTGTAATAGAATTCCTATGCTCACAATGCATTACATTTTTGAGTATTATTTCAAAGCAAGTTAGCAAGAAAGAGGAACAACAAAATTGTCTAAAAACAGTACCCCTTGTATTATACTCTGTAATAAAAATATTCACTACTCGTATTACACTTGAATTCTTGAATATTGAAAACGTGAAATTCATATTATCTATCAAAATTTCACAGAGCAGAAATATTTTGACAGTATGAACATTCCCACTTCCTTTTTATAGAAGCTACACAGAAAATTTTACACCATCATCGTCAGTAGAAGTTCCTTTAAATATTGCAAGCTTTCCTTTGTTTTCTAGAATCTTCAGAGCTCGCATCAGAACGGTGCGGTCAATCCCATGAAGCTCTGACAAAGAGATCAAAAGAATTGCTCAAAATTTTGTCTTAAAAGCAAAGAAAATGAGATTTATGAACCAAACAATTTTGCAAACTGTCATTATGATCAAATAAACTTGTTCTAGCAAGGTCAGCCTAGAATTTGTGAAATTGTGATCATTCAAAGAACTATAGTATAATTTTTTATTTTATCTTTTTGACGGGAAAGAACTATATATAATTGAGTTCACTAATGTGGTTCATCTCCTACGAGCAAAAATAGAAAATCAAGCATTCTTTACCAGTTCCCCTAGATTCAACACCGCTACGCAGCTCTTCAACAGTCATGACACTATCCTCCAACCCATTATCCTTAACCTGAAATAAAAGGAAGCACATAATGTTTACAAAATTTGAAGAAAGGAGTAGATAAACAGAGAGAAAATAACGAAAAAGTTAACTGACAAAATTTAGGATTATGTCTGCCCAATCCTGAATCCTGTGCCAAAGAACAAGACATTTTTTATGACCTTTGTCCATCCATTCAACGCGTCCTATAAAGTAAGATGTAAAACTTGGGATACGTCAGTAAACACTCACTCAAAACAGTTGTTATTTTAATAAAGCATCGGTAGTAGAACCTTCGGCAACTAATGCTGACAAAAATGCTTCCTTAGCTTCATGGCTGAGAGATCCTGCACAAACAAATAAATGAGAATTAGTAATTTTTATTTGTTAATGTTAGACCAAATTTGGAAGAAACATAATGAGGTGAGCTCACCAAATCATGAAGTAAGGATTATTAAATTGACATAAAAGAGCAATTTGGAATATTTACATTTACATGGACAAGAAGCAAAATGCTAAGCAAAAAAGAGTTTGTTAATTAAGCTCTATAAAAAATTATATTAGTTTCTCATTGTTATGCCTCAAGGAAAATAAGCCTTTCTCAGCAGCATGCCCAGGATACAAAATCAAACAAGGAAATTACCTCATGTTCTCAAAACTGAGCAAAAATTAGCAAGATTTCACATATTCATCATAATTAATACGAAGTAGTGTCAAATGATTCAACCAAATAATCAAAATGGATGAAGAAACAAAGCAAAATAAGCAATTTATTAACTTTCATATGGCAAAATAACATGTAAAGAAGACAAGAAAAATAAAAGGTTATCATAGCAAAATAACATGTAAAGCAGGCAAGAAAATAAAAGGTTATTATGGAAACAAGTTAATAAATAAAGGGCATAGAAAGCTTGAGAAAGTCTCAGAAAGAAGTGAATAAAAGTAATGAGCAGTGTACTCTAGAAACTCAAAATACTGAAGAACTAGAACTGTGGCAACCACAACCCACAATCTTAAAATCAAGAAAAAGAAAAAGAAAGAAAGAATGTAGCAAAAGAGGACCAGAGGACCTTACTCTCAATAGTTGGATTTGAGAATAAAGGGAAGTCTTCTTCAAGAGAGATAACAAATATCTTCTGACTTCTGCAAAATTCAAGAATTAGCTCCTTCCAGAGTTGTATCTGCTTCTCTCGAGTGTCCCTAACTGGCTGCAATCTAGAATAATCCAACAAACATATGTAAGAAAGCCTTTTAAAAATTATTACAAGGATGTAAACATTAGTTAGAAGAGAAATAGTAGGACTTTATACAGTGGGCATGCTTGAAATAGATAATTCAAAAAGACTTGGGAGAAGAAATTACGTGAAGTATGGTGGGTAATTGAAGAAGTTCGGAAGCTTGAAATCCCCCAACTTCTGCATCTCTACCAAAGTAAATAGAGTATGTGTACTAATTAATTTCCCCAAAATCAGCAATGTGTGTACCTGGGAAAGGGAACAGTTGAGAACCCTCCTTTACTCCTTAAATAAATGAAGTTATCATAAACTTGAAGCTAAAACTTCCCAAACTTGACAAAGATGTAATTCATAGATGGATTAGGCTAAACAAGCAATTGACAATAGCAAACTAAAAGCACTTACCATTCAAAGATTTAAATCATTTGATAATCTTGGAACAAACACAGACAATAAAGGTGTTACTAATGTTGAAGCCACACACAATAAGAAAAAATGTGATAAACTTAACGGTATTATTTTCTTTAAAGGGAAAAGAGCACAATTCTTATTATACTAAAAAACTCGATTATTAATTTTATACCTCAATATTCTCAAAATTGTGCACAACACATGAACATCATATTTCAAGCTGAAACAAAGATCATTCTGTCCTGCATTCTTGCTAACCTACAGTAGAAACCAGGAATTGTTGGAAGATTTACTCATCCAAATTTTTAACCACCAGTTGAAAAGAATATAACAGACCTTCATTCAAATTCTGTCCTTCTACATGTGAAAAACTATATCCTCTTCCAAATCCACCACGAGCAAATGAAATACAGTATAAAGTTTCTTCCATCCCAAAGCAAATACTGATTATAATATATTTTAACATTCAGTGGCTTACAAATTGTGACATTATTCGGTAATTTAAATAGCCCATCGCCAACTTTGCCTAAAAAGCAGACAAGATTAAGCATAAACTATTCAACACTTGAACAAAGAACATCAACTTAAGATAAAATTCTAATTTCCAATGAGATTTGAGTATCAAAAGGTGAAAAAGTTCCACAACTGCCAAATACAACCCAATACTAGTTACTACCATTCACACAAGAATGGCATTGCATTAGATCACAAAATAACTTCATTTTCTCTGACAAATTGTGAGTAAATCCGGTGGGAGTGAAGCAGGATCAAGCTCCCAACAACAGCCAGAAATATTAGGAGCCTCCTCTTCAGAAAGCTTTCTAGCAGGAATCTGATGTGAGAAGAGCCTGAAGTCACCTTTGTCAAGCCATCTAATAGCATGACACCCAATCTCTCGCCTCTTAAAAACTGCTCTAAAACCATTAACCTTTTCAAGGTATGCCATACTTAATCCATGCACTTCACTGTAACTTGTTAAAAACACAACAATGTCATAACATCGCTTATCCTTACTAAAAGATTCCTTGCCCCCTACATCCAATGCCCTTTCATTATAAAGAGCCCAAATTGAACCCTTTGTAGGGTATATCCTGTACAGCTTTTTGGCTGCTCTTTCACATTTAACTAAATATGAGAAGATATTCAATAAATTTGTAGTATCCTCCCTAGCCACCACAAAGACTCCACAAGATATATGAAATCCCATTTTCTCCCAAGATGTCAGCCTCTCATCTCCATTATTCTGGAAGTCCAACCAGCTCATTTTCACCTCAAATGGATTCAATGAGACAACCTCATCTATCACCCCATAGTGCCTAGGCATCCCATCATCATCATCATATATTGCCCAAACTTGGCCCTTCTTGAAGCTCCTTTCAACTCTATCCTCATCAAAATCATAAAAGTCTGAATCCTCAACAGTCATTACTTCCATATCCCGATTCTCAATTAACATTAGCTGCCTCTTCTTCTTCTCTTCCAACACCGCTCTCTCCTCCCTAATATTAACTTTCTTCTTCCCTTTCAACTTCTTCTTCAATGCCCCCATTTTAATCTCAGCCAAAGTCAGTTCCGTCTCTGATTCTTCTGAAACCCCACTCCTATGTTGTTTTCTACAACCCCTGTTTGACTTCTCTCCAACCAGTTCCTCCACTACACCACTCTTTCCTCGTTTCCTGTCATCAATTTTTGACTCACCACCAATTGACACCACAATTCCCCTAGACTTCTCCCTCCCCAAAACCTCACTTAAGCTACCCATCTTCCTCTTTGATTCCGAAATTCCCTTCTTCTTTCCATTCATCGATCTTCCCTCAACCATATCCACGTCTACTTTCTTTCGTATTGTGACCTGCCCCAATTGAGTTGGGTGAGGATAAATACATACACCATACTACATTTTAAACACATGGTATACAATGACTGAATGACTAAAAAAAGAAATCCATCAAGCACAAGAGACCTTAGGATAGGTTGCTAAAATAAAACAAACGGGAGGAGAGGATCGACCCGTTCAGTAAAATTCCGAAGAAAGACTGTTGGCGGGAGGTGGAGACAATTCTGCGCACTTGGCTACCCAGCGTTTACCGTGGGCACGATAACTGGTACACCAGAGGTGCATCCTTCCCGGCGGAAAAGTCCATTCTCGTCATGATCGATCCACGTCCTACCGTAGTGCCCGGAGAACCGGGCTTTTGCTTGTCTTGGAAGCCGCAGGCGATGCCTTCTTGCTTGTGCTTTCAGAAAAGTGGCGATTCTTATCTGAATTGCGAGAAATTTCTCGAACTTAAAGCGATGGCAGGTGAGACGCGCACGGAACCAAGCTTATTTTACTGAATCATCATAGCCAAGCTAAATTACTGAATTATCATAGCCAAGCTAAATTACTTAATCATCATAGCCAAGCTAAATTACAGAATTATCATAGCCAAGCTAAATTACTTTTATCAATCACAACCCGAACCTTGAATGGATGATAGCAAATACATTCATACACATTCAATGATCAATGCATTACATCAATACGAACAAATAATGAGTGCATCAAACATCAAGGGATCTAAATTAGAAAAAAAATCAATAATTAAAATTTATTCAACCACCAAATTGTTCAAAATCGTCAATGCTCAAAACTCAGGGTAATCGCAACAATAGAACTAACTTTAATTTCATAAATTCACAATTCAAACTGCAAATTGTATAGAAAATGTAAAGTAGCTTAGATTAGGGTTTTGCTATATTTAAGAGTAAGTAGAGTGAATGATGTGAAATACCTCAAGACCGAATGTGCCGCCGCCGCCGCCGCCGTAAACGTCGAACTGCCGGAAAAAGGATTGCCGTGATAATGGAGTGAAAAGGCAAAACCGTGGAATTAAAGCTGTCTAGTTTTCAATCTTGAAAATTTGATTAGAAGACTTCAACTTCAAATTTTTTACTTATTTATTTATTTATTTGAGGGGGCTTCAACTTTTAATTTGCTTAGTGATCAATTTTTATTTTTTTTTATTATATTTGTTTAATTAATGAAAAATAAACTTTCGTGTCAAAAAAAAAATAATAAGAAATATAAAAAAAAATATAATATAAGTCTTCACGACAATCACGGATCTAGCAATAATATGATCCTATGGTGTATAATTTGGATAAGTTGGTAAGAAGCTTACGAAATAGAGTAGAAGAAAATAGATGTGTATTGTCATATTGTGTAGTAATATTATTTGGAAGGAAATAAGTAATCCGTAATTATCTTACTTACCCATCAGTTTTTTAAAGAAAAATAAATAAATGTGAATTTAGTAATTGATTGTTTGCCTATATGATGTGAATTTGAACTTTGTACAAATATTTTTCATGATCAATCATACGAAATCATGTAATATCATAGTATGGGTACTTTTTAGATTTTTGACCTTTTCTATAGTAAATTACTTCTAAAATGGTGTAGGGTATTTACACTTCCAAGTTACTTAAAACAAGCAATACAAGAAGTTCAAGCCAATAACGAAGAGATGTTTCCAGAAAAAAAAAAAAAAAAAAAAAAAAAAAAAAAAAAAAGACAATAATGAAGAGAAAAATATAGAGAGAAACAATAAAGAGATAGAGAGACTACAAATTTTTGAAAGAGAGTAAATACAAGAGAGTTGTAAAGCCATTAAAAAAAAGCCTAAAAATTGTTAATATGACAAGTCTAATGATAGGCAAAAATCGTGTCAAGGTAGGACACGACAAATTGTGCCCTGGTGTTCAAACGAATTAACATTTTTTTTTTTTGTGTATCAAATACGTATGTAAGTCAGTACGTGTGTCCTCTATGATGATGTATTTGTGCTTTATCAGATATTCTTTTGAAATAAAAATTTTCCACAATGACACTAGTTACTATAATGAGAAGTGCCTAGTAAAAATATGTCATTAAACCTTAGTCAAACTCTCCCAATTCACATAATAATTTTTTTTTTTTTCTTCGACTCTCCTTCTCTTCTCGTGAAATATCCCTAGTCCCCTCAAATTTCAATTAAATAAGAACAGAATAACTTGAATTGTGTTTTCTCATGACTAGCCTAAAGCTAAACGTCTTAAACTCCATTATCAATGTCATATGTGGTTGTGAATTGTGACTTGTAATTTATGAATTCCCCTGTGATGCAAAAATCAAATCCAAGTAAGACATAGCCTTTGCTTTCAAGTTTTAAATAGATGGCCCCAAGCAACAAAATGACTTGATACTAAACTTTTTTAGGCCTCATCACCACCTCAATTATTTCCTTATTATCCAAAAATACTATTTCAATTTTTTTCAATAATAGGTGATGGGAGTGATGTGATAGGAACAATGGGTGATAAATTCATTTTTTTTTTTTAGGTCAGCTAAAATAATGCATTTTAGGAATTATTGTGGTTAGAATATTAGTCGTAGATTTGAAAAGAAATAACCTCAAATTAGTCCCTTATCCTAAACGGATATGTTTACATTAAATAATCGGAGATATAAGTTCGATGGTGAGTTACATTCTTATAGTAAACATGCAAATCCTCCGGTTAACACCGAGAAAGATATATTATCGACTATATAGTTATGAGTAAAAAAAACCTCCTATAAGTCTAATATAGATTACTAAAATTTTATGATTCCATCCCAAATCTAATTGACAATAAGTACGAATATAATGTCTTGCCGACATATTTTGAAGTCAGTTATCCTCAACGGTTAGCTTTACTCGCAAAGAAATATAGGCGTGTGCTTCAATTCAATTGATGACAAGAATAAGGCCTCCAAAGACAGTCTTTCCTCTATAGTACTTCTTAAAAATAACAAAATTAGAGGAAATGGACCGACAATAATTATCCCTACTCAAAGGACAATCATTTACATGTTAAAATGTTATTTACTGGTAGCAAAATTTCAACAAATTATAAATATCTCTTGCACTTGCAGCAAATTAATGGTTCATATGCATGAGTGCATCAACCACATAAATTATAAGCTAAGGAATACCCCACTTTCGTACAACATTGTCCATAGTGCTAACTGTATTATATTGATGGTGACGCGATATCTATCATGTATTCATCATGGTAAAATATTAGGACATTGGTAAATTTCCCTTTGCTATGCAAAATGAAATTTACAAATGCCATCACATACTTGGAGCTGCAAGCATAAGCCACTCTCTCCGGGTTGCGTCGCTGTAACTGCAAGCAATCAGCGAGTTATAAGCCACTCTCTACATATTGTTTGCGTTCCTGCAACAGCAAGCAATCAGCGAGTTACAAAACAGTAAGCATTAATTACAAAACAATAAGCATTACCTAAAGCATGAGTAATGAATGGACCACTATGTTTGGTAAAAATGGTGGAAAAAAGAGTACACACCAAATCTCCTTTTTTTTTTCTTAAATTTACAAGGACTTTTTAGTTTCACATGTACACAGCCTTACCATGTTACCTTTGGCTAGTGCAATACAGTACAACGACTCTACCGTAAAGAGCTGAGGATGAATTGCAACAGGTAAAACCTGAAAAGGTTAACAACTCCTTGCTCTGAAAATTCTTCAAGCCTGTGTTGGGCTATTTGGCCAATCAATTAGGCAAATAACTGAAGATTTGGCTAAACCAAATTCCTGGTCCCCCACTATGATATTCAGGAGGGCAACAAACTCGGAGGAGAGGACATTGTTAATTCCCCTGTCATCGCTTGATATAGCAACGACATTATCCCTTTCATGCATTAATAGACACTTAGACAGGCTGCATATCATTCACAAAAATGAAATATCATCAAAAACTGCCCGGAACCAGAAAATGTTAATGGAAATATCCAGTAATCTTGTATGTGTTCTAAGAAGAGATTGAAAAAAAGGATTCACACACTATGGAACCAGACTTTTCAGTATATTCTCTGGAAAAAGCATTCTAAAGTTGGTTTATGTCCATAAGTGTTCTTCAGGTGATCAATATCCTATCAGTCTAACATTGACCGATCTTAAAATTTATGAAACTAAAATTCCTACAGGATGTATTATAACAAGAAAGCAGCATATTATATACATTAAAAAATAAAAAAAAAATAAAAAGTAAAAAAATACAGGATATTACAAGAAAGCAAGGTAACACAGAAAAGCTAACAGTACCAGTGACATGTTTATCATGAACATCAAACTGTTTTTGTTTTAAGTTGGTAACATATATGTTCTACTATAGACATCATACTCAGTATCACCACTTCCATAAATTTAAATTTCATACCTTAATTAAGGATACATGTTACTACTCTGTATTTCTCAGTGACTGCTTTACCTATAAAAGGAAAATACTTCGTACTTAACAAAATAAGCAAACACAGAAAAGGGGAGATGCAAAAGAGTAATGATTCAGCTACTAAACCTAGAGAAACACGCTTGTGTAACAAGACACTGATAAATCTCCTTGTGAAATACAAAATACTACCTCCGTTACAGGTTATGTGCAACGATTTGACACAAAGCAGATAGGGAAAATGTCTAATCGTTGCACATAACCTGTAACGGAGGTAGTATAACATTTATGTTCTAGGAAAATATAAGATGGATTCAGGAGCTTTAACCTTCCATTAACATGATAGATAGACGGATCAATGAGCTCCAAGAAACAGTCCTTTTCTCAATTAATTTGCTAAACCTAAACTTTCACCTACATCATATGCATATGGTTGAAGGCATTGCGAAATGGGCCCCCGGGCGAAAACACGTCAATTTACTAAAGATAAACCTTATGATTCAAGGTGGACATAATTTGACAAGGAATTGATTTTACAACACAAAAACTAGATATTCTTGCACTGCTTTATGCTATCCAAACAAGTAAGCAAATTAAACAAAGTTGGGAAAAACATGATATTGGTCCCCACTACGATATTTCTTCAAAACCAACAGAAATGAGAGAGAGGACATTGTTTCTCAACATGTCAATTGTCATATTTAGTGCAGTTGGGAATAATTGAGCAGATGAAAAATGCATGAATAAGGAACTTTATGGAGAAAAAAAGCTCAACTATTCTTCCACATTATAAAAGCTCTATGAACACAAGTGAGTTATTCATCCTTGGAAGGGACAGCTCTCTCTAACTTTAAAAAAAAAAAATAATAAAAAATAAAAAAAAAATCTTAAGAAGTTGTATTCCCCCTGATGGATTCTTTTTCTTCTTCCTTCCTCTCATCAATACCACATACAAAGGTCCCTAATGTTCTAATTAGACACCCATCATCACCCCCTCGAATTTACATTTCTTCAGTGCGAATCGAAGATAAGCCTCAGGGAGCCATAAATTCATCACCTACACCCACCATCCCGTCCTCATTACCAACATCCCAAAATACCAAAGCTCCAAAATCATCATCGCCTCCACCTACCACTGAAACTCAGCCTAAAAGCACCCCCTTGCCAACAGCCACAGAAAGGAGGTATAAAACACAACAATCACTCCCATCAACATTTTTAAATACACTAGATGACATTATCAATCAGTTCATTGATCCTCCCACGCGACCATCAGTTGACCCGAGGTTTATCCTCTCAGATAATTTTGCTCCGGTGGAAGAGCTCCCTCCTACAGAATGTGAGATTGAAGAGGGTGCCCTGCCCTCGTGCCTTGATGGGGCCTACATCCGCAATGGCCCCAACCCACAGTTTCTTCCCCGTGGGCCCTACCACCTGTTTGACGGGGATGGAATGCTCCATAGCATCCGCATTTCTAATGGCAAGGCCATCTTGTGTAGTAGATATGTCAAGACATACAAGTATGAAATTGAGCGAGAAGCAGGATCCAGTATTTTACCCAATGTCTTCTCAGGGTTCAATGGCCTTATAGGATCTGCAGCTCGGGGATCACTAGCTGCTGCAAGAATGATTGCTGGGCAATATAACCCAAGCAACGGAATTGGGTTAGCCAACACTAGCCTAGCCTTCTTTGGCAACAAGCTCTATGCTCTTGGTGAATCAGACCTCCCATATGAGGTCAAATTGACTCCAAATGGAGACATTCAAACTGTTGGCCGCAACGATTTTGAAGGAAAGCTCTTCATGAGCATGACTGCTCACCCTAAGGTTGATTTAGAGACAGGGGAGGCATTTGCCTTCCGTTATGGTCCTATGCCACCATTTCTCACCTACTTCCGATTTGATTCCAAGGGAAACAAACAAGCTGATGTGCCCATCTATTCAATGACGAGTCCCTCATTCCTTCACGACTTTACTATTACAAAGAAGTATGCAATATTTCCAGATATCCAAATTACAATGAACCCTTCTGAAATGATCCTAGGAGGTGGATCACCCGTGGGTTTGGACCCAACGAAGGTATCAAGAATTGGAGTGATTCCAAGGTATGCCAATGATGAGAGGGATATGAGATGGTTTGATGTGCCAGGATTAAATCTAATACATGCCACCAATGCATGGGATGAGGTCAATGAGGATGGAAATGAAGCCATTGTCATAGTGGCTCCAAACATAATATCTGCTGAACACACGTTAGAACGAATGGATCTTGTCCATGCATTAATTGAGATGATCAGGATTGATCTCAAGACAGGGGTGGTCTCCAGGCAGCCAATGTCAGCTAGAAACCTTGACTTTACAGTCATTAATCCTAACTATTTGGGGAAGAAGAACAAGTATGTTTATGCAGCAATTGGAGATCCAATGCCAAAGATAACAGGAGTGGTGAAGATGGATGTGTCGGTGGCACAAGATCGACGGGAATGTATAGTGGCAAGCCGGATATTTGGTCCAAGATGCTATGGAGGTGAGCCATTTTTTGTGGCAACTAATCCAGATGATCCCAATGCGGATGAGGACGAAGGATACCTTATCTCATATGTTCATGATGAAACTACGGGAGAGTCAAGGTTCCTAGTCATGGATACAAAGTCACCTAATCTTGATGTTGTTGCCTCAGTGAAGCTACCACAGCGTGTACCCTATGGGTTCCATGGCTTGTTTGTAAGGGACAAAAATCTTTAAGATCATAGTCCTATAGGTCACATTTCAGAAGCATTCTAAGCCACAACCACACCATGTTTCACCCCGCCCCAAAAAACATCTAATGAGCTTATATGCTGTAGTCATACATGTATATACTAGGAGTCTAGGACTAGCAAGTTGTATCTGAAAGGGAACAAAAAAAAAAACTTATGGTGTTAATTTTCATGGTTCTGCAGGACACAGAAAGGCAGGATTGTAACATATTATATAAGCAATTTGAGTACATAGTTCTCTTTCAAATTTCTGGGTTTTGAATTTTGAGATAAAAAAACAACAATTTGCATGCTTCCTCTATTCAAGAAAATTAAAAAATAACATAAAAAAGAACCTTTATCGTGATGGCATGCATAGGAAATCGGTTTAGTAATCGAAGTCTAAATTCCTAGATTATACCTCTACATACAAATACTACTCCAAGGTTATTAATGTCTAAATTTATGCCTATCTAATTACAGTATAGATAACAGATCCAACACTTTGTTAGGGAAAAATAAAGGGGGGGGGTAATAAATTAAATATTCACATGGCAAGTTCAGCTTGGAGCCATTTGGCTAGAGTGACTATGACTTTTGGATACAAATAGCAGGGTTTCAAGGGGAAAAAAAAATTTCCAGATGACATAGTAATTTAGCAATAGCATCTACTAAAGATGAGGTTCACAAAGTCATGTTGAAGCTCAAACGTTACCATAAAAGAAAATTGAACAGATTTCCAATTCAAAGCAAATAGAGACACAGCCTACTCATGAAATAGCCACAGCCTAGACTCGAAATCACTGTAGGCTGAATATAGAACCCTTTTTCCTGGCCTCATTTTTAGCCATAACAATACTAGTCTTAAGCTCTTGACTTGGCCCTTTTTTCCCCGTATCCTATTTACTATCATCAGTTCGTCACATATCAGATATTCAGACCGATAACATTCAAGCAACTTTAACTCACTAAAAATATGTACAGGGTTCAATCTCAAGCCAAAATAGGAATAAGTAAGAACAATATATCATTAGAAGGAGGTTGATAAATAAAGGAGGAGAAAACTATATAAGACTTGTTATTGGCCTTATTGCACTCTTTTAGCACATACTGCAAAACACTTCTCAACTCCTTGAGCAGTAGTAGGTAACATAAGTAATGAATAACATACTCATTATCGTCAAACACATATACAACTTGGTTTGCACGACTACTCATCTTAACGTGTCCTTCCCTCCTCCTAACTTCCTAAGTTGGCCAGCAAGCCCCAATTATATAAGTTGACTATCAGCAGATGTTTGGACATGGAGCACAGTAGCACACTATATTACAATCCAAGGAGAAATTCCATAATACACCATTTTTATTAAAACTTTCGTATCGGTGTCTGACTATGACCTAAATTGTCAGCAAAGACAAACTCTCAAAACAGCCATTTCTACTCTATGGAATAAATGTCACCTAAACCACCAAAATTAGCATGTAAATAAACCCGATCAACCTAAAAAAGGAACCACGATCAACAGCTACGTGGAAACCAATCTCCAATAACGTTTCAAATAACCATCTATGACAAATATTTTGTTGCAAAATCAAGTAATTAAAGCTGGGCATTGCTCTACACCTTTACCTATATCCCTCCTACCCAAGTTGACTCAAATTCATCATCAAATTCAAGAGTATTCGAACACGTAGTATTCCAAATCATACATGGTACAAAAAAAACATATTCCCCTAATATTCCTAACTCAGAATCTCCATCAATTTCAGTTAACACGTCTTAATTCACACAAATGTCAAGATTTTGGAATTCCCAGAAATCAAAGCTAGGTTCTGGGTTCTGCTAAGAAATTAGCTAAAATCTAGAGAAAATCAGGAAACCATAAACACAGAATTGAAAAGAAGCATTACATCAAATCTATCTAAATTACAAATTAGCAGCAATTTGAAACACAGAGTATTTGAAAGTACAAAAATTGAACGATAGGATTCATCGATTGATCTAAAGAAATAAAGAACAAAATTAAAGAGAGAGAGAAAGAGTGAGAAACCAACGTTTGGTGGATTGAGGAAGGTAAGCTGCCATGAAAGATGCACAAGATGATTCCAATTCGTTGGAATGAATGAATGGGAGAATGTCCGCTATATGATTCGAAACCTGCCAAACGTGGCAACATGGCTTCCGCCGAATCCGACCACCTAACTTAGCTACTGTGCGTTTATGACTTTCATACACTACTCTGTGGTCCGTACATTTGAAAACTCTCTGCGAAACAAAAATGGTCAAAACATAAATACTCCCTCCGTCTCCGAAAAAAGACTCTTTTGGTTGATTTTACAGGTACTAATAAAGTTAAATAAAAATAAGTAAAGTATATTGAAAAGATAAATTTACATGGCTTTACAAAAAAAGTTGAGAGAGATAGTAATAAAAGTATATGAAAAAACAAATTTTATATGGGAAAGCTAACTTTGCACAAATATTATTGCAAATTGGTGAATATTTAAATGCTAATGAGTCATTCTTTTTGAGACTAAAATTAGGCCAAAAAGGTCGTTCTTTCGGGGTTGGAAGGAGTATTAAAAAGAGACAAATGAAGTACATAGTACTCCGAATAAGGTAGCCGATTGGTTAGCAAACTTTGGTGTGAGTCTAGAGCAGAAGATGATCTTATTTGAGGCGATCCCGGTGGATCTTCGTGTCGTTTTATTGGAGGATTTGCGTGATGTGGCGACTCCTTATACTATCACATGAAAAAACCAACTTCTAGCTCTACACCAAAATTAATGACAATAAAGAGCAAATTTAATTAATATCTTGAGCCAAGGGGGAGGCCAAGGCCCCCGCCAGCCCCCCTGGCTCCGCCCCTATTCTGGTAGCTAGTAGTTTCTTTTAGTTTTGCTTTCTATGTTCTTTTGTTTTTTTTTTTGGTTATTTTTTCTCTTTCTTGTATAGGGCTTGGCGGCTTGCCCCTTGCCTTCAACCAAAAAAAAAAAAAAGAGAACATAATACAAAGTTTCAAATATTAACATTTTACTATATGATTTATATTTTTTTTATTGAATATATTACTTAATATACAAGTTAAAGTTACTTAAATTAACACATGCACAAAAGTGTGTACCTTAAGAGTTAAGTTGGCAATCATGCCGTGCCGTGTCATGTTCGTGTTTGAAATTAAACAAGCTAGGGAGCGTCAACACTAAAGAGTCGTTTGGTTAGGGGTATTCATTAAAGGATATGGAAATCAAATGCGCTTACTCCCTTTAATTTGATGATTTTTTTTTTTTGATTTGATGATATTTGTTAGACCTTATTATTACTATTATTATTATTATTATTATTATTATTATTATTATTATTATTATTATTATTATTATTTCCTTCACCCTCGCCCATTCCCCCAAAAGTCTTCCAAATTGCTTACCCATCATCTAAGGATTTTCCATTCCTTTTCCTAAGCCACTACCACACCACCATACCATCACCGCCATCTACCCTACGTCCCTACCCCAACCCACCAAGCCACCCAGCCATTCCCACCTCATCTGTCAATCGACCCTCCTTTACCCTTGCCAAACCCCCCTGGCCCTAATGGTTTTGGGGGTGAGAGAGGGTTTTTTTTAGAGTTTTTCGGGGAGAGGAAGGGGGTTTCAAAGAGGGTAGGGAGGTGGTTTGGTGGTGGGATCTCGCAATGGCTAGAGAAAAAGAGAGAGAAGTGAATTGATGTTTTTGTGGCTTTAATTTCTTTTTATTGTTTAAAAAATTAAAACAAACATTATTGTAAATCTAAGTCATTCCCTTTTTCTTATAGGAAAATTTGCAAATTGTAGCCATTTAAAATTCGTATTTTGCAAATTGCAGCAATTTAATAATAAAATTGCAAATAGCAGCCCAAAAGTTCATATAAATTGTAAAATGCAGCCCGATTCAACTTTTTCATCGGTTTACAAGTTGAAAAATCTTCGATTAAGGTTTAAGCTCTTAAGGGTCCGAATTGAGCTCGGAATTATCAAAAAAATAACGCAAGTATCTCGTTTTGCGTAACAAAAATGTATCGATTTGTGGGAAACTGTAAATATGAGACACTTACGTTATTTTTTTGCTAATTCCGAGCTCAATTCGGGTCCTTAAGAAATAAAATGACCCCTAAAACCTTAACCGAAGATTTTTCAACATGTAAACCGATGAAAAAATTGAATCGGGCTGCAATTTACAATCTATACGAACTTTTGGGCCGCAATTTGCAAAAAAAAATTTAAATGGCTGCAATACGCAAAATACAAACTTTAAATGGCTGCAATTTGCAAATTTTCCTTTCTTATATGAACCAAACAACCCTTAACTAAACTCATTTAATAAATATGTCGTGTTATATTGACCCTTTTAATGAAACTTGTTGGAAACTCTTGACACTAACCTTTTTTTCAATGCCCGATTTGTGTCATCTTGTCGTATTATCTAAAAAATTATTAGCCTCATTCATTATATTTATTAATAATTCCATTTTGTTTTTCCCTTGGTAGATTGATTTGTGTAATTTCATGTTGGGATTCTCAACACTAACTCCGTTCTAGTAATTGTGTCGTGTCATGTTGACCTGCTAGTTAATATTAAAAAAAAGGGTAATGCTATACATAGCCCTTAGGGCTATATATAAGCATTGAATTTACTCTTGGAAAATGTATAAAGTTAGGAATTCAAGACAAAAACACGCGCAAATCGGTGTAATTAGTGTGTTTTTGTCATGATTTTCTAAATTTAAACAATTTTCAAGAGTACATTAAATGCTTATATGTAGCCCTTAGGGCTATGTATAGCATTTTCCTAAAAAAAAACCTTAACACTACGAGTAAAAACTATCCTAAATTTTCGTTTTGGATTTTGCCCACTCTAGATTAAAGTGGGACATTAATCCGAACGAGAGGGACCGAGGGAGTAATAAAAATTGTGCACGATCGATCTCACGGGGAGCTCGTGGGCGTAGAAAGTTAGAAACATAGTCAAATATTTTAAGCTTCAAAATCAAAAGGAGAAAGTCAGACAGATACAATAACCTTTGATTGGTGAGTGATTCAATCTACTCTGCTTCAATTCCAACGCCTGCCTGAACTTAACGCCGCTCATCCGCCATTGTTGTTGGTAATGCAACACCTCTTATTGCTTCTTAGTTGATTCTGTATGTTTGAGTTAATTTACAAGCTTAATTTTATTATGATTTACTGGTATGTGCGAAGTTCAATTGCTTGAATGTTAACTGTGATTTGATTACATACTGTATTTTGCGTTTCTGATTCTTGATTCTGTACATTGATCATCAATTAAAAGGTTTGAGTTGATGAATAATGTTTGGAAAAGCATAGATTTAGTTTAAGAAATTAAGCAAATGAGTAGATTAACTGAATTTCGAACAATTTCGGAGTATATTTTGATACAATGAATAAGATAATTAAGGTACAAAGGGAATATACTGGCGGTGTAATCGTCTTCGAGTTCGATTTCTTGACCAAGTGCAGCTTCTTCCTTTCTCAATTTGTCACAAAATCATTGAAAACAACCCATTTAATAGTCAATCTAAATTAACCCTGAAAAAACCTAGAAATGATCAAGAATAAAAAAACCGAATATCAATAAAATTATATTTTTAGGATTTTCAAACAACAAAAGCTCTTTGCCTTCTAAGCTTTTTCAGTAGAGATACTCACTCAGTCACTCCTCAGATGAATGATTCTCCATTCTATCGTTTTGTTGATGATTCGATTATGTACATTATAGGATTGAGAAGTAATCAAATTCGTTGTAATTTGCAATTTGGACTGTGGGATTGGATTTTGCTTTTTTGATTGAATTCTATGAATCTGCCTCTGATTAATGGTGATTATCTTAGCAGTCAAATTATCAACCCTTGTTGCAAAAGTCGAGAAGCTCAACAACATTATGGAAGTGTAAGTGATTTTCTATTATAATTTACATTGTTTTACTTGCACCATCTGAGATAATTCATGCTTTTCATTAGAGTCAGTCAGTTACTATGATGGATTAATGGGTTGATTTCTTAGTGTGTGCTAAATCTTGATTGGAACTACGGGTAAATTAATTGACATTATCATTTTGTTAATTGTGGTTATATGATTGATGTCTTTGTAATATACAGAGTTGCTTCTGCGCCTGGGAAAGTTTTGATGACCGGGGGCTATCTTGTTTTGGAGAGATCAAATGCCGGACTGGTGCTGAGTACTAATGCTCGGTTTTATGCTATTGTGAAGCCTATCTATGATGAAGTAAAATCTGATAGTTGGGCATGGGTATGTGGAATCTGTTCATATTAGTACTTGGTTGACTATGTGGTGGCTGGATTACGTGTTTTGTTTGTCCTATTTTCTTATGAATATTGGATATGTAGGAAGGAGTAGGACTGTTGGTGAGTGTCGAACTCGTCTTTTATAATTATAATTTATTTAGTTTTTTTTTGCCGTCTGAGTTTTTTATAATCCAATTTATATGAAAAATGGAGTGTTAATAGCAATGTTGGAGTGTCAACTGTTGTGTACCTAAACAAAAATAGTAAAGTGAAATGAAGAGTTCTTATAACACTGGCTGTCTTTTATATATATTTTTATAAATTTTTTTTTTTCATAAATTTTCCTTCAATTGACAAATTAATGGAGAATTTTATCCTGTTCTCCAAGTTCGTATTGTTGTCTATTCTAGTTTTATACTCTAGGGACAGCCCTGCACGGGGGGTGGGGGGGGGTGTTCATTAACTATGGTAGCTGAAGATTCATGTGATATTCTTTTAATACGTAGTAGTATATACAGCAATAAAGTGTACTGTTTATGAGAGGGTTTTTGTTCTAGTTTTTCAATACCAGTGAGTTTATGCATTCTTTAATCTTAATGTTAAAAGTCAGAAAATTGCATACTGAAGAGCTTGTCATGTCTTTTCTATGAAAACTTGTTACCTTGCTGGATTGAGGGATGATTTAATTATTTCTTTTATTGTCAAACTTACCAGTTTTTCCTTGCCCCTTTTCAGTCATGGATGGATGTGAAGCTAACAGCTCCTCAACTTGCAAGGGAAACGATGTATAAATTTTCAATGAAGAAGTTAACTCTCCATTGTGTTTCATCAAGGCAAGTATTCTTTTGGATTGCTATGGATTTCACATCATGTTGGTAGTAGTTCCTTGTTTTTAGCGCTTCAGATTTATATTACTAGTGCTTAATCTGTTTATGCATTTTTTCATCTACTTCACAGTTCATTGTGCCATGCTTCTTCAATTGTTGAGCTATAGCTTACGTGCACAGTTCCATTCCCGATACTGGCTTATGTTTTGTAAAATAGCTATTAGCTAATAGCCTAATATTGAGGAAGATAACTTTTTGGGAACCAATGTAGTATCTCTCTCACAGCTTCACTAAGAAAACTACAATAAAGCCAGTTGAGAAGGTTATGTGGGATAGGTTTGCTTTAATTTGCTGTTGTGCAGTCATTTTGACTAGATAGAAGACATATTACTTCACACTTGATTCTGATATTATTATGGCATCATAGAATGAATGAATGATGGGAGGTGTCCCAATCAAATAGTAAAACTGAGAATACTAGCATGCAGTGCAGCCAAAAATATACTGCTCAACACTTTATTCTGGCCTCGTTTAACGAGAATATACCATATGAAAGCTTCTGAAAGATGACAGAATCATTGTTCAGGCTTCAAATGTTGAATTATTTACTAGTGTTAGTGTATGAAATATGATCATTGATGTGATGGGCCAGGTGCAGAGGTGAATCATTTTGTTGAACCAATTTTTACTGATTTAGTTTGGCCGATTTTACCAGCAATCTCTTTTTTCTGAAGGTGTAATAGGTGTCCGTATGTGTGTATGTCCGTTGATGTATGTGCTTTCATTTTAGGGTAGCACCTTATCTATACTATAAACTAAAGTAATCACCAGAGTTATCCCTTAAGTACACATGTCACATTCACAACAAAAACTTTCCCGCCCAAATATTTTTTAGCTTTTTTTTTTAAATTTCTTTTTTCCCTTAAAAAATAACATGATAAAAAAATTTAATGAATAAAAACTTACAATAATTTATAAAATATTTAAAATAATGTATCTAACATGAGAATTTTAAGGATAGACATAATATGAATTCAAATTTAAAAATAAAAAATGTTACATATAAGCCATTTCATTTAAACTAACTCCATTTTAATTGACTTTTTTTTTTTATTTATTTTTTTATTTTCAAGTCTTATTATTATAAATCCGTGCATTTGCACGGGGATAAAACTAGTTTTTAATAAATTCAAAATCTGGAAGATATCCGGATGAATTTATATCCATAAGAGTTGTATTTGTTTTGACAATTTTTTTTATATTCTTCTCTGATAAGTTTTCAAAACACAATTTTTTTTATATTCTTCTCTGATAATTTTTCAAAACAAGATTTTTTATATTGTGCCAGAGAATTTCCTTAACGAGATTTGGCTGTTTCTTTTGCCATATTAAGTGTCAGTGGAAGCAGATTATAACTAACAATGATATGATGTTCACTGGATAAATTTATCATTCATTTATTTCAGTGATGCAAGAAACCCTTTTGTGGAACAAGCTGTGCAGTATGTTATAGCAGCTGCCCATGCTAGGATTGGCCAAGATAAAAAGGATATACTGCAGAAACGCCTTTTACAAGGTGATAAATAGTTTTCAATATTTGATTATACTTTATTAAAATAAAGCTGGGGCTTCCTGAATGTGATGTCTTAAGTGGCTTAGTGATGCAGGTCTTGATATCACAATTATGGGTGCCAATGAGTTTTATTCATATCGGGATCAGGTATAGTAAATCTTTCTATCAAGTTCTCCTCTTTTGTTTTGACTTCTTGATACGATCATACATCCCCAAGTATGTCATGATTAGCAGTAATGATTTTAAAGTAAGAATCAAACTTGAGTGCATAATGTTGTTATCTAGAAAAGTGACATAGTGCATTGTTTGGCCAAGAAGTGACGGCTTTCCATTTACTTCTAAATTGTGGACCATGTTAAAGCAGATCTGGGCAAGAAACCAGCTGATAGTGTCATACGCAGGAAACCAGGCTGATCTGGGCAAGAGGATTTAACTATCAAGAACAAGTAGCTAAGATTTTATGTCAGATTTAATGTAGAGAACGGGGGAAAAAAAATAAAAAAAAATCTCCAGCAGAAGTCCAGCAACCATATCATTTGTACTCTGTGGGAGACTGAGAGTCTTATTAGGTTAATCACAATTACCTGAAAAGTTATACTCTTCACATTCAATGAGACAGCTGTTTTCGCATCTTACAAATGTTTCTGAGCTGGTTTTTTAGTTATGGTTTCTAATGTTCCTTTTTCTATGCATACTGATTGACTATATAAAGAAGTTGAAGCTGCTAAATCTCAATATTCTAGCAAATTGCATTAGGAAATTCTTTGTTTGATGCTGTGAACACTAGCTATTAGCTGAACATTGTGTTGATGTGAGCAGACATTAAGAGATAGGTGTAATGTAGTGAATCCTTTACTGTCAATGTCTGATATATTGGATGGGCTAATAGGAGAGATAAATAAAAATACAGCTTAAGTACCGTAGTTGCTTTGTTCCACATTCTAGTACTCCTTATCATCTTTTACTCATGACCCATGACAGAATCAAATGTTTCTATTTTGGACCAAATTGTTCCCAATGAAATGGATAACAGTGAAATAATTTGAAAAGAATATTCATTTTTTATCAGAGCATTGACTTCCATTCAAGCTTTGGCTTGTCTTTAGATGCAGACCTATAAAGTGAATGTCATGAGATAAGGCTACCTATCATTTTGCTTAGCTGATGTCTTAGTGTGTGGGGGGTGCTAAATCTCATCTGATTCTTTTTTTATGCATGTGTCATTGCATTTACCTAGCAAAAGCTGATTGTTTAACTCTTGAGGCATAGATAAAGTAGATGAGTCATCCTAATACTCCACTTTGTCTGACAGTTAGAAGCTCGTGGACTGCCTCTCACCCCGGAATCATTGTCTGTACTACCTCCTTTTTCTTCAATTACTTTCAATGCAAACGATGCAAATGGTGCACATTGCAAACCTGAAGTTGCTAAAACTGGATTGGGTTCATCTGCAGCAATGACGACTGCAGTGGTTGCTGCTCTCCTTCATTATCTTGGTGTATGTCATCTTCAGGAAAGTAATAATGCTGATCTTGATCTAGTGCACATGATAGCTCAAACTTCTCATTGCATTGCCCAAGGGAAAGTTGGCAGTGGGTTTGATGTTAGCTGTGCAGTTTATGGCAGTCAACGTTATGTCCGCTTTTCACCAGAAGTTCTATCATCTGCTCAGGTCCCTTTTTGCTCTCTCATACTCTCCTTTCTTGGATTAGTAGTTATTAATTCCTTTGATAATTATTAGATGTTAGTAATTGGTAGATAGGATTTGCTATTGGTTGAGAACCTGAGATGTATGTTGATTATTGAGACTTCTAGAGGACAAATTTGTTGATGAAAGTGTATTCTGTTTTGGACAGATATGGCTTGAACTTTTCTTAATAGACATTCATTGAGTGTATGTGCTATTCCTTGCATGAATTAGCTGTATACAATATGACTGCCTCTTTGAACTATACTAGATTACTAGACTCATAGCGAACGCTTGTACTAAGGCAGGTTGTCATTAGCAATTTAAAGTGACATATTTCTGTTTGGCAAGTGAGAATTTCAAGATTAGCTCTTCCAAACGCCCCTTAAAACAGGGACTATTAATGGGCAGATCATAAGAATGTGAGTTTGATATTTTATGTTCTCCATAGATTCTTGTATGTAGTAGGTAAAAGTATCTTATCGGTTTGGAGTAGCAAAATATAAATCGAGTGCTCATTTGTAAATAAATGTGCTGAGGTTCTATATGCATGCAATCTTTTTCTCTAATGGAATTATATATCTTGATCCACCTGTGTCATAGGTATTTTGATCCTAGATAAAAGGGAAAATGGAGAAATGACAGTGTCTGCATGAATCTTTAGGTTGCAGGGATAGGAGCACTACTTCATGAAGTCATTGTTGATGTCATGGAAGGAAAGTGGGATCATGAGATGACTAGGTTTGCTTTGCCGCCAAGAATGACTCTTGTAAGTAGAGACTTCATCTCTTAGCATGGCAGATTTGTTGATTAAAACTTTAAGCAAAAACGTCATTTTCTGTTTCATTTCTTTTCACTATCATGTTGTAGATTTTACCATTAATAAATTGATTCACCCATTATCGCATTCATTCCACCTCTTTGAGACATTTGATTTTTTTATCAGGTTCCTGTACATTGTGAACTAATAGCTAGTTTTGATTCCTCAAGATACATGATTTTATGCATATACGGCAATTACTGTCCCTAGTTTTTGTTTTGGTAGGAAACCAATGGTCATATAGCACATTGTATTATTTTGATCTGTATATAGATAGATGTTATGCTATTGTGTGGTCTCCCTTTGGGTGTGTAGGGGAAGTACTTTTCTTACTAGTGGCTGTCTTTGGCCTAGTCTACCCGCACTTATTATATACTTCGTACTTTCTAATCCTTTTTCTTTTGTAAGCTCAAGGTTGACATATACCAAAAGAGAATGTTTAAACTCATATTTAACGCTTTTCTGTCTTCCAAATGTTTTTCTGCTCTAACTTTTTCCTCCTTAGACCCATACACATCCTCCCACTTTTTTATCCCTGCTTTTTTACCCTCCTTAATCTCTGTTCCCCCACCCCAGCTATTAAGCATTAAATGAGTTCTAAATTAAATGTGCTTTAACTATACATTAGTAGGGCTGTACAGAGTTTGGTTTGGACCGTAACCAAACCAGACCAAACCGCATTTTAGCGGTTTGGTTTGGTTTACTGCTTGGAAAAATACGGTTTGGTTTCGATTTTTTGGGAAGTACGGTTTGCGGTTTGGTTTGGTTTTTCAAAAATTATAAACCAAACCAAACCGTAAACCACTAAACCGCATTTTAATATTTATATAATATTTATAAAAATTAAAATAGTTATTATATATTTTAAAAAAGAAAAAAAAATAATAAAAAACATGAAAAATCATTAGAAGACGGTCAGTAATTCAGTATAATACTATACTCCAAAATCAGTTTAGCTCCGGCAATCATTGATATCGCATAATGCAGCCCCTGATGTTGTCAAGTTGCTGCCAATTATTAAAAACTATAATGTAGTATGAATTTTTTTTCTTTGGACAAATGTATTATGTTTTTTTCCACTGTTAATTTGTTATGTATTATTTTTATTATGTGTTATTGTGTTAGCACTTGATTAGTTGGTTGTCTATTCTATTCAAAAAAAAAAAAAAAAATTGGTTGTTATTTTTATTAAAACTTTGTAGTATAATTTAATCCGTTTGGGCTAATTATTTGAACTTTATTATCAATTTATTAATATTTGACAATTTTTAGGAAAAAATGTCGTCTCATCATAAACCGCAAACCAAACCGCACCAAACCGCATTATTACGGTTTGGTGTGGTTTGGTTTCAATATTAATATGGTTTGGTTTGGTTTGGAAAATTGACCAAACCAAACCAAACCGTATTTTGCGGTTTGGTTTGGTTTATACTCAAACCGCACCAAACCAGACCATGTTCACCCCTATACATTAGTGTTTCTGCTTTTGTACTATTTAGTCATTTTTTAGGTTGTGATTAGACAATGACACCCTAAACATACTAACTAAGGGTTGATGTGCTTTGCTTCTTTTTTTTGTTCCTAATATGGGCTGAAGTGCTGAACAAGTAGCTTCTTCCATTATTTTGATTTCCCCTTCCAACCCTTATGAGCGTGCAAACCCTCCGGTTTCTCTATTAAACTTCTTTCTAGTGAAGGCTGGTCCCCATTGCTAATTGGGTAGCTCAACTCTTTTATCTGTTTATAAGCTACTACTGGATCTTGTCTTCAAACGGGATCAGATGATAGATTTATTTTGCACCTGTGATATGTTGTATTTTACTGGAGACCTATCCATTGCCATTTTCCTTGTGAGATGCTCGATAACATCAGCTCAATCCTCTCATACTAGTATAAAATAAGTAAATAACATCAGTTTAAAGAAGGACTACATGAATAAGGGCTTGAAGAAACTGATATCCATTTAGACTTCATATTCGATAAAATAAATCATGAAAAACATTTGATATGAAGAGTGTCTCTGTCAATTTGTTTATGGAGGCCTGCAGTCTCTTGCCTTAACTGAGAAATTTATGGACTTGCTTCCTCAATTATCGCCGGGCGTTCTTAGTGGCTGTTGACTGGCCTTGGCTTGCATTTTTCCATGTGTCACCAGCCAATCTGTACCAAGTGATTTCCGTGCTCCACACAAACTCTTGCATCTAAAGCTCTCACAGGTGACTTCAACCTCATCTTCATTAAACCTAAACCTATATTTAGTTAGCCAAAAGCTCTAATGGAAGAGGAATTGTGTGGAGACTCTGGACAGCTGGAGGCATACTATACAATATTAAGCTTTATGTTGTTCTCTTCTTGATTATTATTGTCATTTGCAGTTGCTTGGAGAGCCAGGAAGTGGCGGATCTTCCACACCATCAATGGTTGGTGCTGTTAAGAGGTGGCAGAAATCTGAACCTGAAAAATCTCTTCACACATTCACAAAATTGTCAGAAGCAAATTCAATGCTTGAGAAACAATTAAATAAGTTGAAGAAACTAGCAGAGGAAGAACGTATGGCATATGACAGCATCATTGATAGATGTTGCCAGCATAAATCAGAAAAGGTAACCCCTGGTGAATATTTAATGATTGCTGAGTGGTGCAGAAGTCCATGGGTTCACATTAGTTCCAATAGAGACTTTTCGTAGTGGATATCTGTTGTTCATGGTTATGAGCCTTATGGAGTACTTCTTCTCATAGTCATAGGTTTTTTCCGTGAATCAATTGGTTAGACATGCTTCTATAAGATTGGTTGTATAGGAATTAATAGTGCACAGAATATGGAGTTGTTATCTATTATGTTGTTTTCTGCATCTCTCTTATCTTTGCTTATCAAACCTTTTTTGCTTCAATACTGTGAATTTTCCATTGAGTTTGCTTTCTACCCAAAAAGAAAAGAATCTAACAGTTTCTGAACACAGTGGATGGAACAATCAGTTGCCCCAAGTGAGCAAGCAGTCGTTGAAGCACTACTAGGAGCTAGGAATGCTATGCTGGACATTAGAGGTCATATGCGTCAGATGGGAGAAGCTGCTGGTGTTCCGGTGAGGATTTTATCTAGTTATTCATTTTTTATGTGTAGCATTTTTCCCTCCTTGCTCTGCCTCTCAGATGTGTAAGTGAACCAATAAGTGTTAATTGACTATCATGATCTTATGTTTACTTTTAGTCTTTTATTGACATGCCTTCAGTACATTATATATCGCCTTGATTGCTAAATGATAAGCCCCATGTCCCTCGGGGTAAATCGAGTTAGATGGACAAAGGGCTCTCATTCCCTTAAAATTCTCTTTAAATGTTGTTCCGGTTGCATACAAAGCCACTCAATGAAAGAAACATATAAAATTTCAGTCATATTGGTTATATAGTACACCTATTTATATAATTCTTCTTATTACAGATTGAACCAGATTCACAAACTCGGCTTTTGGATACTACCATGGATATGGAGGGTGTCTTGTTGGCTGGAATTCCTGGAGCAGGTGGATTTGATGCAGTTTTTGCAGTAACATTAAGTGATATAAGCAGCAAAGTTGCAAATGCATGGAGCTCACTCAATGTTTTGGCTCTTCCAATTAGAGAAGATCCTCATGGCGTGAGTTTGGAAAATGGTGATCCACGGTTGCAGGAGATCACATCAAGAATTTCTTCAGCAAATATCAACTAAATCTTAACATGAACAGAATTTGGGTTTGTGCTCGATGGTGAAATCCGTTCTTATGTACTCGAATTTCGCTACTTGTGATGCTCTGTGTATTAAATTTGATTGCTTATAATACCACAAATAAAGAGTACGGAGTAGAATATTGCTAGAATGAATAATACATTATTGTTTTTAAATTTCAAAATAAATATGCAGTGGTATTAATTTAGTGATATATTAGTTGTTTTATGAATAGGGATCATATAGTATAATCTTAAGCACTTCAGATCTAACCGCAAATTTTCCCATAAAAGAGTGAGGTGCAGGGTGCAATTCCATAAACTTGAAGTTATATTTGTTGGGATGATGTTTGTGAATACAGAATATGTGAACAGGGCGTCAGGGCCTAAGTGTGTTTTGAATTGTCTAAGAGTGTGTTTTGTAGAGTGTGGCGTTGGTGGGAACTCACGTTGTGATCTTGAGGTCACGAGTTTCAGCTCCACTAGTTACAAAATGCTTGAGGGTAGGAGGATTCCTTATCTCTTCCCCTCTACTCTCAAATTAACATAATGATTTACTCCATACCCATATAAATTTTGGAACTATACTATTCTCTCTGTCCCAAAATTTAATATATTTGATTTTTATTCATTCATGAGTATTAGTTTTAATCATAAATTTTTGATAATGTATTAAATCTATATATTTTTTTTTCATACTCAAATAAAGGTCGAAAGCAACTAAATCTTTCACTATACTTGGACAAACCCAAACTCTTATCGAGAATTCGAGAGGGTTAAGGTAAGCCATAGCATAAGCAGCACTATTCACTCGTCTTTAAGCATGGCAAAACATAAAATTTTCAAAGTAACTAAAATCCCTCGTATTGTTAGATAATATTAATGCAAAGTTTCAAAATATTACGGAGTAGTAACTTCTTTTTTACTCCGTAATTTATATAGGAGTAATTAAGTTACAGTAATATAAGTGTATCATAATATATGCAAAGGTTGACTGTGTCAATTATTTTGAGACAGAGGGAGTATAATAAGGGTATAAATTCCAAGTGACGTAAGCAATGAATTGGCAAACTCAATTAAATCTACCTTCACCTATCAAGGAGGAAAATACAAATAGTTGTAGAATCTTCTAAATTTCTCCCACCAAAACATCATTAACAATACAATTCTTTCTCTATTTTCTTTCTCTCCAAGCTTCATTTCTTGCGATCTAATCCATTCATTTCTTCTTCATCGAAAATCAACCCAGAAAAAACTCAAAAATGGATTATGAGCTTCGAAGAGCAAGACAAAAGTTGCAGAAAGAGCAAAATGAGAGGAAAGAGATGGCGAAATTGAAGCTTCAAAGAGAAAGGAAGGCTAAAGAAGAAGCTTCTAGACAGCGTCAAGCCATTGAAGAAGTTCAGCGAGCTCGTCGTCTTGATGCTGCTGAAGCTCAAATTAAGGTTTGTGTTTTCCCTAATTTCATTTTTATTCGGATTGAAGAAATTGTGGATTGTTTGTATCAATTGAATTCAAGTTTAATTGATTATTAGTTTAAAGGAAAAATTGAGAATGTGTTTGTTAGGTATGGAATTTTGTTATAAAAGAACGAAAGGAATCAATTCAGGCATTTTTATCAATGAGTAGAAATGATTTGTGTTTTAGGTGTGAGAAATCTGTGAATGGTGTAGTATATGAAGCTGGATGTTTCTAGAGTGTTTCCTTGCTTGTGTTGATGCCATCAGCTTTGACGAAGAATGCTATTTGAGAAGGATACCATTGAATTTCGTCATTCGTTTGTCAATCTAGGGATTAGTTAGCTTGTAATCTCGTGTGCCGCCTCCTCGGATTTTTGATTAGGTTTTAGGCTGTGAAGATACCGTAGAATTTTCCATATGTTTATCAATGTAGGGGTTGGTTAGCTTATAATCTCAAACACCGCCTCCATTAAATTTTAGTCAGGTTTCAAGGTTTGAAGATACTGTGGAATTTGCCATCAGTTTGTCAATCTAGGGGTTTGTATCCCCAGCATTTGAACCTTTTCTAGTTACAAGTTTTGATTTTGTGGATGGGATGTTATTAATTGCCATTGCTCATTGTTGTGCCTATACATTGCTAATGATGCTATTCAATATTCTAGTGTACTGGTACGAAGTCGGAAATATTCGAAAATCATGTGTTTCCGTAAAACTGTTGAATCATTGCTACTCGGTCTATGAAAACTGTGCTTCACATATTCTTTGGGCTAAATTTTGCTGTTTAGACTTTTTATCCATCCATCCCAATATGTTATGTTGCTCCACATTTTTTTACAAACAAGTCTTCAACTATGCATGATGATTGAAAGTTTACTTTGTATTGATAATCAAGAAAATAGATGAATTGTGAAACAACCAATATAAAGGTCCAGCATTTCAGTATCCTACTATGCATTGATTGTATGGTGATTTAGATGATGCAGATCACATTATAAACTCTCAATTAGTCATAATTGCATTAAACTATCCTCTCTGAATTTTAAACCTGGACTAGGGGATTTTTGGGTTGAAGACCTTGAAGTTGAGAAATATATACAGTAAACTCCCTCTATTCCACAATGATTTTTTTCATATACCACATGTGGATGTCCCAATGAGTTTGCCGCATTGCTTTAATAGTATATTTTACTCCTTAACTCATGTGCAACCACAAAAAGATAGGAAAAAGGAAATCTACATGCTTTCAATTGGGCAAACTTTTAAAAAAGCAAACTGAAGAGTATGAGGCAATCTTAGCGGGACAGAGAAAGTAGAAGCTCGGGCATCAAAATGCTTCAGAACCTTGTTTGGAAAAGTGGATTATTTGTAATTAAGACTTATAAAGATGAATAGATGATATGTGTTAATGTTTGCTGATGAATTAATTATCAAAAGTTAATTTAACCGATGTGATTACAAGCTTTCACTATGAAGCAAACCTTTCACTTCGTCTACTGGCTACTCTGCAGTGATTCTACTCAGTCCTTTCTTCTCTTTTTAGTGTTTGATTGACATGAAGATCTTTATATCAAACTCTATCTAATTATGTATTGTAGGCAGATGAGCAAATAGCTGAAAATTTATTGTCTGGAGGAGGAATCATGTTTCATCGCATCTTAGAAGCCATTCTTTATCCAGGTGTTGGAGATAAGATTAAGCTGCCTCCATCCTGCTTCACTGGACTGTCTGATCAAGGCGCTTTTGACAAAGGGACTGTATACTTCCGGTTGTCCATTGCTGGTCAAGAGAGTTCCTCTGAAACCTCTGCTAATAGCGATAGTCATGGAGTGACACATTCAGGTGTGTTGGAATTTACAGCAGAAGAAGGGTTTGTTGCTCTTCCTCCACATGTATGGAGTAATTTATTTCCCTCAGAAGCACCAGATCACCCATTGATTGAGATCCAGTATGTTAGGTTGTCAAAAGGATCATATGCAAAACTTCAACCAGAGGATATTAGCTTTTTGGACATACCAAATCACAAGGCTGTCCTTGAAACAAGCCTACGCCAGCATGCTACCCTTTCTCAAGATGAGGTGATTACAGTTAGACATGGAGAGCTTACATTCAAGCTACGTGTCCTTGAATTAAAGCCCTCCCCAAGTGTTTCTGTCTTGGAGACAGATATTGAGGTTGACATTGTCAATCCTGACGCAGGCTCTGAGAAGAGTAACCAAAAGGTCCTGATACCACTCACTTTTGGAGCACCAGAATCTGGAGTTGTTGAGGAAGGGGTATATATGTATTACAAATTCTCGCTTGACAATGATATGTGGAGCACAATTGCATCTGGCAATGCCAGAATAGAAGTAAAGTTGGAGGCAGATACAGACTCTGGGGATACTGATCTTTACATATCCAAACATCCGCTGATGTTTCCCACACACCATCAGCACCACTGGTCTTCCCATGATCTGGGTTCCAAGACTTTGATTCTTAACTCTCAGGATCAGAATCTCGGGTTGGGTACTTATAGTGTTGGTATTTATGGCTTCAAGGGAACAACAAAGTACAAGGTTTTGGTGAATATTCAGGATAATATTAACCGTGGTCAGCAAGCTGGGTTGTCCACGTCATCTATTGATGTGGACTCTGTAGAATGTGGAAATTGCAAGCACTATATACCTAGTAGAAGTATAGCTTTGCATGAAGCTTATTGCCGTAGACACAATGTTGCGTGCCAGTATGCAGGCTGCGGTGTCATTCTAAGATTGGAGGATGCTAAGAACCACGTGCATTGCAATAGATGTGGAAAGGCTTTTCAACAAGCAGAGATGGAGAAGCACATGATCGTGTTCCATGAGCCCCTTCATTGTTCATGCGGCGTAATTCTTGAAAAGGAAGAAATGGTGAGTAAAATTTCAAAATGCAGATATTACTATATTAGTAAATTTACCAGTGAATTCGACAGATTATGGCAGTATTATTAAACCACTACTTCAGAAGTAAACTTCTGATATCCCTGAGTATAAACTTTTAAAATGCCTAGTATCGAAATATTATCTTCTATCTCAAATGTTTTACATGTAATTGAAACATTAATTCCATATTCCATACATATGGATATATTGACCATAGCTTTTTCAGTACTACTTCCTATTATTTATGTAACGCTAGCATAAACTAATATTATTTGAGGTTGAGTATTGAACACTCTACTGGGTGGTTCACTTGTGTGCGTGTTTCTGATTCGCTGCACCTGTGATTGATCTTTTTGTGCAGGTTCAACATCAATCCTCAGACTGTCCTATGCGGATGATTACTTGTCGGTTCTGCGGAGACATTGTTCAAGCTGGGAGTTCCCCTATGGATATGCGAGATAGGTTTAGAGGACTTACAGAGCATGAGAGTGTTTGTGGTTCTAGAACTGCTCCATGTGATTCCTGTGGGCGTTCAGTTATGCTGAAAGAGATGGACATTCACCAAGTTGCTGTTCACCCAAATAATTAATACCTGCTTCCTCACGTGCGTGGTCTATTCTTAATTTTTTTTTTTAATAACAATGTGCGTTTCTATTCTGGTCCAACTTCATATTGTAGATGCTGAAAATTGGCTGCTTTAGCAGACCACGGGCCAATGCAGTAATCCTGGATATGTATATCAGTATATGTGTAAACAGTAGCATTACAATGCTGGCGAAAATCAGTGTATTTGCATCTTTTGTTGTGGGCACTGAAACTCGATTGGTTATAGCATTTAAGTTCTTGAATTGGAAGGCCTGAATTTGTAAGTGTTCCAGGATTCATATTTCCTTCATACTTTTGAATTGAAAATATAGTACTTGTATTTTGAAAAGCTTTGGCGGTCATTTGAGCCCCCTTTTTTTTTCCGCCATATACAGCTTTAGGAGGAGTGGAAACTGCATAATGCCCCTAATATCCAAGTTTTATCGTTTCTTCTTTTTACTCAATTTTTTTACCCCTAAAATCCATCCGACTGTTTAGTTCTTAATGAAACACTCTACTGCCCAATTAGCCAAAAAATTTAGATTTTACATTTCCTCTATTAGTCTATCTTCCGTCTTTTGAGCTACTGTTGATCCTAACTTTCAAAGATTGATGCATTCCATTCCATTGTCTCTTTTGTTTATTTCACATCATTGGAAATTAAAGCTCATAGAAGAAGAAAAAATTGAGAAGAAATGAAGATTTATTTACCAGTAATCTCTACAAGAGCAATTTCCATCTTTAAAATGGTGGAAACGATTTCTATCCCTTACAATTATTTTGCGGTTATAGACAACAGAGACGAACTTTGTGTATGTGTGAGTATCTCTACACATCCTTACATTTCTTACTATTCTGATAGTTGTATGTTCAGGTGTAAGTAGAAGTGCAAAAGCAAGGGCCAACTTTTGACTATGATATCTCAACCTTTGTTTCTTCTCTTCTTCATCTACATTGTGAAGAACTTCTGAAGTATCTGCCACATACCCTTCGAATTTCAATTGCCATTCCATTTGGCGGATCATCTCATAGATTTCTTCCCAATTGCTTCGCGATCTGTCCTGTGATACAAATCTGTACATCTTTCTTTTTACCTCGACCAAACTCAATCCAGCAGCTTGATCCAATCCCCTGTTTGACACCATACTTCGAACAGAAGCTGCATCTGTCCATTTCTGAGCTCGAGCATACAAATTTGACATCATTACATAATCTCCAGCGTTGTCTGAGCCTAGTTGCATCAGAATTTTTGCTACCTTGTCTCCTACTTCCAGGTTACAATGAATTCTAGCAGCACTTAAGAGACTTCGCCACACTACTTCATTAGGCGGCATTGACATTTTCTCAATCAGGTCAAAAGCTTCATCAAACATGGCAGCTCGGCCTAAGAGATCCAAGATGCAACCATAATGTTGAACGGTTGGCTGTATTTTATTCTCATGTCTCAATTTCTCGAATAATTCTAGACCCTCTTCTGCAAGGCCAGCATGCCTACAAGCACTTAACACACCTAAATACACAACATCATCTGGCTCAATCCCTTGATCAAGCATTTCCGAGAACAGCAGAAGTGCCTCATGACCATGCCCATGCATCGCTAGGCCTGAAATCATCACACTGTAAGACAATCGGTTCTTTGCCTTCATCTTATCGAAAAGGCCAAGCCCTTTCTGCATAGAGCCACATTTTATGTACATGTCAATCAAAGATGTTTCAACTACAACATTTAGGCCACTCAAGTTTCTCATCAAGTACCCATGTATCGATGTTCCCAAATCGAGGGCACCCAGATGAGTACAAGCAGAAATCACACCAACCAAAATGCTCTCTTCTGCTCTCCAACTTCCCATCTCCATCATATCCCCAAAAATCTCTAGACACTCCCACCACATACCCAAATTAGCATGAGCTGCAACAAGAGCACTCCAAGTCGCAACGCTTTTCTGCTCCATTCCCTTAAACACAGCACAAGAGTCCACTATATTCCCACATTTCCCATACATATTGATCAGACTGTTCTGCACAAACAAATCATCAGAAAACCCAAATTTACAAACTTGCCCATGAATGCTTCTTCCTAACTTCATCAAACCCAAACCAGCACATGCCTTAAACACAAAGGGGTAAGTAAAATTATCAGGTGAATTCCCTCTTTCAAGCATTTCATCATACAGTTTAAGTGCACTTTCAAAATCACTATCTTTAGAATGCCCTCTAATCATGGTGTTGAATTCAAATGTACCTGGATCATCAATTTGGCTAAAAACTAATGAAGCATAATCCATATTTCCCCAATTTGAGATAGCACAAGTAGCAAGCAGATTACTAACACAAAATGAATCACAATACAATCCCAATTTGTACATTTGCCCATGAATTTGCTTCAAATCTTCCATGGCTCTGCATTTCTTCAACAAGGAAACACATTCTTTCACTCTCCTCTTTAAATTGCAATCTGAAATTTGTGGGCAATCTTCTAATGGCAATAACATGTGGGGTTGATGAAGAATTGGTAGCTTAATCATCCTTATTTTTTAATCACATTTTGAAGCAAGAACAAATTGCTTATGTAGCAAAGACTGAATTTTTTCTAAGCAAAAAGCCAATAATTTATAAATGAATGGAGAAGAAGTTGACTAAAATCACTTTCAAGTTTCAAGTGAATTTAATTTTTCAAAAAAAAAAAAAAAGGGGGTACAAGAAAAAAATTCTCCATGAAAAAAGGTTGGAAAATGAAGATTGAATGTGATCCATAAGAATTAGGAGGGAGAATTTGAGCCAGAGAAATGATGTCAATTAACAGGACATGTGTAAAATTAGATAGGATAATGTTTTCTAGGTTTGGTTTTGGGTTTACATACCCTTTTCAAGTTGGTTTCCCACAGCCCATGCCCACATATGGGCTGCTGTATAATTTTATGATGCTTTGGTCATTATACGGTATTGTTATCCAACGTATAAAGTACATCCGAGTGTATAATTATAATATCGTATATTCTCATTTTTTAAAACAAATAGAGTGAAAAATAACACAAGAGTGTAAAATTATATATCGAGTTTAAGCCGACAATAAGTATGATTTAACGATAAAAACAATGAAGCATAATTAATGATGTTGATTTTATTATTCAATACAATGATAAGAGCCCATGGAAAAATATAATCCCACTCCAATTGGACTAATGAGGTGTTATAATTTATATTATCGTTTGTTATTGAGTCAAGTTCTACCTATCAAACTCAAAATGAAGATGTAGTACTTAGAAATATTTACTTCAGAAATAGCCTATATATTAAGTGTTTAGCTCATTAATTTAATTCCAACTCTAAACACAATTGTCCATAATCTTGATAATATGAACAACTCAAACCATCAAACTCACCAAAATGTTGAGTTGAACTTAGCTTTGTGGGCTTGTGGTCTAGTCTTGGTAGTAAGGGTCTGTTCTCATACGTTTATTTTCAGTTCAGTTCACTTCACCTCAATTCAGTTCAGTTCCTTATTTCCTTCTCTTATAAAATATTCAGTTCAGTTCAGCTGAGTTCAGTCTATGAGAACAGGCCCTAAGTCTCAAATCCACTAGCTAATCCACTATAAACTATAAAACATACCACACTTTGTATTACACTCCTAAACCCGTATTTATTCACATCTTGAATTACATATACACTTTCAAAAAAAAAAAAAAAATCTTACAAACAAAAGTCTTTCCTAAAAAATCTAACACAAATGAGGTACACAATTACATGAAATTATATTTCTTTCTTTTTGGTGAAAAAATTAAAATTGAAAATGACTAAGTATCCAAAGTGATTATCACTAACAAGTAACAACATAAGAAATCCAAAGTGAGTAGTTTGTTAATGGAGTAGAAAGTCAAACTCCCACCAATTACTACTAATAACAGTCATTGTCTTAATTAATCATCATCATCATGCTCCTTCTATCAGCTACCAACCCAAACCCAACCCATCACCTTCTTTCTCTCTCTTTCTTCTCGTGGGTTTTGTGGGCCCACATAATTATCTCCTTTTTTTTTTCTTAACAGTTAATTTCCACAAAAAGATAAAAGAAAAAAAAAAAAACTCCATATTTCTGCATTTGCTTTGTTTTCAGCATACTGTATTATATACCCATTCATCTTCTTGTCTTTTTCTTCATCTTCATGTTAAAAAGATTTGATGTTTTTTGGGTTCATAAAAAAATTTAATCTTTGAGTTGGTAAGATGAAAAAGCATGAAACTTTCTAATTCTCAAAGTCTGATTAAATTAGATTCGTTTTGTGAACAATATCAACACAAATATGTCCCTTTCACTAGGTATTTTGACTCTCTTTCTCTCTCTACTTTCTCTCTCTACAAAAGGGGGGTTTGCGGATTTTTACCTAAAAGGAAATTTCGTTTTATTCTTTTTTTTTTTTTTTTTTTTTTGCACTGAACCCACTTTTGCTGCTGTGTAGTTAAATTTCTGGAAAATAAATTGGTTGGATTGGAATTTCCCCCTTTTTTTATTTGTTGTGTTCTTATTTGACCCAGCAAAATTCCAACTACCCAGAAGTCCCTTTTTCTATTTCCAGCATTTAATTGTTAAAATATTAGCAGTTTTTGTTTTCAGGAGGTGTTCATAGTTGATTTGAATTTCTGGGTTTGACCTTTAATTCAGTTTCTTTAATTGGGTTTGAGGTGGGGTAATTGTGTATAAGAAGAATTGGTCAACTTTGAATTTTTTGCCTCACAATTTGAATTGGATTGAATTAGATTGCTAAAATGTTGCTTTGTGTGTAGTTTGGAAAGATGAAGCTTGCTAAGGTGTGGACAGAACAATGGTGATGATCCTATTTCGACACGGCGGCGGCTAGGTGAAGTAATTTCTGATTGCATTTGCTCAGCACTCATCATCTGATCTAGGTTTTCAGTTAGTGGTCAAAATTTTCTCCTCAGTTTGTTGATTTTGAAGGATAATTTGGTACTTTTGTGTTCATTATTTGTGGATTGTTTGTGGTTGTCAACTAGAGAAATATTGGTGTGGACTTTACTTTCATAGGGGTAGACATTTGGAAAAGTCTTCTTTTGGTTGATGGTGAATATCCTATCCTATTGGAATATGACATTGGTTTTAGTCTTAAATTGATGTTAAAGAACTTATGAGTAATATAAGGACATATTGTGGATTATTGAAGTAAATTTGATCTAGGAATTGGTTGGTGGAGAGGATGGGGGATAACAATGGAGATGATTGGAAGCAGATGCTTAGGAAGATGCTTCCGCCGGGTGCATCATTGCCTCAGGGAGTAGATAATCCAGATTATTCAATAGCTATAGAGTATAAAGGTCCAGCAGTTTCTCAAGAAGTTCCTAGAGTTGAACCTTTGGATGTAAGTGCACGGTTAATTCCAACTGCGTCCATTGCAGAACCACTTTCGGAGTCACAGAGACAACTCTTTGATTCCGATCCTCCGGTCATTGAGCCAATCCCTTTACCCGTGTCTCGTATTGCAAGGGCTGTGGATTCACTCCCTGAAAGTCCTAGAGTATCATTAAGCTCAGAATCGGTTGTGTCTGTCCTACAGAATCCTGATTATTCTTCAGCTTCTCCTTCTCGTTCTCCTAGCTCAGCTCATAACGCTGAAAGTAATAATGTGAATCAGAGTTATCAGACAGCTAATGAAGGGAGAAGGGTCCCCGTGGTCACCTTTAATACTGTTGATAGATCTGAAAGTAAAGACCTTGATGCTGAACCTCCCGTTTATCCCGAGTATGTTGGATTTTCTACAGAAAAGAAGAAAAAGCAAAATGTAAAGGTTTGTTATCGATGTGGAAAGGGGAAGTGGGAAACAAAAGAGGCTTGTTTGGTGTGTGATGCCAAGTTTTGTAGTAACTGTGTGCTTCGAGCTATGGGCTCTATGCCTGAGGGGCGTAAATGTGTTACTTGCATTGGTAAGCCAATTGATGAATGGAAGCGGCCAAAACTTGGAAAGAATTCTAGGGTACTTTCTCGGTTATTGAGTCCTTTGGAAGTTAAGCAGATAATGATAGCTGAGAGGGAATGTTCCGCCAATCAGCTACGACCAGAGCAGCTGGTTGTCAATGGATATCCTTTGAAGCCAGATGAAATGTCTGAGCTACTTGGCTGTCCATTGCCACCTCAAAAGTTGAAGCCTGGGAAATATTGGTATGACAAAGAGTCTGGCCTCTGGGGAAAGGTCAGTTTTTTTTTTTTTTTTTCTTGGAGATGTTTACATTATTACACGCACCATAGCAATATTGTAATTTCACTGAGCATGCTTTTATCATGCAACAGGAGGGAGAGAAGCCTGACAGAATCATAAGTTCAAACTTGAGTTTCAGTGGAAAATTGAGTCCTGATGCAAGCAGAGGAAACACCGGAGTTTACATAAATGGCCGTGAGATTACAAAGCTTGAGCTAAGAGTGCTAAAGGTGAGGCATTGAAGCTAATTTAAACTTTTAATGTCAATCTGATTGTTTAGTGCGTTGTGTGATTTAGTCTCTGGAATCTTGCTCTTTTTGAGAAAACATGAAACACCATAATATACTCTTGGAACGAAACATGTAAGAAAACCCTATAATGCTCTTGATATTGAACTTGCTGGCTGTTTTTGTACCACTCTGATCGTCTACCAATATATTGTTACTGAGACTAAATGGGCACGTATAGTAAGATTAGTAACTGCCTCAATTTTCTCTTTTATGATTAGTTTGCAGAGAAAGTGAATGTTCTCACTGTTCACTTCATCATAGACTTTTAGTATATCATGAAAAATCAGTGTCTTCTTCCGAATTTGAGACTATCTATTTGGATTAAATTTTGCCACAATGAACGCAATGCTGATACTAGGATACCTCAGAAAGAAAATAACAGGGGTATGGATTGTACAGTTAAGAGTGACAGATGGGTTAGCCTTATATTGAAAACCGAAAACACACACTGCCAAAAAATGAACGGATGGAGTAGAGGTGATCTCTACCAGTTGAATGGACAAAATGATGGCTAGTGCCTTGGTGGTGCAATGGGTATAACTGCAAAGTCTTTGTTAGAAAATAGCTTGAATATACTCTAGATCAAGCTAGGAGAAACATTTAATCTTTGTGCGTGTTGGCTGCATAAATTGGGATTGGGTGATTTCTCAGATTTTAGGTTTGTTTAATCCTCATTTAGTTTGCACTTTGCAGAATTATTATATATGGCTCCTTGGACTCAGCAGATATCTGTTTTTGAGGTGTTTTGTAAGTTGGTTAGTATTGGTTCATGTGTGAGAAACATAGAGCTTAAAAGAGGGACTGGAAATAGTTGGATCAGGATTTCCACGTTGTTTAGATGGAATGCACTTAATAAGATGGACTAAATCTGGAGAGATTTTAAAGAGGATTAGAGGATATTCATATGAATTTGATTATCTAATAAATTGGGGGATGTCTATGAGTGAAGTTAATCTAGAATCCTGAGTAAAGGAAGAAAACTTAGTGTGTGAGCCTTGGCATGCAAAAAAGAAGTGCCCATATAGAGACTTATGTTCTTTTGGTGATGGCTGGTTCTTGCTAACTTCTCTCTTAGATTCTTTTACCCCTTCCTCTAACGTGATCATAACTTTCTTCCTATATTCCCTATGGTGCTAAAGGCCTTTCGAACTTGTTTGCATCTGTTCTGTTTACTATTATGTTTTGTTGCTTTGTGTTAGTAAGTGTTGCATTCGCATTGTATCTGGCGAATGTATTATTTAATTTTTCTTGATTAGTGCAAAGAGTTTTCACCTTTTATTTGCTTTTCCTTGTAAAATCACTATGCCTTGAATCTGACAGAAGTTTCTTAACGTTATCAACACAGTTGGCCAATGTCCAGTGCCCCCGTGAAACTCATTTTTGGGTATATGATGATGGTCGCTATGAGGAGGAAGGTCAAAACAATATCAGGGGAAATATTTGGGAGAAGGTATGGATCGTCATTTGTCTTTTTTCTTGGTCCATACAATATCAAATCTCAAAACAAAAGTTTATTTACTAATTCATTCTGATACAGGCATCAACTCGCTTTGTCTGTGCATTGTTCTCTTTGCCATTTCCCCAAGGTCAATCTGGAGTGAGGGATGAGGCAAGCAATTATGCTACTGTTGTGCCAACTTATTTTGAACAGAAAAGAGTGCAGAAGCTTCTTCTTCTCGGACTTGAGGGTTCTGGAACTAGCACAATCTTCAAGCAGGTATTTACGAGTGATTCGTTCTCTTTATCCGGACGAAGTTTTTCTGTTTGGTTGCACGTGACACCTGTAAATTTAGTCTTTTGATTTTGTGGACTATTGATATATCAGTGCTTCACATGTGTTTTGTTGCAATTTGTTTGAGTTATTGCCTTAATTGTAGCATTTGCATGAGTTTGGCATAAACTGACTTTCCTTTTATTTATTTTTTTTCTTTTCTTCTTTTTATTATATATATATATATATATATATATATATATATATATATACTTCCTCTGTTCTTTATTACTTGACCCGCTTTGACTTTTACACTATTCACCACCCCTCTTTTGACCGTATTTTGTGAATAACATGCAAGGAAAAATATATTCATGTATGATCTTTTTGGATTCGTCTCAATAAGTACTATCATAATATATAACTTTTATAATTTTTACTTTTGGAGAATTTAAGTTATTGATTGTTAAAGTTTTGCATTGGCAAACGTGATAAAAGAAACAGGTCAAGTAAAAAAGAACAGAGAGAAGAGATTTTGGGGTGCAAGTTTTTTTTTTCCCTTCACCTTGCCTCTGCCCCTTCATTTTCTACTGCTACTTATGCTCCCCCTCCTTCCCACACTCCTACCTGTGCTTTCACCTTCAATCCTGACAATATAACCTTCCAAGGCTTTCTATAGCCTCTTGTAGACATTGGCCTTCACTCCCCCCCCCCCCCCAACCACCACTATGAAACTCGTGAGTCAAGAAGAGCTTTTTCTTTATGGCTGTTTTGGTTGGAAAAAAGTAGTGGTTGTAGGGCTAATTTATTATGATATATCTTCTATTTTGCTGTTATCTGTAATATATTAGTACTAATACTTCACCGCTTATGCTATATTGCTATGATGGATGACTTGCTGAAGTAAAATTTTTATATATATGGATGAAACATGTAGGCTTATTAAGATAATTTTGCAATTTGTCTATGTCTGTTGGTTGTCTATGTCTGCTGAGCTCATGTTACTCTGCATGACAGGCCAAGTTTTTGTATGGGAACACATTCACTGCAGAAGAACTGCAAGATATCAAATTGATGATTCAGAGCAATATGTATAAATATCTAAGTATATTGCTTGATGCAAGAGAGCGGTTTGAGGAAGAAGACATAGCAAAGATGCAGACACAAGGGGCACATGACAAAAATAATGAAGCAGGTAATACCCTAATACGGAGTAACAATTAGCTGTTTGCTTCCTTCCGTTATCTTGTGAAGTATGGATGAAATATATAACTTTTTTTCACTTTTTATTCAAATCATGTTCTTCGAAATATTTCTATGAATTTTGTAATTTTTTAAACGAAAATGTTCTATATCAATGCCAATAATGATAAGAAAAAAAAAAACTTTTAAACCATAACTAGTGATTTAAGCTTAATACCTATCAGATTAGGAAACCAGCCAGAAAGCTCTAGAGTGCTCAGCAGATTTGTTTCAGATAGTTAGCCACAAGGCCTGAAGATCTCCAAAAGGCAGAATTTCTTTTGCACCTCTTCTTCAACATCTAACAATTATAGGCGGGGAATCTCCAAGATTGGAGTTTGTTTTTCTTCTAATAATCTGAAGAGAGTATAGTGAATCCTAGCTAAATTTCCCTTTGATCAAGATGATGGCATTTTGCCACCTAGATTTTTTTTTTTTATTTTTTTAATGGTTTTGTGATTTACTTGTTTTTGCTTTTAGATTCTAGTTCAGAGAGCAAGTCTTGTAGGCAATGCTACTGCAGCTCTTTTGCCTTGCATTTTTCTCTTTTCTGAAGCTATATATAGCTCTAAACAGATTCCTTTATGTCAATGTATTGATTTTTTTTAAAAAAAAAAATATTAATGTTAATGTAGGCAGGTAATATCTCAGTTGCCTGGCACTATCGCCTAAATTCCTATGTTAATGGAGGCGGTAGTGCCAGCTGATAAGCCCATTAACACTACTAACACTTTTGTAGCTTGAAATTAGGAACAAGGGTGAGTTTATTATAGAGTAGCTCTTCATGTAGTGATATGTTCTGCTTATGTTTTCAGGTGGGACTTCAGAATTAGATTCCACTGGGACTAGTCAAAGCATCTATTCTATCAACCCTAAAATCAAGCATTTTTCTGACTGGCTATTGGACATCATTGCAACTGGTGATTTGGATGCGTTTTTCCCTGCTGCAACACGGGAGTATGCTCCTTTAGTTGAAGAAGTTTGGAAGGATTCTGCTATTCAAGAAACATATAAAAGAAAGGATGGGCTCCACTTTCTTCCGGATGTTGCTGATTACTTCTTAAGCCGGGTACAAATCTAAAATTTTCTGTCTATCTTTATACAACTGGAAATGTGATTGTACTAAGACTTCCTTTCTGTCTCTTTCATGCTCCAGAGGATTTGAAATATATGAGAATTCACTATATAGTACGAAACTATGAACACTCTATGACTTTATGAGCACTAGTGCCTTGTCTGGTGGGTTATGGTGGGGTTCTAATTATCCGCAGCTATATCAATTCAGATGCTGTTTCCTTTTGATATAGCTCTGAGCTGTAAAAGAAAACACTTGTTATAGCTTTGAGCTGTAAAAGAAAACAATTGAAAAGGGAGAAAGTTAGATGTTTTTTGTATAGATGAAAGATAGATCACTGATTTTCTTACATGTTTGTATGTATAGATGAAAGTTTCAATCCCTTTTTTGTAGATTTTGCAAAGAACATATCTTTTGTCTACGTACTTATATATATTAGGTTATAGATTTCCTGTGTTCCCTCATTGGAATTTTAAGCTAATTTGAAACTCAATTGTCAAGACTCATACATAGTTGTTGGTCTTACTCTTACATGTTTGTATTTAATTTATTGCTCATTGTTGGACCATGATTGTGACATGAGACATGGCCTCTTTTTAGAAAATTCTGTGGTATTGGTTGTAATCTTTGTATTGTTTGGTGTTGCATCTAGCTCATGTGATCAACCTTTCAGGCTGTTGAGGTGTCAAGCAATGAATACGAACCTTCAGAGAGAGACATTTTGTATGCAGAAGGTGTGACTCAAGGAAATGGTTTGGCTTTTCTTGAATTCTCCCTTGATGACCGTAGCCCAATGTCTGAGTCTTATACAGAGAATCTGGATGCACCTCCGCCTTTGACCAAGTAAATGCTCTAACCTAGAATTCTGATTTCAGTTTATGACTATGATTGGTTAGCCTTATTTGCAATAGCTTTTGGGATGAATCCTACTTGAATTCTGGCAGCTAGTTATTGAGCCTCAGTTTTGTTGAGCATAAGAACATTCTGCATCAGTTTCATGATACAGATAAGAAGGTTTTGTATTTGAAATGAAGGAGAATGATTTCCTCTGACTCTACCTTTTCAAATTTCCTACAAATGCTACAATTGGAGCAATTTCATGTATAGTTATCATTTTATGAGCATGATAAAAAAGCGCTCAACTATAAATTTTATCTCCTTCATTTATGGTTAATAAATTAAGTTTGAAAATGCATAGCCTATTCTATGACTAAGCCTGATAAGCCTATCCTACTCTACATATGATTTGTGAGCTACTTGAGCGTGGCTATGTCAAAGTTTGGTTAAAGCTCACGCTTGGTTAGCTATTACAGTGTGTTCTAGCTTATTTTAGGAGTGGGTAAAGATTTATCACAGAATGCAAGTGTTTTATCTTTTGCACTCTCACATTTGTGTGCGTGGTGCAATGAGCAAATGCTTACTTCTGTGTCTCATCATACAGAATTCCTGCAAAACATGATGCTGACGTCTTTCTCATATAATTTGTTCATTACTACCTTTGCATTACAAGTGTTGTTTTTATAAATTTTGGATTGTCTTATTGAGCTTGTAAAAAACGATGATTGTCTTATCTAAGTCTTTACCCTCATTGTCTTCTTTTAGTCATGTAATTACTGTGAGGTGAAATACGATTCTAATCATGCTACATACAGGTATCAGTTGATCAGGTTGAATGCTAAAGGGATGAGCGAGGGATGCAAATGGGTGGAAATGTTTGAAGATGTGCGTGCAGTGGTCTTCTGTGTGGCTTTGAGTGACTATGACCAAACATGGATTGCTCCAGATGCTACTGGCAGTGGAACTCTCCTTCAAAATAAAATAATACAAAGCAAAGAGCTCTTTGAGAAGATGATTATACACCCATGCTTCAGGGATACCCCTTTTATTCTGGTATTGAACAAATATGACCTCTTTGAGGATAAGATTGGCAGGGTGCCCTTGCGTACATGTGAATGGTTTAATGACTTCTGCCCTGTTCGAACTAGCCATTCTAACCAGTCGTTAGCCAACCAGGCTTACTTTTACGTGGCAATGAAGTTCAAGGACCTTTATGCATCAGTTACTGGTCGGAAGCTTTTTGTATGGCAATCAAAGGCAAGGGATCGTGTGAACGTGGATGAGGCCTTTAAATATGTAAGGGAGATTCTGAGGTGGGATGAAGAAAAGGATGAGAACTATTTTGGCGGGGCTGAAGATTCCTTTTATAGCACTGACATGAGTTCTTCTCCTTATGTTGTTAGGCAAGAATGAATCATGTGTATGTAGCATTGTGTAAATGTATGTCTGTCTGTGAGGTATGCGAAGCCCAGAAAGCTTAATAGGCTAAAGGCTGATTTGGTTACTGCTTATCGATGTCGATTAAATCAGTTCTTTTTGTATTTTAACTTCTCATTTGTAAAGGCTTGTTGATATTTGTTGAGTTTCATGTAGGAAGGCTTGGTTAGCTACACTAAATTTTCAAGTTTTACTGTCATGATTAGTGAGTAGTTACAAACTCTTCAATCATGAGAGAACACACATAGTAGGTGTGGGGAATGAAAAAAATCATTTCGACAAGTAGACTCAAGAACCTACCCTAATGGGTGATCTTAATTCTTTAAATGCTTCAATATATTGAAATAAAGCAAGTAAATTGCCAGCTTATGAATTACAAAGAGCCTACCCTAATGCCCTAATGGGTGAACCAACCCTAATGGGCAATGCATACATTATTATTATTATTATTATTATTATTATTATTATTACTCCGTTACAGAAAAAGCTGTCCGGGCAATATGTTACAAAGGGATGCAGCTAGTGAGCTAAATTACACGATATAACTAATCTTTAAGGCACTGCATACGTTACCATTACCTGCCAAAGAAAAGGCTGCCCGGGCAAATATGTTACATTGTTACAAAGGAACACTAGGATCAAATAGCGGAAACATATGATGCAACAAATCTCATGCCAAATTCTGAGTGCTTCACTGATTTTATCAACATGACAGTCAGAGATGGCTTGAATAGGCAAATTTGGGTGGGAGGGTTAGAAGAGGTTCTTTGTCAGTAAGCTTCTGGGATGCCATCCCTAAAGCATAACCTAAGGCCTTAGCAACTGGAATAGCTACTGCATTTCCCACTTGCCGGTACCTGTTGGAAACATAGAATATTGGTTAAAAACATAATTACTTGAAATATTCTCTACTAAATCGCTCTACAGAAGTTTATATGCATGACAGAAGGGGATAATTTATCATAGGGCCAAAATGATCTATCCTACATTCCTAACCTCCTCACGCGGTCACACCCTCAACCCCCAAAAAAGGGTGGGAAGACACAGAGGGAATTAAAGAAGTAGCTAATAAAAGAATAGTCCAATTGTTCACCAGGCAGACAAGGACACATCCAAAATGATGAAAATCAGTGAAAATTTCGGGGGGGAAAAAAAGGAAACTATCAAGTTGAGCACATTAATTAGGAACTTAGAATTAAGCACATGTGGATTGGGTGGGGGTTAATGATATTATGATTATCAAAACCACCTGACAACTGCAAACCTCACACTCACGAGTTCCGAGTCTTCCAAGGAAATTTGGGGAGGTGGGGGAATTAGAGAGAACATTGAGCTTGCAAGATCGTATCATAGATAGGGGACCCCAAAGGGCCCAGGTGTAGCCTAAACCCCCCTCCCTCCCCAATCCCCACACAACAAAATCATATACAGGTTTTCCATATATTTAACTCGTTACTTGTAGATATACTATCACCTGGTACACAACTTGTGTTTATTTATCAGTAAAATCCACACATCTTGGTCGAGAGAATAAAATCCAATTGAGGAATTGGCTTAAACATGATGATGATTATTTAAGCATTTTTATCAAATAAATTACTCCGTATTACACAGCAATCTCACCTTTTCTTGACAGTACCACAGAAGCGATAATTATCAGGAAAACCTTGCAGCCTTGCACACTCACGTACTGTAAGCACTCTATCTTGCTCGGGATGTAGTACTGCCTGTAATTTTATTTGTCACAAGAATGCCACAATGATATAGCATGTAAGAACAGGGGAGAAGAAGGTACCTGGCTGTGGCAATTGGGGTAAGTGACTATAGTTGGCATTGTCTCATCCCACCAAAGTCTCGCAAATGGTCTGCAGATACAGCCAAACAGTTTTTGAGGTGCTACACAAATTCATATTTACAACAAGATATATAAGAGTAGACGAGCCAAACACGTCCACAAGAGACATATCTCACCTTTTAGATTTTCCTTGCTCAAATGTGAATGCATACTCTGGAACCTAGAACAGTACAAAAGAATCAAACTTATAGCTCAGTGTCTTCTAGCAAATTTATCAGATATACAAATATATCAGTTATAGCTCAGTATCTTCTTGCAAATTTATCAGATAATATCTCAGTTATAGCTCAGTATCTTCTTGCAAATTTATCAGATACATATTTCTTTTTTTTTCTTTTTTTTTATGCCATATCTACATTATCAGAATATATTTAAACTTTAATATTTTCCATTAATCTCTTTAATCTATTGTGAAAAAAACTTGGTAACCCTCATTACTGTTACTTTTATGGTCAAATGAACAAGCCTAAACTAGATGAGCACTTATCATAAACGAAGAAAACAGTTTATCTACCATTGGCCTTCCTGAAGGCAACATCACAGTTTCTAGCATTGGATCTCGCCGAACCACATTGTCATCTTCCACAATTACGCCAGGGAGATCCCTAAAATTTGCTCCCTAATGAAGATGATTGTTAGAAACTAGAAGCATTACAGATCATGACAATCTTAATATGGTTTAAAGCTAAAAGTAAATAAGATCAAACCTTTCTTTGTGGAATATGGCATACTCGTATATAGTCATCCTCAAATAACTGATGGGGTCGATGATCATAAAGTAAAGCTTCTTCTGCTTTTGATGCAGAACAAATCATATCTAAACCAAAAAAAAGTACCAAGAAAAAAAGAAAACTATTTTAGGGAAAACCTTTTTTCCAAAAGCTAAGCACATACTTTATATATATATATATAAATATATGTATACACACAATATTGAAACTCCAAAAAGGTTATACAGAACAAGGACAAGGTGTCCTCACAAAGAAACTCAATACAAACTACATACGGAGTATCTCTTTATGAAAAAACAGAAAACTGAGTGTCAGTGAAGGTAAAACATAGTCTGAGAGATTCAAAATAAGCAGAATGTTACCATATTTTGTTGACCTTATATACTTCTGAAACTCGGTCTCTGGAGGCCTACTATATGGCATTTCATCTGAAGATTCATAGTTTGTAACCTGCAATATCCAATTGTGGCAATCATTATTCGGTATTGAAGCTATCATCAAAATCCAAGATATAAACTACGAGAATAATATAAAAAATACAGAAATGAAATGAATTACTTACTGTAGGAAGATCTGAGATGGCATCACCCAGGAAAACAGCATCTTCTAGTTCAGGAGGTTGGGCACCCTCATCATAAGCTACAACATTCCGCTGCAATGTATTTTTTAAGATTTAAAACCTTATGCACTCCAACAATAATAGTCCAAGCTAAGTGAAATAATGATACCTCAAATTCTAATGGAGGCCAATATCTGACAACAACATCATGCGTAGGGAGTGGAAACTGCGGAAGTTCCTGCAAAAAGAAAAGCTTTTTCAGGACAGGACCAAACCAATCTGCTGTTATCGCATTTCTATAGCACTGATTAAGTAGTAGAAAACATCTGGTAGAGCAAATCAGATTCTCTTTTAAAAAAAGATTCCATGAAGATCGATGTTATAATGCTTAAATAGTTTACCTCACTAGGAAGAGCACCCCAAAAGAAGACACGCAAGCGAAATTGAGGAAGACCATAACTACCCGCAGCAATAATGCCAACTCTAGCTTGATAATTCATATGCACCAAACGACTTAATGCGTATCGTCCAAGTGAACCTTTGTCAAATCTTAAGATATCCATCACATTTTCCATAAGAACAAACTTAGGCTTAAGATATTCAACTATGTCCATAAAAACAACTAGTTGACGATTTCTCTCATCAGTTAATGGGGCATCGACACTTCTGAATCGATTATACCCACTAATACCTTGACATGGAGGCCCTCCACATATGACATCTACATCACCCTGGCACACATTATGACATAAAAAATTAGGATATAAGAGTAAAACTTTCCAAAAAAATGGGTGAAGGAACAACATGCTTAGATAAACAACTTACTGGGAGAGGCAATATTTTATTTTTGAACCCGTTTATGACAAATTCTTGTATTAACTCCTGACAATTACTGAAGAAATATACATAAATAAGTCGTGTGCATCTCAAAGTCATACCCAAACAACTTTCAAACTCAAACATGGTCATGAAGATACCTCAATCCCTCAATTGGTTCCCATGTATCATCACTTGGACCAAAACCTTTCCAACGCACCTAGAATAATAAAAGGAAAAACACCATTTTAAAAAAATGTATAGCTATAAATAAAAGCTTGTCAGGTTAATCTGTGGACTGTACAGGGAACTCTTTTAGGCTCATTCATCTAATGATTTAAAAATTCTCCAAGCCATCTTGCATATAAATTTCAAGCAAAAGATAAAACAATGATATTTAATAGCAATGTCTAATTAAATTAGATTCTAGAGCTGACTCATCGTTCAGTAACTTTCTCTCACAAAATGATGTTTCTAAATGCTTGAATAGCGGAAACCTTGGTACAGCCTCAATTCTTCTTATTTAAATATTTAATATACCATGATGAGTATTTAAAAGCCTTAATATCATTATCATTAACCTTAAATTTCAGCCCCTGCTTTCCTGATCCATCAGCATCGCCATAACTAATATCAACCAAGCTTAAAACCTCCAATTCATCAGCTGCATTGTCACTGTCTGGTTGAGCATCCAAATGGACTTCAGCTAATTCTGAAACCTCTTGTGTAGAAGGAAATGATTTTTGTGTCCCTTCAATGACAAACTTTTTGCACAGGCTCTCCCAGTGCTTTAACAACTCCAGAAAGTCATCAGCTGTTTCATTCTTAACCTATTTACAAGAAGAAACATGTCAATAACTACATCACGTAGGCACTTTAGCAGCTATATTTCTGGCAGTGGAATCACAATCTGCTTACTTGTACATTAGAATGATTTAATTTCAAGCTTTCGCAGGCTAGGCTGTCAGCATCAATCGCCCATCTCTGATTCAAAACACAAAGTTCAGCAATATCAATGCCTAAGTAAGGAATAAATATTTAGTCATTTTCAACCTTTCATACTAAAGTGTTTTTCCCTATTTATTCTTCATTAAAAAAATTACTCTCTTTCTTAAATATGCTGATTAATTACCGTTACGAGATTAACACCAGAAAGTCCAGCGCCAATGCATAGCCCAGTCGACATTGCCCCACAACCAGCATAAAGATCTAACATAGATAATTCACCACTGTATGTTTCACAAATAGACGTATTCTCCACTACAGGGGAGCTGGTAAGGGAGAGGGCGGATTCATTGCAGCCAAGGGGCTGTAATACACAGCCCTCAATAGAATTTTCTGAAACAACACAATATAACTGATCAGCAACTCAGTGTCATTTGAACCAAATGGCATTCCAACAGATTCTAGCAATGATCAATAGCTATAACTTCAGGAATACGACTATAGGACAAAGAAAATAAGTTACCAGCAAAATAAGGTATGTGCAAAGTGACAATCAGAACTCGGTTTCTTTTTTTTTTTTTTTTTTTTTTTTTTTTTTTTTTTTTTTTGGAGAGAGAGAGAGAGATCCATAAGGTTTCTGGAGTCTTGATGCGTTGTAGATATTCCTCTTAACAAACTGAGTTTTTAAACATTGTCAAAGTAAAGGTCATAACTTCTTGGTTCTAGTTTATTAATTGATATAGGTAATTAGGTATATACAACTCAGAAAAAAAATTGTTACGGTGAGCACAAAACTGAACTATGGTAATCACATGTTCACATCAGACAGAAACTGCAATTTAGAGTTAAAGAATCATATAAATCAATAAATAGAATCCATTAGAACACTGTTCCCCCAAAGTAAAAAGAAAAAACAGATAAGCCAAGAATACAACTTTCTACAATCACCAGCCCTAGTTATGACCTGAGAGACACAAAGAGGCATTGGGCATTCGGTACAATATGGAAAGAAGAAATCAGCTATTAATAATTAACCTGGTATAAGTTGTGATAGAAACTTTAATTAAGAAATATGACCACAAAGAGTATCTTACCTCTAGGCAAGTTGCGGAAAGTTGAGTACTCCAAACAGTATTCCATATCATAATAGAAGTCCGATGGTTCAACAGAACTTGAATTCAAGTTTAACTACAAAGCCATAGAAAAGTAAAGGGGTAAATGTAAGATTTAACATTGAGAAGTAAAAACACGAGAAACTTGTGTTGAGGAACAATTATATTGGCAAATGAAACTCTACCGATAATTAAATACGATTCCCTGCGTCCCATAATATAGTTCCTCTTTTCCTATTTTGGAGAACCACAATGTTGTTCCTGTTTCCATTTTTGAATAGTATGTAAAGACTATTATACCCTCACCTTTTTAACTTTATTCATTGTACTTCCTAATTTACCCTTGAATTTTGCACATGTCTGTACTTTTTTCCACTTTCTCTCTCTAACTTTTGTCTATGATTGTACTTTTCACTTTTATTAATGTACTTTATCCACCTTCTTCTTCTTCTATTTCTTATGTAGCGTCAAAAAACACAAATAAGAATTATATTATGGGACAGAGGGAGTACAATAATCCTTTAGTTTTTTCCAGTTTGTTCAGTTTGACTTTCACAATGGCTAACACACAACTTTGACCATAAAATAATTTAATTATCTATTATAAAAATATTATAAATAGTTGATTCTCTGAAAGTAATATATATAAACTCTAATAAGATCCCATACGACTACAATAATCACAAAAGAAAGTCGAAGGACGAAGGGGTGTGTAAATAGTGCCAAAACGAACAGTGAGTTAAATAAAAATAAAGGTAGTAAAATACGGAGTACTTTATTAAGTATAAGTAAGTAAATAAAAAAGGAGATGATGATAACCTGAGATGACACTTGTATCACTTTCAATTTAGAGATTATACAAGCTAACACATTGTCATTCATAATACATGAATAAAATATGCGCTTCTTGTCATGGAATTTAGCGGCTTCATTCATCACCTGGAACAGATACCGAGATTAGATGGTTTGTACTTTACACCAAAAAAAAATACTTATAAAAAATATGAACACCAAAATGATTGTAATATCCACCGTATCCTCAGGTTTGTAGAACCACTGGGCCCTGAAATATTCTTCTCCTTCTGTTGTTTGAAATAATTCCACAATCCTTCCAATATGTTTTTGTGTTCCCTCACCCTGAAAAAGGTCCAACATGTACACAATTTATCGATACCACATGACATAATTACATGAATTACCAGAAACTTGTTTCCTTCCTCAGAAAATTCTGATTGCTCACACAGAGTACGATGATTTGCACAGATTTCCTAAAATAAATAAATGTTAACCTTACTTTTTGCACAATGTATATCCAAATTTAGATTGCAAGTTTCGATGTCTTAGTGCACAATAATCTGACAAAAAGCATAATTGTGGAAATTGCAATTCAAGATTATTGAACTTTCCTATTCTAAGGACCCTTTTGTCTCATAACTCCTATAGATTAGTTTGGTTTGCTAAAAACAAACAATTGAGTTTTACAACACCCACACTCCTCATTCATTATATATGCAACAATGCAAAGATGGCAGTCTCACTCCCACCTAAGGGTGAAATCATTTAAGTTCATTCAAGAGGGGGTGCTATTACATAAGTCATAATACCCATTTGAGATGTCCCATATTAAGTGGTATTCCTCTCTAAATTTTCTCTATAGTTGGACACCACACCCACCAACTAATTTCTCTCAACTACTGCAATCTCCACATCATTTCTCTACGTAACATTTATTTAAGGGATGACGTTGGTAACTGTTTAATCAACTCCTAGGGGTGTGGCAATTGGATTAACAAAATTTTGCCTAGGAGTGCTAGGACTAATTCTAAAAAACATGCAGTTTGGAATAAATTTATCCAAATTGAAGGTGGTTTTCAGCTTGATCTTGCACGTTTTCAGCCACAGAAGAAAGGTGAACAGTCAAAGTGAATGATCTAATTAAGTTTAAGCATAAAAAATTTCTGTTGTGCAAACAGTCAATTTTTTATTTATTGATTGCATCTGTGAAATACCCTCTGACCTCTGGTAGAATAGCCTGTGTTCAAAAGAGCAGGAATAGAAGAGAAAAAAAAGAAAACATATTAGCCAGAAGCTCACCCTTATTAAAGCACAATCTCCTAGTTGAAATATGCACCCTTTTATTTGTGCTTGGGTATAATGACATTTCACTTCTAGCATTGGTTCATCCTCTTCCGTATCGCTGCAGGGATCAACAAAATTAGAGGATATCATCATCAAAAAGATCATTACATATTGAGCATAGAAGCACAAAAGTTAATGCAACCACAGACTACAAGAAAACAGGAGACTGTAATCACAGAAACAAGTATAAATAGTCACGCACTTTCCTGTAAAACTTCGGCTGTTAATTCTTCTATTCTGCATAGCTTCAAAGCATCCAAATTTTAGAACTGGGTGCAAATGCTAAATATGAATAAACATGAAAAGCAAATAAAGCATCTACTTGGATTATGCACAATTGCACAACTTAATTTTATCACTGAATTAAACAATTAGAGGTTTACTCTAGACAAGTAGAGAGGTTGTATACTTTGTCATAATAAGCTAAGATAGAAGAAGGATTCTCACAAACTTATCAAAAACGAGGTATCTTTACTTTTAAGAAGCAAACTGATGATAGAATGACAAGAATCTCCATTGTGTCAAGGTACTTAGCCCCCCAGTTAATAATCAGAATTCTTACTCTAGGAACACATTGCTAAGCTAATAACCCTGCTCACCCAAACCAAAAGAAATAGAAAGGTGAAAGGGAGAAATATAGCAACAAGTGGAACGAGGAGTGAACACTTCAACTGCATGCAAACCCTGCCACAGAGTTATTGCACCAGAGAAAGGGCAACCTATTCACTGGTTTATAATTTATATATTTAATATCGGATTGTGTGTTAAGCTAAAAAGTCAACTTGGTATTAACACGGTTAAATTATATAGGTCTATCTTCAACCTTTACTTTTAGTGAACCAACTGGTCACCAAGCCATGATCACATGCTCTGCACAGCACCATGTTGGCATTCTGGGAAAAGGAGTGGAGCTAAACTTTATGAGCCTTATTCTCCTCTAACAAAGATATACACAGCATGATACGATGCAAAGTAAAGGATCCGCTCCCATTAATCACCAATCCAAATTCAATTACTAGAATAGGGTTGGAGTAAAGTTTTGGATTTTTAATGATTTTAAACTAATACAATCCATGATCCAAATTAAAATAATACTATATATTTATAAAATTATTGGAATAGAATTTACTTCCTCCATTCTTTAATTATTGCAACAATTGATTTTTACACTACTCACACAATACCATTTGACAATCAATTGTGCTTTTAACGCCAAGAAAAATGTAGTCATGTAAGGTGTTGTTAGATTCATGTTGATGTATATTTTCAGATTATTAACGTTTTATGATTTTTACTTGGATAATTGAACATGTTAAAAGTTGGAGTTGTGCTTAGATGATTGAACATGTTAAAAGTTAGAGTTGTGTGTTGGTAAGCGTGAAACTTCAATTGTTGCAATAATTAAAAAACGGAGGAGGTATATAACTTATAACCTAACTCATATACCTATAAGGCTATAATCTTGAAGACTAGGTATAATTTGCACCCCATCTCGTTTAGCTATACTTTGAAGAAATGGATATACTATTTCAGTCAAAAAAGTCATCAAAAATTAGGGGTATTATGGTAAAATATGAGTTGAATTTTGATAAAGAAACAAAATTTGACATGTAAATTGAACCAAAATATACCAATTAAAGGTTGGATGACTAAATCCAACTCTAAACATTAAAGGGTTTTTTACTTTCCTTTGAGGGTTTAGAGAACTACAAATGGCATTGATGCATCCCAATTATAGGAAATTGGTTATTGTTTAGTTGGACCACGATGCATAAACACTTAGTGAGTTAGTGTACATAGAATATTCTCTTTCTTCTAATGTTGTAGGACTAATATCCCATTAGCAGGAAATCTATGGTAAAGTCAAGAGATACAGGAAAATATTCTACATATACTAAGGGGGTGTTTGGTTCACATAATTAAGGTATAAGGTATGGGTTTAGAATGGTTTAAACCCATACCTTATGTTTTCATTCCTGATTCCAACCCCATACCAGTTTGCGAACCAAACGCCCCATAAGTATACATATAACTTTGGTCCATGTTAAACTCAAAAGATTCTTAAAGAAAGTCATTAGAATCATGCAAGTAGAAAAGGCAAGAGAAATAGAGAGTACATAATGAGTGAAGATGACCTTCAATTTGTAACGCCAGCCCCATTTCTCAAGAGCCTCCTCCTCAGAAACCGGCTCCCCGACGAAGAAGCAATCCTCCCTTCTTCCACACACTTTAACTTTAACTTGACTCGCCTTCGGCTCTACTTTTGGTGCTTTGTTCTTCTTTTTCTTTGCCTTCTTTAAAGAAAACCCAAATTCAAATTCATCACGTTCATCATCTACCGCCAAAGAGGACGGCAATCCTCTCGGCGAACGTCTCAAAACCCTATCTTCCTCCATTTTCCCCAAATTCTCCGGCGATACTAAGCTCGGAGAATCCGTCCCTAACTCTCCTTCATTTTCCTCACATTCCACCGATTTTATCAGCTTCAATGGCGTCTTTTTCCCCAATTTCACTTCAATTCCAACGATTATCTCCGATTCTGAACCCAAAAACCTAGGTGATCGTCTCATCACCTGATCGTCCTTAATTTTCCCCAATTTTTCCACGCTTGGAGATTTCACCTCCGATTTTCTGTCACTTAATACTGATTTCACTAGCTTTAATGCCGCTTTCTTCCCTGATTTACCTCCAATTTCGACGACTTCCTCCGAATTCGAAGCTGAAACCCTAGGTGATCGTCTCAACACTTTATCTTCCTCAATTTCCCCCAAATTTCCCGGCAGTAGCAACAATCTCGGAGATTCAATCAGCTTCAATGGCGACTTTTTCCCTAATTTCACATCAATTTTAACGCTCATCTCCGATTTTGAAGCCGAAAACCTCGGCGACCGTCTCACAGACTCTCGATCAACCAACTCACGCTTCCTCTTACCACCATTAACAGCTGAATCAGAGCTCAAACTCAAAGCTAACTTCCTCGATTCCGGACTTCTCATCGTCTTTCCATTGGATTTTGACGACAATGTAGAAGCAGAACCATTACAATTCCCAGATTGAACAACACCATTGAACCTCGGTGACCGTCTTACAGGCGAAGAAGACGGAGATTTCAGCAAGAGAAGCTTAGTAGTTTTAGGGTGATGAACTTTGAGAGGTTGAGGAGTATAATGTGAGTCATTGTCGAGTGATTCAAGAACAGGGTCTGATCTAGAATTATCATGCAATGTGAGAGCTAGTTGATGGGATTTGGGAGGAGAGAGAAAAAGTCTGGGAGATCTTCTTCTGAGAGATTCATGCATTTTGAAGTTTTTTCTGGGGAAGATTTGGAGGAAGGAAGAAGATGGAGATGGAGATGGAGGAGAGAGAGTGGGGTTTAAGGGGGGAGGTTGGAAATTTGAAATGGGTGATACACTGATACTGGTAACTGGTAACTGGTAACTGGTAATTGGTAATTGGTAATTGGTAAATGGTTTAGGTGAAAGAGAGTGATGAGTGCAGAGATTTTGTCTGCCACTGAGCAAGAACTAAGGCATGGGAGTTGAGTTGAGCTTTCTTGTTTCCAAGATATTGCAAGGTGTATCTTAGACAAAAGATGATGAGCTATTAGACTAGAGCCGTAGAGGTGACCAAAAATTATCATATTTCATTATTTTGTGTCTAAACTCTAAAGTCACAAAAAAAAAAAAAAAAAAAAAAAACGGGCTTGTTGGGCCAAAGGTGCCTTTTGGAGTCAGATTCGGGTTTTATACTAATAATGTGTTTCTAGATTTGTCCAAACCCGCCCTATTTTTGGGTCAGGCTGATGTTGATCATCTCTATATTAGAGTGTATTACATTGAAACATTTGGTTTGAAGGATAGAGATAAAAAAAAAATAAAAAAATAAAAATAAGGATAGAGAATTTTATTGAATGAGATAAGGATAAAATTAGGTGTAGGATAACTAACAAGATAACTAATATACCCTTAATAACTATTCTTTTTTTCATTAAGGTCTTGATATGTTGTTTCAATTATAGTTTCTATCCTTCCCCTCTAGGTATAGAATTTGACAGATTGGTTTTTTTTTTTTTTTTTCATCCCGCTCTATACTTGTTTGTTGTTTCTATGATTACATTCTCCTGTTTTCTTGTAGTATGTGGTTGCATTAACTTTAGTGCTTCTATGCTCAATATGTAATTTGTAGTATAATCCTTATCTCTCTCCTTTTATTCCTCTAAGCAAACATGTTGCATAAGTACAACAAATCTGATATTATTATTATTATTATTATTATTATTATTATTATTATTACTATTATTATTATTATTATTATTATTATTATTATGTTATGAAATATTTGTGGATATCCATTATTCCAGAACAATCTAGATCTAGGGTTTATATTCTTATCCAATTAAACCCTAATATATTGTATGTATATATAGACCTTATCATATGGAATAATATACACAGATTAATTCTCTCTCAATCTCTCATCTTTTTCCCCATTATTTCACAACACGTTATCAGCACCATAGATCTCTCTCAAAGTGACAAATTGAATGGAATATAAATCCAAATTTTGTGATTTGCATCTTGCGTGCAATTATGTTACTTGAATTATAGTTTTGTTTAATTTCAAAATTCACAACAAGATTAATGGTTGGACCATATTCTTGTTGGAATTACATGATCTGTGTTGGACCATATTCCTTTAATGGAATTAAGTGGGTTGCGGTCTCCTCGTGGCGTATGTGAGATGTGACTAATCTAGAAAGTGAACATATTAAGAATAGAGAATCCTCAATTGCTACAACGAGATCCGTATCAGGAAAGTTTTTCCTCTACTTATTATTTTCGTAACCATATTGTATATACTGTATATGTTAATTATGTTACGAAAGTTTCGTATTTTATTCGTTGTTTTGTTTTGCAATGTCGAAATTAAATTAGTACTCCTAAATGCTTGCCACATAAACTGTCGAATAATATACCCATATCAATGAAACAAGTCTGGCATGACACTAATTGGTTTAATATTGTTTGACTTGTTATATATATGTAGTATGTTGTAGAGTATAATCTATAGTGCTTATAAGACAAATTCTCATCACTCTATTATCCCCTAATAATGGTGGTTTTGGTTAAGACTTCATTCATAATTTATGAAGGGAATATTATATATATTTTTTGATAGAGTAAAGTACTTGTTTGATTTTCCTCGTTAATTGCACCACGACAAATTATTTCCGATTAGAATAAAATTATTCTTGAACATATAATCTAAGTGATTTCATAAATTTCTTTTATGTACCCGATTGAATTGTGTTAATCTACTATGAGAATCAGGTCCGTTTTAAATGAGTATTATACTATTATCACATGTTTAGCATCATGGATACAATTATGTGAAGTTATATATCGTTTGATTTGATTTGCAAAATATTTCAATAGCATGAATCTTTTTAAGTATTATATGATTTTGTAATGAATTGTTTATTAATTATGGATCACCAAAGCTCTAAGCACCAATCAAATTACTGTAAAAATTAAGCTAAGAAAAGCCGATTAAAATCTAGTATGCGATTAGTGTATTAGCGGTGTTGGTTGAGTTTTGACAGGAGGTATCATGAAGTCATTATGTTTAATAGGGAAGTTCCTTATTTCATTTATTATATTGAATTTATTTTCACAAAATATACAAGTACTTATTATGGCCTTTTAATACATGTTACTTCGTATATATTTATGACGTACTCCGTATTGTTTTGTTATGTTATGTGGGGTTTGATAATTTGATTATGGGTTTGACCGTATGATTATAATTAAAAGTTAGTAACTCACCTTGGTGAGTGTGTTCTATGATAGCTTATTTGTTTGTGGTACTTGTTGATTTACAGTTCCTTTGATTCTTCTAATACTTATTTAACTGCATCAACTATATGTCTCCCCATTGATGTTGAGTTATTGATCTGCTGAAGAGAACAAATTATGAAAAATAGATCTAATAATAACTACACACATATGGGTTAGAAACCTTATGGAACAATCTAGAAATGTCTAATGGTTTTGAAAGTATGTTGACTGGATTATTCTCCGTTCACAAAACTAATGTGTTCCTATATATGTCATGAAATCTCTTGATTATTGAAGAATTAACAAGTATATATTTTTTATATATATATAAAATTCATGGTAAAGTTCATAATTATTTGAGCAAAGAATAGTGTTATGAGTTCAAGAAATTAATTAAACATGCTATTTTGAGCAAATTACTTGAAGAATGTTTTATGCCCATAGTTTACCGAATTTTCAACATAAAGATGAATATAATTGGGCAGGAGAAACAAGTAAGAGTTTTATAAGAATATTTTTCTTTGCTTGATACATGACATTAGCAAAAGGATTTATGGTTTGAGTGCAAGGGATTTCAAGGTTGTTGGATAATTAAGATTTATTTCATACCCCCATATGCAACGATTAGGGGGAGATATTATTCATTTCGTTATTATATATAATCCTTGCACATGAATTGTATGATATATTGATGGTCAGTATTGCATACATTTGCTTTAATATTAATGTCAATAATTTATTTAATAAAAGCGACCATACCATCCTGAAGATGGATGTAAATAAATGAATGTCATTGATCATTACTGGTTGTAAATGCTCCAATTAAAATTATTGTCCCAGAAGGACAACATCTGTTAATAATGAAACCTAAAGCGCGTCTGAAGCATTGTAGTCCAATAGATTAAAAATAAATAAATAAATAAATAAATAAATAAATAAATAAATACGAACCTTCAGAAAAGGAATGGAGCAACTATTGACAATGACAATTTGAGGAAAAGATAAATCCCATTACATTTCTAGAATAAAATTATTTTTAGTAAAATCAATATGTGAGATTAGTTGATTGTCTTGCTAATTGTATAAAGAAACACATGTTGATGTTCTAATATTACATCACATTCATAGTCATGCATGAAGCAAATTTGATAAAATGATCACTAGTGTTGGAAAACTGACCAGAGTTCAAATTTAGAGAAGTGATTGGATGTGATAATTAAATTAGGCCATCAGGGTTTAAGAATTACCCGTTATGGAAATCTAAAGTTTTGTTTGATAATGTGATGACGCTCTCTCAATGACAAATATATGAAATGAATTGAATGATAAGACATAACATTGAGATTGAGCTATATTTGGATTCTGATTCATATTAATTTGTATATATGAAAATTTCAAGGGTTAATAAGTTTTGATTTTTTTTTTTATATAAAAGAGTAATAGGTGACCAGAAGTTCACCAAAATATCGTATATATTATTGTAAACTATCAGAGAACTAGAAGCTCACCAAATACATTATTTAAGGCTTTAAAGATCCAGAAGATCACCAAATACATTATTTAAGGCTTTAAAGATCCAGAAGATCACCACCTAGTAGAATTACAAGCAAGTGATCTATGCTTGTATAACAATTCTTTTGATTGGGCCTATTATATGTCAGCACATAAGAAATTGAAAAATAATGGAAAACGTACAACTGCACAACACATGTCTCCCCGTTGACATTGTTTTCCAGAAGATATTATGAAAAAGGTAATACATAATAAATACACCTGTAATGTAAAATTAACGAAGAAATGATTCTTCATTGAAGTTGTTCTCCAGAAGAGATGAAACTTGTTGAATACAAATCTTCTGAGAAATAAATTTTGATTGTGATCCTCCTAATGAAATGAATTTTATTGGAACTTTGTATACTAAGTTGGTGAAGAACTGTGATGCCCTTACATATGAGATATTTTACCAACTTAGGGGGAGAATTGGAGTAAGTTGGCAAAAAAAAAAAAAAAAAAAAAAAAAAAAAAAAAAAAAAAAAAACTGATGATCCCTATATAAATAATGGTAATTTGAAATGTTTTCTAGCCAACTTTCATCCATATGCTATCAAGATATGCTGCACATTTATGATTTGATTTGTATTCAGTTATGACTCATGTTGCATAGCGTTGAAGATACATTTTGGTCACATTAATTATGTGTATACATTGAGATAAATTCTTGCCAATTGTACTTGAATCACTACACCTGAAGTGTAGGTTGTATATGATCGGTTCCAACAAAATAAAGATATGTTTAATAGATATGATATTTGGCAAAATAGTGCAATTGACACTAATAGTGTAATAGTATATACCATAGTGTATGAAATACCCTAAAAGTGGTATAAATATCTGAATTATTATAATAGATGGCCTATTATGTAAGAAAATTTGTGATGGTACCAAATGAGAAATGTATTTAGATATCATAGTAAAATAGCATGCGGAATGTAAATTAAAGGAATTTTATGATACCGGTACATGATAACTTGTTATTTGGCATGATTTTAGGGTACTTTTGAACCTTGTTTTCGTTATTAATCGACATCAAAGTTCATTTTTTATCCTATTTTTATGCAAATTTTGTACCATGCATGCTTCACCGGTTGTTTGTGTTTTTGATGTAATGTAGCTATTTTTAGCACTATGGAAATGATCAAGCATGAGTGAGAAAGGATAAGGGCAAGCTTGGTTGATAGAGCCATGGAGGAAGAAGGAGGAATGCCTTAAAGGGAAATGAAAAGCTTTTGGAGAACCTTGAAAGGTCGTTTGCGTAAGCGTCAACTTCAACCAACCATAACTTTTGATCTTATCAACTTTTTGAAGCGATTCAAATTGGAGATTAAAGTTCGTCTCAAGAGCTTTCCAACGACTGGTCACAAGTCCATTTCCGACAAGAAACGTAGAAGTTACAGCTTCCCAAAGTTAAGCAGTCTAGGCAGGGCATCCTGCACGGACGTGCAAGATGATAGCACGTCCGTGCAAGTCTGCACGTCCGTGCCAAAAGCTGCACGTCCGTGCAGACCTTGGCAGAAGCTCCTGCCTCCATTCTGCCCCCTCTGCACGTCCGTGCCAAACTTGGCACGGCCGTGCTTAGCCTTGCACGTCCGTGCCAAATCTGGCACGTCCGTGCAGACCTGCAGTCGAACTCCTTCCTTGTTTTCTCCGTCCTTTTTATTTGGGGGTCATATAAATACCCCTTTAGAGCTCATTTGTACGGGGGGAGGCAGTTTTTGAGAGCTTTTCTCTTAGTTTGTAGTCTTAGAACATTAAATTCTCAAATCATTAGTTAGTTCTCAATTATTAGCTTGGAATTATTCAAATTCAATCATTGTAGAAGACAAAATCCACCATTGTTGCTCACCTTGAAGCTTCATAGTAACCATTTCTTACTCATCTTTTCTACTTCTCTTTACTTTGTTGTTAATTATTTGCTAGTTCTTGCATGTTTTGGATTGTTAATTAGCTTAATCCTTAGTTTGAATTTGTTCATGAATTGCTTGAAATCTTTAATTGCTTTAACCCCCATGGATTGTGAGTAGTCTAAATTCTAGGGTTTGGGCAAAACCCTCAATGTAGTCACTAATTACTTGTTGCATGTGCTAATTTGGTTGTTGTGGGATGTTAATTAGTTGAGCTTAAGTGGTTTAATTGCTTAGTTCTTGTATATGGCCATTGCTAGAACTATTTATCCAAGCTTTCTCAACGAAGGATCGAGAGATGAACTTGAGTTAGCTCCCTTATGCTTGATTGACCCGAAATGCCATGAGAATAGGGATTACCGGTCAAGGGAATGTTTATGTCATCGTGATTATGCTTTAACACTTGTTTTATGCTATGTAACCACGAGAGTAGGTCGTATTCATGATTCAAGTAATCCCTCTAGGTTGAGAGAGTAGTTGGGTGCTTTAGATGACTTCCCCTAATTTATCCCATTAATTTACCTTGATTGTTGCATGCTAATTGTGATTTGTGATGAAGTTGAGTGGTATAACCCAAGCCCTAGATTCCTCTTAATATTGTTAACCTCCTCTTAGCTTAGTTGAATTGTGTTAGAAGAAGTTACTAAAAACCAACCCAATTTAGAATTCGTTTAGCTTATTTAAACGGTAGTACTCGGTGGTTGATTCAACGCCTCTCTTGGGTTCGACCCTTTCTTACCCTTACTATTGTTAGTGAGGCCAAGATAGGAATTATTATCCTTGGTAGGCTCGACGACGGCCTATCAGTACATAATGGAACCGATGAATAATATGCATACGCATAATGGAATGGACTAATGAGTAAGGGATCTGAAATATATGTACATTTTGATGTCGACATAATGATAATGGTCATAAGTTTATCATGGACCCGAAGTCCAATGAAATATGGATTTTTAAATCCACACTGTACAGTGTCTTACATTATTTCGAGTACTATGTATATTCATATGCATGTGTGAGTCATAGGTTACTAGATTATTCATTGCATATGTTCGAAGTTGTTATATGCATTACTCATTGTATAATTTGTTTAATAGTTATCATGTTTTATATATCTCATATTGCATGGATTAATTTCTCACAATGATTGTGGTGTATATGAATGTTCGTCAAAGTATAGTAAGACATATTTACAACTTTGATGAAAAATTAGAAAGAGATATTTATATTCCAATGGGCTTATAATTGTAATGAAATTATTGATGACACTTATTTAATTGCACGTTATGAATCATGTAAAAAGAGTTCCTGAAGAACTTATATACGACGAATTTAAATATCCATCCCTTGAAAAGTCTATGTGACTAAATCATTGACATCTCAACCTGAAGCTTGAGCATATAAGTGTTAGTAATGAGAATTACTATTTGTATATGAAAGAGAATTATTGTGTTAATTATAAATATTCTAAAGAATCAATAAAATACTTATGCGTGATACTGTTTTATCATGGTCCAGAAGAACCATGATCAATGTATATAATTACATGTGCTATATAATTATTTCATACAAGATTGAAAAATCAACATTAATAATATCATAGGTTACCATATTATTATTAAGGAATGTTTAATCAAATTATAATGATCATCAATTTCGATTATTCACGACCTCCGGAAGAAGGCATAAGTACAATAGTTAAGGCAACTTTGAACAGAGATTTTGAATGAAATGTGGACAAACACATGTATTATGGTTATAGGTTTGGTGATATGAAGACTCACTTGTTTAAGTAAAAAAATTTGAAGATTTGGAAGACTCGAAATTAAAATCAAGGAATGATACTATTCTGCGTCATGTGTGAGGACACTCAACTATATTGGATTCATTGCATTAGAAGACCTCAAGCTATGTATTCATCAGGGGGAGAAATTACGCGCTGCACTCTTTTTCCCTTAACCATGGTTTTTGTCCCATATTGGGTTTTTCCTGGTAAGGTTTTTAACGAGGCAGCATTTCGAGCGTATTACGAAAAAAGTTGTACTCTTTTTTCCTTCATTAGGTTTTTATCCCACAGGGTTTTTCCTAATAAGGTTTTAATGAGACACAGTCTTCGATAATGGACATCCAAGGGGGAGTGTTATGAAATATTTGTGGATATCCATTATTCCGGAACAATCTAGATCTAGGGTTTATATTCTTATCCAATTAAATCCTAATATATTGTATGTATATATACACCTTATCATATGGAATAATATACACAGATTAATTCTATCTCAATCTCTCATCTTTTTCCCCATTATTTCACAACATATTATTATTATTATCATTTTACATCTAGTTGATACTACAAATTAATGAAATGTAATCACGCCATATGACAATTGGATAAAATTGAAATAATAGATCATTGTGAAATCTATTAGTGTGAGTTACATTTTTTTTTAAAAAAGGTCTTTAGTTAACAATGGGTAAAGACTTGAGAATTCACAAAAAGTCTGCTTACCTTTTAAATTGAAGTTTCATAAATCATACTCCATGTGTAAACTCTTTACTCACTCTTACTTCAATTCATGTGTTTATCCACAATGATTTTTGTAAATTGTTCAAACTCAAACTTATCTTTGAGAGGAATGATAGTTCCATGCTATTAGGAAATAACTACAACGATCAATTCTAGAATAAAGGTCCAATTCAACTAAGAACAATAAACAAAGTATAGGTCCAATTCATTTTAAATAAAGTACAGGTCAAATTCCAATTTTAATCAACTCAAATCAATTAGTATTAGTATAATGAAATTGTAAAAATGTAGTGCGAGTAACTTTTTAACAATGTGATTGGCGAGGAAAAGTAAGAAAAACTGTAGAATAGAAATCATAGATTTTCCCATGTTTGTTTAATAGGTGAGGAAATAATAAGAATATTTGCAAATTGCAGCCATTTAAAACTTGTATTTTGCAAATTGTAGCCATTTAAAAAATATGAGGCCATGTGGACGCATGTTTGCACAATTGCACATGTTAATGACCAAACATGTTAATGATCAACCTTAATCGGTATTTGTATGTTCAAAACTTCGAACTATCAAAGAAACACGAAACAAACAAAAAGCTAAAAGGAGCATATAAAGAAACCGCCACTGACGAGCTTTCACCGCCAACCAGTGAGCAATTTCAACCCAATCACGAAAAACCTTACATATTTAGGAAGCCGAAAATTCAGAAATAGTAAAGTGAATATCCGAAACAAGCCAACACATGTGTTCAAACTATAGAGTTTAAAATCTTCATAGTTCAAACTATAATTTAAAACTTAAATTAAAAAAAAAAAAATCAAACTCAAAAAATATGTAATTTATTTATTTATGCCATAAAATTGAGTTCATAATTGGATAAAGGAACACAAGTTGGGAGACACGATCGCAACAAACATTTAGTTGGCGCTTACAACTTGAGCCATCTACGCATCCTCCACGCCTATCCACGCCCACAATCCAATTTCGAAAGTCGAAAGTCGAAAGTCGAAAGGAAGAAGAAGAGAGACAATGAGCCGTTCTCTCCTCTCTCACCTCTTCGCACTTCCCAACTCCTCTCCTCGCTTCACTTCTTCACTGTATAATATTCTCTCTCCTCTTTCTCAAATTCTTTCTATTTTGATTTATTTTTGTAATTAATTTGTTTTTGTTTTTGTTTTTTGGTTGGGGCAGCTCTTATTCTGGTCCTAGTTTGAAGCGCAATTCTCAATGCACCTTCCGTTGTTTCTGTAGCGCCGTCGTTTCACAGCCTCAAACCTCGTCGCCTTCGCCGCCTCCGCTCAAGTAATCTCCGCCTTCCCTTTATCGATTTGTCATTAGAATTTTATTTATTGGAGCCGAATTGAACTGCGCTGAATATTTTATGATTAAAAGAAATTAAGAACGGAACTGAACTTATTGGAGCTGAACTCAACTAAAAATAAGCCGTAGAGAACAGGCCCTAATGTAGTTATAAAAGCATACTTTCCTTGTGCTGGTGCCATCATCGTAAGTAAGGTATTTAAGTAGGATGATGTTGTAGTTTATGGTGGACTTGTTTAACTCTTTGTTTGATTATATCTAGTGTATATTGAGGACCATATCGATGTCGATGTTAGTACTAGAGGGATCAAATTTAGGCAACTTCACCCCCAATACCCCATATAAACAAAATGCAATAGTTCCTCCTGACCGAGTAATTGTTAAACCATTATAAAACGGCCATCTATAAATTCACAAAAAATAACTTTGTAATTGTAACAAGTACATATTGTTCAAATATGAGCTGGTCTGTTGTAATCGATAGTTGATGAACATTGGAATTTATTTTGGTTTGTTGTTCCAAAGAATACTACAAAAAGGGGGGGTTAAATTGTAGTATGAGAATTTAGCCAAACTTTTTGCGGAATTAAAATGAAGTTAGCTAAAGGAACTGAAAGATTAACTAAAGGAACTAAAGAATGTAAGAGAGATTTTACGTGGAAAACTCCTTGGCCCTAACAAGGAGAAAAACCACGACCACTTGGGATTTTGGGAAAAAAAATCTTCACTATAATAGGGCAAATTATCCTATTACAAGCTAAAGACTCAAACTCAAGTTCCTCTACGAATTCGAGACCCTGAGGAACAAGTCACCCAACTTGTTACTCTTCTCTTCTCTTTCTCTCTTCTCACTTCTCTGTTCTCTCTTCTCTTTCTCTTCTCTTCCTCACTTCTCTTCCTCATACACAAACGTTCACTCGAACTTCCCCATTCCCCAAATTACAACTCGAAAGAAAAACAAACTCTAGTATAAGAACATTAAGAACACTCTAATGAACTTGTGTGGAATTGACACTTGACTCGATTTGAAGCTTGAAAACTTATGTGAGCAAGGGTGAGTTTTTCCAACAGAAATCAATGGTTATTTATAGATCAACAAATGCTTTGGAAAATTCTCTTTGTGCAGCAACACCATTACGCCACTACTCATACCCACTAAGAAGATCATGTTCCTAGAATTAAGGAACCATGAACTCCTCAATGTGCAAACCCATGACGACTGACATAGAACATGGGAGAGTAAGCCGTAAGTTTTGGAAAACATGGTGATTTTATTTTTTCAGAAGATATTTTCGAAAATAAGAAAATAAAATAAAATCTTTTTGCACAAGATATTTTCGGAATTCAGAATAAAATCCCTTTCAAAAGATAAACGTTTTAGAAAGCAACCGTTTTCCTAAAAACTAGCATGCACAATTTTATCTTTTTAGACCAATTCCACACAGATTTTTTCGAGTGCCATTTAATATCTTATACTTACATAAATCCTAAAATATAAAAATATATTTAGTCTTCATGTTTTCTCTGATGAAGCTTCTACTCCGAGGCTTCTGTTCCTTGGAAGGAACTTCTCTTCTCTGATGAGGCTTCTTCTCTGAATCTTCTGTTGTTGTTCCCTGGGGGAACCTTCTCTTCTCCAGTCTTCATTTCTGAAGCGCCAGTTCCTGTGAGGGAACTCTTCTATATGGTTAGCTCTGCTTCTGGCCTTCTTGTTCCTCATGGTATATTTACAAGACACTTCATTCTCCTAGTTTTTGTAACTGAGTACACACTTAAACAATCAAGCACTTATTAGTTAGTAAGTAAGTGAGGTTGTGTCATCATCAAAATCATTAAGTCCAACATGGTTTATTAGTGTTGCTCTTTCTAGGTTTATGGACTACTCTTGTGACTTCAATCTTCATGTGGTTGGTGTATAGACTATTGGATATTAGATTGAGTTCACATTAATTCATACTTCACCTAATGAACTTGTTGCACAGCAGGAAGCGAGTTGTCTCTGGAGTCCAGCCAACCGGAGCTCTACATCTAGGAAATTATCTTGGTGCCATAAAAAATTGGATTTCACTTCAGGTGGGTTTTGTCGATTCCATTTATTTATCTCTACATTTATTTTATTCTTTTTAATCCTTTGTTTGTTGTTATGGGCTAGCAAGCTCTTATTATTGTATGCCATTAGTTCTCAAGAGTAAAACAACGTGGTCCGACTCTTCTGACACTTTCCTGTTGTTATTTGCAGGACACTTATGAAACATTTTTCTTCATTGTTGATCTTCATGCGGTATATTTTCAGTACATTTCCTTATTGAAAGGGCAAATGATTAGCATTAGCATTTCAAGATGTAGTATATATCTTGTGCTTAGCATTATTTGTAGGGAAACACATTCTTCATTGATAAGCCATAGATAGCATGCATTTACCTGATTAGATTTCCCTAATACATCTGTTAATGATCTAAATACAAATTGGATTATGCAATTCAGCTTGTCTTTTCTTTATTGATGGATATCCTTGGTTCATAATTGAAACAAATATAGTTTTCAAGGTTTATCATTTGTGTGTTGGTTATGAATTTGGATTTACTGATTGGAATGTTTCATTCCTTTATGCTGTTTGCCCTTCTCTCTAAGGTTTATGTTGATCCTGATTGGGATGAAGCATTATTTTTGCTGATAATATATAGTTTTAGGGAAATGCTTGGAGCCATGTTTCCTCATTTTAAGCTTGCTAATGTGTTCAATTTCATCTCTCCAAAACTCGACAAATTTTATTAATTTTACATTCTATGATAAGTGATTTAGTTACAAAAAATAAAATTATGTTCTGTTATCATCCATTTTGAAACTAGTGACTTGGTCTATATTACTCTGATTAGTTGAAGTGTATTTTGGAAATATCATTCATTTTGATATGACTCCTAGATATTTGTTCAAAAGTGATTTTTTTCACACAAATTGGGCAGACACACTGATCCATCCAATATTGATTCTATTTGAGATTAGATTTCTTTAACTTACAGGTAACATTGCCCTATGAAACTAAGGATTTATCCAAAGCAACAAAGGATACAGCAGCTATTTATTTGGCATGTGGCGTTGACATTTCAAAGGTGAAGAACTAGTTCTAGACGCTAAAACTTTTGATTTAGTGCCCTATCTTTTATTAAGTTAAGAAACAGCTGCTCAAACTTGTGGACACAGGCTTCAGTTTTTGTACAATCTCATGTCCGAGCACATGCAGAACTTATGTGGTTGCTGAGTTCTACCACACCCATTGGCTGGCTTAATAGAATGATACAATTTAAGGAGAAATCACGTAAAGCGGTATACTTTCTCTTCCAAACTTTCTCTGTTCCTCTTTATTGGCATCTAGTGCAAGGTGCTGTATCCTTAAGCCCTCATCTTATGTAGTTAAACAATCTTGTGAACTAGGATAGTATTGACATTCATTAAGGTTACGAACTTTGAAACTTTGATACTCCATATAGTACCCTATTGTACAGTTGTGAAAGTATAAAATCCACTGATCTACATATAATAATGACTCAGGTTTTATACAATATCAGCTGCACAAATATGGTTTCTTAAGTATCTATTTTAAAAGCAACTAGAACAATTTTTTCATGTCTTCTCTGGTAACTGTTTCTCTTAATGATACTACTACGTTTGCTTGCTGTGATCTATTTGATTTTTTTTTTCCCCTGCAGGGTGATGAAAATGTTGGGGTTGCACTTTTGACGTATCCTGTTCTCATGGCTGCTGATATTTTATTATATCAGGTGAGGATTTTATATTTCTGTTTTTATATGTCAAGTTGAAATTCATTATAGTTTGTCTTCATGAAGAGTGTTTTGGGCATAACCAATGAAAGTGATTAGATCCATCCTTCAAGTTCCTCGCTAGTGGGCTAGATCTGCTTGGAGCTTTAACCTCCTACAGTCCTGTTCCTTAAACATGCATATACTAGCTCTTGGAATTGTTATGGGAACATAGAGGAGTCAGGAGGGTACCACACCAGGGCATGGGTGAATGATTTGGGTGATACTGCTAACTATATCCTAGTTTGTTGTAGTGTGCCTACATTTCATATGATTTAGGAAACTTTGATCTCAATAAGTGAATTTTCTCCACTGCCTCAGTTATGCTTTATGCTGAGTATTGCATTTGTGAACCTGATATATTATGTTAGTTTTCTCAAGTTCTTGTTATTTTACTTAGGACTTTAGTGTGTTCTATTAGCCTGAACTGGCATAATTCTTATGCTATGGCAGCCTACCTTTGCAGTCAGATTTTGTACCAGTTGGAGATGACCAGAAGCAACATCTTGAGTTGACAAGACAGCTAGCTGAGCGTGTGAATAATTTGTACGGAGGAAGGAAATGGAAGAAAATGGGAGGGTAAATATTTTTTTCATGATCACAACATCTTGCTGTGAAGTTTTGTAAATCATCTCTATTGAGTTGGTTAGTCCATTGACGTCTCACAAATCTTATATATTTTGGATGTAGGAGAGGGGGCTCAATCTTTAAGGTGAATGTTTGGTTAAATTCAAAGCTTCTTACTTCATTTGAATGTTTTGGTAGTTTATCATGCCATGTTGACATATAATTTTTTTGACCAGATACCTGAACCACTTATTCCACCAACTGGAGCTCGGGTGATGTCTTTGACAGATGGTCTTTCAAAGGTGATTGCTATTTGATTACAATTAGTCCTCCTGACTAGCTCTATCCTTGATTGCATTTTTTTGAAATTTAATCACAAGTTATTGGGATTGTGGGCGAGATGTGGCCAATTGCTTATGTCTTGCCAGCTTAAACATCTCTCTGTTCCTTTCTATCTCTTGTCTTCCTTTTTATAAGGTAATGACATCTCCAAATTTTCATAGCATAGATCAAATTAGCAGAGAATAAAGCCATACCATATTGTTTGTAATATACTAGCAAATTAGCAATATTTTTTCTGTTCTGTCTTTATTCATCTCAAAGATTCAGGTTTTCTTGTTCCATAGACAATTATTCTGAGATGATTTACTTGATTGGGTTTTTAAGAGGCTCCCCAGAAGCCTCCAAGGATTCCTATTACCTTCTTAATTAATAAGATAGATTCTAAAAGTGTACTTGTGTAGTTGTAATACATGAACTATTACAAATTTATTTCTTCTGCTAAGAGTTTCTACATTTTAGTAGTCTGAAAAGTCGTTGTTGTTAAAGAAAGATCCTCCTCTTGTCTTGTTGAAGCTATTCATTACATGTTTGGACTATTAATTCTCAACAAGATGTACAATCCATTAATGTTTGAGATTTTTATGTGTCATTTGTCTTATTGCTGCTGCTTATCTTTACTGGAATGCTGGAGCTTAATTGTTCTAATGAATTGTCTCTCTTGCTATGTAGATGTCTAAATCTGCTCCTTCTGATCAGTCTCGAATTAATCTGTTGGACCCAAAGGATGTGAGTATTGTTTATAATCTTGCCTACTCTGTGTTTACATGTTTCTTAATATGACTGTCTCAATTGTAGTTGATAATTGCTGAGTTAATATGTTCCGTGTTCCTACTCTGTGATACACATGTAATTTAAAATTTTGATGTCTCAAAGCAGTCCTTCCAATTGGAGGTTGGAATGCAATGTTTATCATTGATCTTTGTGCTATTTCATGTGACATAAAAATATATATGTAAACAATAAATTATATTATCTTGATTTTTTTTTTAAAATTATGCTTTTCTTCTCCCCCAGTATATGAAATTATCCTCTCATTCTCAATTTGACTTAACTCTCGTGTTCATACATGCAGGTTATTGCAAATAAGATCAAACGTTGCAAAACTGATTCATTTACATGGTATGTTTCTGCACATACCCATCCCCCCCCCCCCCCCCCAAAAAAAAAAAAAAAAAAAAAAGGGTTGAAGATGAATGCATTTTAGTGGCTTCTGTAAGTAAATTTTTTTCATTCCTAATGCAGGCTGGAATTTGACAACCCTGACAGACCTGAATGCAATAACCTTCTCTGCATTTATCAACTTGTATCAGGCAAAACAAAGGAGGTAATACAATAATCAATAGACCATCACAAATACAAAAATAGCGTATAAAGAGGACGAGGAGTTAGGTTACAGACATCAGCCTAAAATGTACCATGGACCATATTTGTCGTCTAGGCAGAGGTTTGGCAGGTGTTCTATCCATAAGGTGCAACGGGAAAAAAATCCAACCAGCACATGATCGTAACTGTGGGCCCTGTGGCTAACTCTAGTTTATCGTCATTTAATAATGTCTAGTTATTTTGTTGGTTATGCTCATCAAAAAAGAAAAGAGGATGAAAGACTGCTACCTAGGGCAGGGTAAGGGGATTTTAGATGTATGGAGTTTTCATTAGACCTGTGATTTAAATGCAAATCCTCAACTCTATAAATTAAAAGTCAAGGACAATTTAGTGGCACATTTGATCCTGGCCATATATTTTTTTAAATTTCGATATATTGGTTGTAAGTGGCTATTAATAAAGTAATTCTAATGAAGACTTTTTTGCCCAATGCCTAAAGTGATTTCTAGGACACTTCATTCCATATTAGATTCATGGGTTGTAAGTGTTGCTTTATTTTAGAAAATTCTAGGGTTTCTCCAACCAAACACCTGCTATGTCCACAACTTTCTAATATGACACAGATGGTGCAATGTTACTTCTTTAAGTTTGTGTTTGAACAGCAGCAGTTATAGGGAAGGGGAGGGGAGAAAAGGGGAGGAAATAGCTGGTAGCATTAGTCGCAACTTTGTTATATATTCATACTTTAAGCAGTCTCCATTGGTGTGCTTTTGTTAGACAGGTCTTGTGATACTATATATTCAATGTCAATGTTATCTGAAGTACACCAGCCCAGCTAATCTAATTGGTTTATTTTAATTTGGCAGGAGGTTGCCCAAGAATGTCAGAGTATGAGCTGGGGAACATTCAAACCACTTATTACAGACGCAGTAATTGATCATTTACAACCCATTCAGGTTAGTGTAGTTTAAATTATTTCCTTGTAAGAATAATTGGACAATATGGCAAGCTTGTTGGAGTGTTGGACTGTATGTGTTTATGAAGCCTTCATCATAAGGACTCATTTGCTTGTCACCATTCCAGGCACGTTATGAGGAAATCATGTCTGAGCCTAGTTATTTGGATGGAGTTCTAGCAGAGGGTGCAGCTAAAGCTACGGATATAGCAGATACTACTCTTAATAATGTCTACCAGGCGATGGGGTTTCTTCGAAGATGAGCTTAATTGGTGGTGCATGCAATTTTTTCCATGCAGCCTTTTCAGATGACATACTGTTTAATTGTAAATCAAATCTACTTGTTTTGGAACATTCATTAGGCTTTTATTTTTTGCTATCCCCATTAGTTTCTAAGGAAAAATTGCACTCGGTAGAAAATAGGAACTGGACTCATATTCAACCTCCGGCGCATTCATTCTTTTTACAACATTATAGAGTTTAGAATTTTAATAATTTATACATACAGCTTGAAGTGACATGACTCGTGCAATGTACGTCTGATTTAAAATACTGGTATGTTTAAATTTTAATGATGCTGAGAAAGAGTAAGTATAGCTTGTGGTATAACTTATAGAGCACATAGGGAGTGACTTGTATTCTACTCCCCTACTCTCAGAATCAGTTGTGACATTTTCTTAAAGTCTTGTAAGTTGTAACTAAGATAAACGACATATGTATGTCGTGACATGAATTTATGAATATCCTTTATAATAATTTTATTATTCCTGTATCTGTAATTCAAATGCTTATACAAATATCATTCATAAAGAAAAAATATTTTAGGAAAGGTGAAAAGTAATTGGAGTACATGAATGTAGACTTTGTTGATGGAGGGAACACTTTCTTGTTTTACGGATGAACTTAGACTTCTCTTCATTGACTAGATATATAAACATGCTAGATCAGAACAAGTTAATCAGTCTTGCTCTTGCAAGTTCCATACTGTGTTCAACGAAATCAACTCATAGTTTAGGTTCTCAATAATATCCTGTTCAAAGATGCATATCTAGCTTGAGCATTCTGCATCATATAGCCCCATCTGCTGGCAAACTTTAGCTTTCCATAATGATTTCTGTAATAGAAGGCAAAGGTGAAATGTCACAGTTTATCACAGCGGTCTTCAGACCTTTCTTCAGACCTTCAGGGCTGTCTTACCAGAAATCATGAATTTATCATGTCATCGCGATGAGCCTCTTCAATTGATATTTCTCTCACCAATTATCTAAGCTGAAGTTTTCCATTTGAGACCACAGTCCATACAATGATCAACCGTGAGGCAGAACACATACTTCGACAATCGAAGACATGATCACTACCCTACCCAAGGAATTAAAGCAAAGAAACTCCAAGTTTGTTATTGTGATTTGTGGATGTCATGCAAGTATTGCACACAGCCCACGCAACCCATACATGCCACCCTATTAATCCTCAAAAGGTTCCAACATTGTCCTCTTATATCCCAAGATCCTCAAGATAATCCTGGAAATGCATAGTGCAATGAGCTCTCAAGAGAACAAATTGAGTACATAAACCCCCCATAAAAGTCAACATGGTAGAGGTTTCAGAATCTTCTGCTTGTCTAACTTTGCATTGATGCTCCTTTCTGTTTATTATTCACTGTCCTGTTTCTTAATCTTGAACAGCCTCTTGCAAGGCAAATCCCTGTAGGCATGTACTTCAAGTTTCTGGAAGACACAACAAAACAGTGGTTTGCAGATATTCCTTATTCCATGTAAGACTCAACCATTGTTAAGGAACAAATAATCTTCTCTCTGTAAACAATCTATTGACTGGTTTGAGCATACTACATCTTCTTCCAGATTTGTAATGACAAATATATCCTTCAATAATTTGTATATCTCCTTGGATCGAGGATGGGAATCATCTGCAGCTGAAAATTCATGGAAGTCACCGTCCACCTCTATGAAGCTATGTCCCGGAGTCTTTCTAATACCTTTTCCTCTCATCATACTTCTAACATTCCTTACCTCACCCCATCTTTTCTCCGTAGCGCATAGATTTGCTAAAAGTACATAAGTACCACTATCTTCCGGATTTAGGTCTATCAACTTGTCAGCTGCAAATTTTCCAAGATCAGCATATCCATGCATCCTACATGCATTCAGCAAAGCACCCCATGCGGCTTCATCGGGTTCCATAGGCATTTTTCTGATCATGTCATACGCTTCTCCTATCAATCCAACACGGCCAAGTAAATCAATCATGCAGGCATAGTGTTCTGCTTTAGGCTCCAATCCAAATTTGTGCTGCATGCCAGCAAAGTGCTCCCGCCCTTTGGCAACTAAACCAGCATGACTACAAGCTGATAGAATGCCGATAAAAGTAATATGATCAGGCTTAATACACTGATCTTTCATTCTCTCAAACAGCATTAGAGCCATGTTAGCATTCCCATGATCTGCATACCCAATAATCAAGGAGTTCCATGATACCAAGTCTCTCTTTGGCATCTCATGAAACAGTTCCTCGGCCATATCAATCCTACCACACTTCGCATACATGTCTATCAACGCGTTTCCCACAGATACACCAAATTCAATTCGCTTCTGGTGTATATAATGGTGATGAATCCATTGCCCCAAATCCAGGCAACCTGATTGAGCACAAGCAGAAAGTACAGGCACCAAAGTAGCTTCCTCAATGGGAACCAAACCTCCCTTCACCATACCTTGAAACAAATCCAAGGCATCCTCCGGCTTATTATTCTGAGAATAACCAGCAATCATTGCATTCCAAGACACCACATTTTTCACAGGCATCTCATCAAAATACTTCCTAGCCATATCTAATTCACCCTGTTTTGCAAAACCATTTACCATACTAGTCCATGAGAATACATCCCTACACTCCATCTCTTCAAAAATTCTTCTCGCAGTCATTAAACAACCACACTTAACATACATATCTAACAAGGCATTCATCAGATTCAAAGTATACTTCACATCATATTTCTCTATATAACAGTGCATCCTCCTTCCCAAGTCCAAATCCCCCTTAAGAGCACACGCCGAGAGCAGTGTGATCATAGTAACTTCATTAGGCACTGTCTCACCACCACACACCATCAAATCAAAAACCCTCAAAGCTTCATCAGGAGAATCTCTCTGCACATAACCATCAATCATCGCGGTCCAAGTCACCACATCTTTCACAGGACAATCATCAAACACTTGGCGTGCACAACTCAAAAACCCACCATCAGCATAAAAATGAAGCAACCCATTTTGCACCAACACACTTGATTCAAAACCCACTTTACATATCCTACAATGAACTGCCCTACCCTCTCAAAACCCGAAAACAGTCCGAAAGCCTTAAGCGCGAAAACAAAGCTTCTCCCATCCATTTCAACCCCATCTCTAACCATTTTGCGGAAAATTGAAAGACCCATTAAAGGATTCTTAGCTCTAGAATAACCCCTAATCATGGTATTCCATATATAAACATTTGGATTTGATATATGATCAAAAATCAAACGAGCATAATTCATGTCACCATAATTAGAAAGAGCACAAAAAGCTATGATTCTACTTACAGGAAAGACATGAAAGATTAGACCTTTGCGCATCATTTGAGCTTGAATTTGCTTGAGTTCTGCCATGGAGGAGCAATTTTCCATTGAAATGAGAATTGGGTTTGTAATGTTGACGTTGCTGGTGCTTGTATTCCATCTGGGTAGAGTGGAAAATAGTTGGAATTTAGGAGAGAGAAAATTAGGGGAAATGAAGCAAGAATTTAGCAACAGAGGAATAACACCCAATTTTTTAATGTGATGGGAAATTGTCAAATTGGGAATCAGTATGCTACATTCAAGATTGCAACTTTGAAACAAATACACTCGTTCAATGAATTAAGTACTTGCATTTCTTCTTTCTTCTTCTTCATATTTGAAACTATTTCACTTTTCCTTTTTTTTTTCTTCTTCCTATTAAAACTAGTTTAATTAGATTAGTTAATGAGAACACAGTTGTGATCATTGTATGTACAATGTGTCCAGAAGAAATAAAACACTTAATAAAGTCGCAAAGAGTAATCAACAAAAAGAACCAAAAAGTATTCTTTGTGTTTCAAAATAAATGTCTCAATTTGATCAGCATATTTGTTTGAAGTTTCTGAACTTTGATCATTGATACAATATTCTTTTATCACAAAGTAATAAGTATAAATTACGAAGTATAAAAATTGTGCATTTGAAATGATTGTAACAAGTATTTACATGACTATATTTAGGTTATGTATAAAACACCAACTAACGTAGGTCAAAATAGGGCGGGAGAGAATATACTTGATGAAAATATACTCCGTAGTTACCAGGGGAATCACCGAACCTTAAATCTACTCCATAGCTTAATTTGCTATTTTTTCAACAAAGTATTAAGGTTGAAGTAGAGGCTCGAAAATAGGGGCATGATTGTTTGTTTGGAAGCCACTTCATGATGCAATCGGTGTGAAATACATGGTTGCAAATTGAACATGTATTATTATTTTTATGACTTGAAAGCCACTCGACTAACTCCCCTTGTTGCATCGACTCTATTGTTGGTTTAATCTTGAAAAAACTCTGATGTACGATATCTTTGAATTCCGGGCTACCTCGATGAGATGCATTCATATAATATGACCCAAGGACGTCGAAGTCATATATATCGAGGGCGGCTAATTCAGGGGTGTTGTCATCCATATCCATATTCACTGATTCATTATTGCCATTGTCATCACCATCGTCAATATTATCATTGCCATTGTCCTCAAACCAGCCTATAAGGAAAATCCGCAGCAACGATAACAGAAAAGGAGAAACAACTGTTGAAGTAATCCGAGATCTGTTGAGCAAGCAAATCTCTAAATTTGGAGTGTATAAATGGTGGTATTACTCGTTTAGCTAGATTATAAAAGGCGCCTTTAAAAATAGCAGACAATTTAAAAGGCGTAATCAAGGGTTGTACATTTAATGAACCCAAGCTTACGATGAACAATCCGCGGCATGCATAGGGTAGATCAGGGGATATATGATGGACTCAGAACACTCTTAAATCAAGAAGCTTTGCTCCGTATGACATGATCGTGATCGTGGAAACTAAAAACAAATAAACTTTTGGAGAATATGTGTGATTCTAAAATAAAAAATAAGCTTTGTCAAAAAAATAAAAATAAAAAAAATATATAGAGAGAGAGTTAGCGTAGACTTTAGGAAATTGTTTCAAAAATAAAAACAAAAGGTAGGATTAGGAAATAAGGAAAGTAGTTATTATTATTATTTTTTAAATCGGAGATTTAGATATGACTACTTTCTTTATATCTGGTTATTATTCTAAATTCTATCCTAATTCAGTAAAAATAATTTAAGTTCAGCAAATATAATTTTGTTTTAGTAAAAAT